TTTTATTAAAAAAAAAAAAAAAAATTAAAACAAAGTATAGTAGTAGATAATCCGCCTAAGTTTGAGTTAACATATTTCCAAGAGGAGGGAGGAGCTTTTGGGCTGAAGCCTCCCCAAAATATTAGTTTCTTAAGAAAAAAAATATTAAAAATTACTCTAAAAGTATTATTGTTTGCATAATTACATTTAATAGAACTTCAAGAATCACTTAAACGCCTTTTGGTTTAGGTAATTAGTCTCTTTTCCTTTTTCCAAAGTTATTATTGTAATATTTAAAAAAAAAATTCTTTTGGACTGAAGCAACCCCTAAAATGAAATCCTGGATCCGCTAGTGGTATATACGGTTTAATATAGCTTAAATTAATTATTCACTGATTTAATTTTCTAAAATGTTGCATGACAATATTTTGGAATAAACGGACGTTAATACATAATTATTTAAATATAATATCAGATCTAGAATTATTAAACCACAGTAAATGTATTTAATTTTTTCAACAAAGGCTCTAACGATTTTAATTAAACTCGGTGTTTCATTGTATAATTAAGAGGTCTTTAATATCATTTAGGTCTTATCCTCGTTGTATGTCACTTTACAGGGCTTAAATGCCCAATGTGTCTTCTTTCGTTCCTATGCTTTATACATCCATGAAATGATTTGATATTTTACTTCTTCTTTCACACAAGTACAATGAAATAGCTTTTTTAACAATGCCACTGCCTTGATTAGCTGGATTTTAAATACTTTTTTCAAGCTTAAAAATATTTTAAATGTTTAACTTTAGTGAGTAAATTTCATTTAATTTTCTTGAAAGCATGTGATTTACGTTAGATATTATTATTTATAATTTGTTTGTCACTCTCTGTTACCTTCTACTATTTTCTTTATCAGATATTGTTTTTTTCTTTCTAAAATTCTCCGCTTTTCAACGATATATTATACGCAAACCTTCTAACTTGTATTTCCTTCGCATTCTACCTGGATAAGCATTTATTCAATCATCAAATTCTTTCAAAAGTTATATTTGGCATTTTTTCTTACCTCTTAATAATAAGAGATAGCTAATTATTTAAAATAAATCATATAAAGGTACTTTAGAAGAAGACGTATATGAACATTGGGCATTTAAGCCGCGGTAAGTGACATCAACGAGGATAAGACCTAAATGATATTAAAGAACACTTAATTATACAATGAAACACCGAGTTTAATAAAAATCGTTAGAGTTGTTGTTGAGAAAATTATAAAAATGTATTTCGCCGTTGATAAAAAGTGGCACTTCCGGTTAGCCCATTTTAAGGAAAAAGTTGCAGTCACATCTAAGGCATATACTAATCTTAAGCACGGGCGAATCTACGGGGAGGGGCTTTCGGGCTGAAGCCCCCCCCCCCCCCCCCCAAAATGGTTAAATATGACCCTGTTTTATCGAGAAAAATAAAAAAAAATTATCTCTTAAAGTATTATTGTTCGTGTAATTACATATAAAAGGGCTTTAGGAATCACTTAAACACCATTTCATACAGATAGTTTCTTTATTTTTTTCCACAGTAATTATCGTTATTTTCATGAAAAAAATACTTTCGGGCTGAAGACCTCCCCAAAATTAAATCCTGGATCCGCTAGTGATCTTAAGTATATAATATTAGTTTCGTACTTTTCGTTTTTGAAATAGACTGCTAACATCCGCACACACCATTTTTCGGGACTTGCTTATTTGGACTCAGGGTACTCCAAAACGTGTATTTCTGTTAAAAACGTAGATTCGAAAATTTTCACGATCGCAATACTTACCATATATTATATAATACTTACTATATATTACATATATATGTTAAGTGAAAGTAATAATCAGTACACCTCTCGACTCTAAAAAATCAGAAACTTTAACTTTTTACTTTAATTACCTATATATGTATAGTAAAGGAAAGTATTGCAATCTTGAAAATTTCCGGAACAGTTTTCAAAGGAAATACACGTTTTGAAGTCTCTCGAGTCTAAATAACGTAGTCCCACAAAATGGTCTCTGTGTGTTAACAGTCTAGCTCAAAAATGCAAAGTGGTACGGAAGTGAAATTGCATATTTAAGGTTTTTATATGCTAGGGATGCTACAGCAACTTTTTCGTCAAAATCGGCTAATCGGAATTGACACTTTATATAGTGGACTAAACACATTTTTATGATTATCTCGAAAACGGCTCTTAAACTAACGATTGAATTCATCATATCAGTGTAAAATTAAGCAATTTGAAATCAAATGTAGTTTTTATATTCTGATTGATCTTCTCTAACAGGGCTTAAATGGGTAATTTTCAATATTAGCTCCCTCTAAAGTACCTTTAATTTTTTTTATTTGCAACAATTGACCACTTCACATTAATCTCTAATATAAAATATGAAAGAATTTGATAATTAACTAAAGGAGAAATAAGAGATCATAATGGAGAATAGTTGTAATTGAGGAACCAAAGGAATAGGAGTGCACCAGAAAGATTAGAACAACCTGTCATAAGTAACACAAGCTTAATATAATACAGACTCCTACAATATTATATAAATATATATAAGTGGTTTCCATAAATGCTATTGTTGGTATTATTTAATATTTAATTCTATAGATTACAGTGATATAAATATTAAAATTTGTAAATATGACGATACTTAAACAAATAAAAATACCCACAATGAAATATAAATAACTAGAGCATCTATAATTTTTACTTTCACTTCCTCTTTGTTTGAAAATACTTATTTCTGCTAAGAAGAGGGGGGTAAGTGAAAGTTGTGTGATATGCACAAACCAGATTTTTATTTATTGAACTAAAAGCGATAAAATCTTTGTTCAAACAATTATGTCAACCTTTATTTTGATGGAAAAAAAATTGTTTAATATATGTTCCACTTCTAAAACAATAGCAAGTAAAAGGTTTAAAGAGGACTTTTAAGTAGTGTTGTAAGAAAGCTAGGTGAGAAGGCTAAGGCTTGAGCTTTTCTGACTCTACCAAGGCTCGAGTCCTAGCTTAGACTTTTACTGGTGTGCTCTTAGGAATCTTAAGAGCACGCCAGTAAAAGGCACGAACCTTACTTGTTTTTTGCCATATGTTTATTAATGGACTTTTTAAATTGTTCTGAAATTTTTATAATTGAGTAAACTGTCCTACCTGATGTTTGTTAGTAGTATTATATCTTTGGTGGTTTCTTGAATCATAGTTTTAACTGAAACAAAGTCTATTGTTTAGGTCGATCGTTCTTTTCTGTTCATCCCAGTTATATGATAGTAATAACGTCGGTTTATTGAATAAAGACACTAATTAATTTTTTAATGGTACTGAACTTTTAAGAAAGTTTTGTGAATCTTATTTATTGATAAAAATCTTTTGTATGCCATAGTTAACAAGCGCGTAAATTTCTGATTTTACAAGAGCTAAAAAATTATCAAAATTCTTAGTGATTTAAAGTTTTGTAATTTCTCTTAATGACTGCAATAAGTCGAAGATAGTTTTTATTATATGAATAAAATTACATACTATGAATAAAATGACATACTGTCAGATGTGAGTTCTTTCCTTATAAACTACAGGTAGTGTTGTAAAAGAGCTGCATTAGAAAACTATAAGACTCCAGTCTTAAGAGCTGGATGTTTGAGTCTTACCTGTTTTTTTTTTCTTCATTGTTTTAAAATTTATACAAAAGGGTAATATCCATCTACCCAAACACATTGCCATTTTATCTTTTTTAAAAAAAATTCAGAGGTGAGGTTAATCCTCTCTCCCAAAAAAGTTAAACAAAGTATCACCCATATACCCAAACATATTGCCATTTTATCTTTTAGAAAAAATTCGAGGTGGGGTTAACCTCCTCCCCCCCCAAAAAAAGCTTAACAAATTATCATCCACCTACTCAAACATATTGCCATTTCATCTTTTAAAAAAATTGGAGGGGAGAGTTAAACTACTCATTAAAAAAAAGAAAAAAAAAAAATCACCCACCTACTACAACATATTACCAAGAGAGGCAACGGAAATTCGCTACTGCCAAGAGCTTCTCAGGATCCGTAAAAATGGTGTAATATTGCTAAATATAGGCCTTTGCACGGACAATTATATCGACAGCGTTTCATTAAAACTGAATGAACTTCAAACGAAATAAAAACAAAATTGATATCAACCAGTTTGATTGAAGTCAATATAATTAATGTAGACCTTACAAGATCAATATATTGATGAAACTCGATATTGACCATGCAAAGGCTCCAGCTTTCTCGACTCGGCCAAGGCTCGATTTTTAAAAGCTCGATAGTAAAAGGCTAGAATCGAGAATGGAACCTTACTTCTTTTTTCCTATTTATTTATTTACATTATATTTAAAAAATATATTCACATTGTTAGTATCAACAGAAAAATAATATATTTACTTTATATTTCGGAAATATATTCACATTGTTAAAATAAACAGAAAAAAATATATTTGTTTACGAAAATGTATAATAATTTAATTATTTTAAAAGTTAAATTCATCAAGGTTAGAACGCTATGAGCTTTGGAGGTTCGAAGCTTAAAGGCTCAAGAGCCAAGTCTTCTGGACTCGAGTTGGAGCTCGAGGCTTGTTTTTACACTACTTTTGAGCTGCTAAACTCAGCTAAGGAGTGGAGGGGGGGAATGCGTAGTGGTGAGGGAATGGTGTATCATTAAACATGTCTACAAAAGAAGAAATTTATAATCACGAATATAAAAATTATGGTACCTCTGATCTCTAATCAGAAATAATAAAATACTTGTTTTTTTTTAAAAAAAAAAAGAGGATAAGTAAATATATATACTGATATATATTTACTTATCTCTTTTTTTTCAGTTCCTTTTCTTTATAAAATGATCAATGAAAACAAATATGCATCTGTATTAACACTTTAATGGCTACATACACAAAATGTGTGTAGAAGTGTGGCCATTTAGGTGTTAATACAGGAGCAGAAAAACATATAAACTAAAAAGAAAAAATATGTATAATAGGCAACAGATAAATATATATTTTTCATTTTAGGCAACCTGAAATGGAGCTTTACTAAAAAGGAGTCAAACTGGGTACTGGGAAGAATTTTGATTAAGACCTGTTAAAAAAAAAAGAAAGTTTTATTACAATTATCACAATAGTTAGAAAAAAAAATCACAGTGAGTTCTATCAATGATAACTAAGCTCTAAAAGTTATATATTGGTAAGACTAAATAAAATAATTAATTAATACATTTGGATAAACGAATTAAAGAAATCTTAGGTGTTAAATTAATAATCAGACCAGTCCCCCCTCCCCCCACCTCGTTGGTATCCACCGCGGTAGCCGCCTCCTCTGCCGCCATAACCACCTCTGTAGCCACCTCCTCTAAAACCTCCACTTCCTCCTCGGTTTGAACCAAAACTTCCTCCTCGGTTTGAACCAAAACTTCCTCCTGTTAGAATATCAATCATTACAATAATAACACATAAAAGATGGAAAACGAATAAATATGGGAGTAATTCATAATCCCAATTATTATAGTATAGAATGTTGTAAGTGCAATTAAATATAGATAATTCTTGACTTTTATATAATTTATTTTGAATATTTAAAGATAACATTGTAAGTTTTTATGTACACTCCGAGCAAAATAAAAATAACATACTACCATTTAATGGCCAGGCAGAAAAATAATAAGAATAACAGATAACTAGAGAGAGTTTTTTACACTTTCAAATTATACTGATCAGTCATGTGAGAAGAATATTATACACTGTGCAGTAAATAAAAACTCATATTCAAAAAGATAAATAAAACATGAGACTGAATTCAATCTGATAAGGTATTTAAAAAAGAATATTAAGATTTTAATCATGAAAATAAAGTAGGTCTCCACTATATCTAAACTCCAGATTATCTAAAATAGTTTTTTTTTTTTTTTAATATTTAATAGTTAACCATTGCATTATAAAGGAAGGAGATGGTCTGGGTCGGCGGTCATAAATAGGCTAACTAGTGGCAAAACGTCAACGTTTATTAAAAGTCAACGTTTCGACCTGACTTTGCAGTTCTTCTTCAGGGAGGTGAGTTCAGCTAGGAGTTTCACTTAGAACTGCTGTCAGTTCTGCTTCCAGTTCTAAGTGAAACTCTTAGCTGAACACACCTCCCTGAAGAAGAGCAAAGTTGGGTTGAAACGCTTGCTTTTAATAAAATAGTTTTTATTAAATTTATTTATTTTCCTTTGACACTTTTTAATACAGAACTTTTAGAAACAATGATAAGTTTTTGTTCACAATAAAATTTCATAATATTAACGAAAATTATAAGTTGACAGTGTAAACTGTACCTGACAAATATAACTGAGAGGATAGTGTTGGGGCAAATAAAAGGGCCGTCTTAAATTGTTAGGTTTAGTTAACAATGAATATATAAAATAGGTGTTGAGTCAATTGTTTAACTTCTTGGTGGGAGAATTGTTTTAAGACTGGGTCCAGTCAAAAACTGGGTTTAGAGTGGTAGTGAATTGGAAATATGATGACAAATATCGGTGGTATCAACATTAAACCTTCGGGTTCACTTAAACTTTAATTAATTACTATTATAATAGGCATATTTACTTAGATTCAAATTTCAACAGAAAACTGTCCTTTATTTTTTTATGAAAACATATATAAGATGAACCAAGATAGATAACTCTGTCAAAGTTAAATTCATAAGATGAAATAAAAAAAAAAAAAAAAACCTATTTATTGAGTATTTCAGGAGCTATCGGTATAAAAGTCAAGAAGTATCTATGAATGTAAATTAAATATTAAAAAAGAAACATAGAGCATGCAGCAATGAACAATACAAAAGTTGTAGAATTTAAAAAGGTTAAAAAATATATAAAAATAGAGGAACACAAAACTTGGACAGATGGAAATGTTGAAAATTAAACTCAAATGAAGGATGTCTTATAACATAAAAGAAATTTTGGGAACTAAAAAATAAATGACTACTGTTGAAAAAATATTTGTTTTGCACGAGAGAGAAAGATATGAAGACAAAAAAGGCTTATAAGTCATGTAAGAGACCTATCTACAATGAACATAAAGCAGGACGACATTTTGCTTGGATTGTTGTGAGTGAGTGGCAGAGATGGGCACATGATACTTGAGTACACAGCACCAAGTATTCAACTCAAATTGTATCACATTTGGGAATTCAATCAAATCTTTGTTTCACAGCAATTGAAGTATTAATTAAATTCTTTGTTACTCAACAAAGGTTAGTATTTGAGTAATAAACCCAGTACTCAGTATTCAGAGCAGCTTACTGAGTGGTCACATATAGCTTTTATTATCTTTTTAATTAAAAAAATATTTTTCCCATTATTATGTATATATTTTACGTTACAAATATATATATTTAATTGATATAAACATAATGTAATTTCAATAGAGAAATATTGATCCTTCACTGATTTTTTAGTGATGTAAATATTAACTTTTTACTTTATGTTAGCATCTTGAATTTATTTATTTTTCTGATTGTTTAACTTATTTCTGAAAAGTATTTGAGTCTTCCAGAGCTTGATAATTAAATCTTATGATAATTTAAAGTTTGGGGAGTACCCCAGTCTCATCCTGCACTACCCCCTCTGTAAGACGACCTTATCTACGCCTAAGGGTCTGATGCTAGCGGACGAAGTCAAGAACTGCACGGCTTACGGCCTACCTCATTAGCAGACCTCGAGATTTACAGCCCTTCGGCTATACTATTTCCAGGACCCTGGACAAATGAGAGAGAGAGAGAGAGAGAGAGAGAGAGAGAGAGAGAAGGCATGAGACTGGCCCCCTCACCAAACTGTACGTAAGTCAAATTACTTATTCACAAGTATTCCTTCACAAAACATTTGTTTCTTTTTATATTTCACAAGAAAAGGGCTCCCGGACATATGGCATGTACCGGCCCCCCAATATTGTACCAACCCATTAAATATCTTCACAAATGAAAATGAGGGTATATTCTAAATCAAAACATAAGAGATAACTAAATCTGAACTAAGAAAATACCTTTAACAGTAATAGTGAAGGGAAAAATCTTATGACATATTAATTATAAGTATCCTCAAAAACAAGATAAATAATTCTTAAATGATAATGGATCATTAAGAGTAATGTAAAAGAGAATTCAAGAATAATCAGAACAGGAATTTAACAAATAATAATTATTACGAGTCTAAGAAACCCAATAAATCACCCACATACCATAAGAAATTAGCTAAGCATTAATATATGCAACATGAGACTACAAAAAAAAATTGTTTCAAGGTCTAACAATTGCAATAAAATAAGCTGTAATTTGAAGCGGAAACAATTGTGCTTAATAAAGAAAAGTTTGAATTTGGTTAGAAAATAGATATAAAAATTAAATTACTATCTACACATACAAAAAGAAAAAAGAAGGAAGCATTAAAATATAGTATAAAACCTTTGCCCATTGTTAAGTAACATATGAAAAGGACATAAAACACATGCCCTTTTGAACTATAACTCAACAAACATAAACATACTGCTTTAACTATCACACTAGTATAAAATAAATGCTTTTGCGACAATTATGTTAGTAGTTGTGTAATGTCAGTCTTAAATCTCTACCTCTATAACTGCTTCTGTAAAATTTGGGCTCAGGAGGGCCACTTCCGTCTGCTTCAAAACCTCTTCTTTGCCGTTTCCTAATAAAAATAAAATATTGACTTTATACAATTCTTGTTTTTATCTCCATCTCTCAAACAAAATGAGTAAACAATCCTAAATGTGTTGAGGCAGTCTGAGAGATGAACAATTTGAGAAAGATTTTAATAAACCTTAAAATAAAATACGACTAGACTATAAGAGTAATGGGAGCCAAAACTGAAGAAATAGAATAAATATTGACTATTGTAAATTAATAGCTGACATGCAAATTTGTTCTTAGTTTAAAAATTTATCAAATTAGGTCTTTGGAGTTAATTTCTGTTTGTCATTGAATTTTTTATCAAGACATGTTGATGGGTGCAAAAGTGCAAGCAGGATTCGCCACTCTCGTGGTTTGGTATATTCAATTTATTCAATACCTCCTTTTCATTTTAAAAGCTTTATTTGTTTTTAAAAATAAATTCCAACACCCACGTCTTGACAACTTACATCCCTGATAAGACCTTTTAATTTTTTAACATAGATTTAGAATCTTCATGTGAGTCCAGTGTTGTGAAGAGAGATTTCAAAAAAGAATAATGACACTGCCTAATGAATAAATATTACTTTTATATGACAGTAAATAAAAGTTACTGTCATATAAATACATACATTCATAACAAGAAAAAAAAAAAAAAAATTAACTTACAGAGAATACTCATCCAGACCATAGCGGCCAGCTTGCATCCTACAGAGGTCCTTGACGACGGAGATGACTTCTTTATCAACAGGTGACAAATTCATGAGATATTCTGGGTCTGAGGCAACCTTTACAACCAGACCCTCAATAGCAGGTCTTAGGCTCAGGACGGCCATTGCTGAAGTCAAGTCCATTTCAAAGTTAACCCTGTACAACATATGATATTAAGTAATGTTTAAATAACGAGAGGTTACAGTCAAACCAGAACATAGATTCAATGGTACACTATAGGAGTACAAAAGCAGTTCTGATACTCAAATAATAAAAGTATGAACCATTCATCGATTTCTCAATTTAGTCTATTGAGCGATAATGAAATAAAACACAATATTATTATCTCGTCTTGATCAGGTTCTTCAAATAATATTCTAGAAACAGGAGTGCAGAAATAGGATCGTTTAAAATTTTGAATAATGTGATTACACTAATGATGTTTGCGATATATTAGGATTACATAAAGCAGTCATAGATTTCTCTATCCAGAATATGAAATATCTGATCCAAGAAAAATATTGTGTAAGCATAAAAAAATGGTATGAAAAAATTTTTATTCAAAGGGTTTTGGCACTGTTTATTGTTCTCAAAATGCAAAATATCAAGTTTCTCATATAATATAATCTTGGCAAAATTTGAAAATATTTTTTTAAACAAGAGAAAATATTGACTTTAAAGATGTACCAATTATCGAGTCTCACAGCTTTGTTGACTAATTCCACTTTCCTTGAACCAAACAAGAGTAGATGCAGAGGTGTTACCATTGTTGTTTGTTTACAGGATACAGCTCGGGTCCTGATCTAAAATAAAAAAGGTTCAGAGGTAAATTATATTTTTTCAAGAAAAAATACAAGTAACATTGTATCTTATATTATCATTAATTATATTTATTTAACAAAATATATTTTAATTAGTTAAGATGTTGACTGCTAAGCCTTAGGACGGCCGCAAATTGAGCAGCAGCAGATTTGTAACAGAGGAGAGACATAGCACCTAGTTTCAGAGCCGTCTTCATAAATTGAATCTAGCTATGTATGTGCCTTGTTCCGATAGAAGTGAACGCTACGGGTACTTCACCTCGAGTCCGAATATGACGAAGAATAGAATATACAATGCTTCCCTTCAGTATTATTTAAAAAACAAATTTATTTATTTAATTTATAAGTTATAATTTAATTAATAAACCTAAATTTCAAATAAATACCGTTAAAATAATAAAAGTGTATTACCTTTTCACCAAAAACAAAGAAAGGAGATGGGAAGTTTGTTTCAAACTTAGTGCAATTAACAGATGTTTTATGGATTAATGCTGGCTTAGATTCTGTAGTCAACACCTGAAAAAAAATATATATATATATATATAAATAAAAACTTGTAGAATGCAATACGTTTGGTCTTCAATTGAAAATATTCTAAATTTGTTTAGAGAGCAATATTACAACTTCTTTATAAAAAAACACTAATTACTACTCAGACCAACATTATGAACCAATTACAGTTGAGCAGTTATATATTCAACTTTCATAAACTGAAAATATTTAAGTATAAAATAATAAATGAAAATAAAATAAAATGGTTTGGTAAAACTATCACAGGAGGGCTATTGATATATCTGAATTTGGACGCACAAACAATGGGACCATAGAGGCTGAAGGAAGTCGTATAATTTAATAGTCAAAACAAGCACAAATATCGAAAAGTTTATAAATAATTTGAAGTTGTTTTAATTTAGTTAAAGATTTCTTTTAATGATATAAATTAAAAAAGTTAACAATCACAGTACACCCAACAAATTAGAGGTCAAATAAATAAAAGAATTTCAATATTATGAATATAATAATAAAAGCCCCACTTTAATAATTTAAAAAACTTTGTAAGTATTATTCTACAAAGTGTTTAAATTTATAAATTAAATGTACAAGAAAATTTAAAATGACATATTAAGTACAAAAAGAATTTTTATGCAAATAACATAGGTGGGGAACCACCAATATTTGTGACGTAAGTACGTTATTGTAAAGCCTTAATACAGCTATATATTTCTGTACAAATTTTATATTTAAAAAATCTACAATAAACTAAATAATTTCTAGAATGATTGTATCAATTATACTGATCACACTGTCTTACATTGTTAATGTTTTTTCCTTTAATTCTATATAAAATTTAAAAAAAAATTAAATCAATCGTTAATACATCTTTAAAAAAAAAAAAATACAATTTTTAAAAAGATATGAGTATATTTCTTTGTAAATGAGCATTCAAGTAGTTTCGGCCTCCAAACGTTTGTGCACAGTATTTATTAATCCAGTGATAGAATTAATTAATATTTAATTATTTAAGTAACATAAATTTGGAAATTAATAGAATTAAGTTGAATGTATGTATTTGGGTGTTTGTATTTAGTGATAAATAAAAATAAGCATTTAGTATATACAATTTATTTATGTAAAGCTTTTTATCTAGCTACTTTTAAATGTAACAAGTTTTCTAGTCAGATGTTATTCTTTTTTTTTTCTGTAATATTCTGTTATTCTTAAGAGAATTCGTAGCAGAATAAAGTAATTTTCTATTTCTTTTACTAAAATATAAGGAATTATTGCGGCATCCATTAGCACTGCCTGAATAAATAAAAAGGTTCCCAACCTATGTCATATACTATCTACTTAAGTATATAATTGTAAAATCTTAATAAAGCTATTTAATTTTGTACAAATTTTATATTTAAAAAATCAACATTAAACTAAATAATTTCTGGAATGATTGTATCAATTAAACTGCTCTTAATCTATGTCTTACATTATTAAATGTTTTTTCCTTTAACTATATAAAATTCTAAAAATTTAAATCAATCATTAGTACTACATACTATTACATAATTTTTCAAGGAAAAATTAGAATGTTTAAAATTATACGAATATATATTTCTTTTTAAAGAAAAATTCAAGTTTAGTAAAAGTTGTTTGAATAAATTGTTAAGTGAAGCTGGTTCAATACTAATTCATTACCTTTCTTTTTTCTTTATGGTAGCACACATTAGGGTAAAGACCTAAACATAACAGAGCTGTTATTATATCTAGGTTCTCGTCCTCATCATTAAATTGGTAAAACATTGACATCATGGCTTCTTCGGAAAATCCACAAGTGACCAACAGGTCTTTTAGTTGTGTCTGTAAACAAATATATATAAGTGATAATGATTATAACATTGAAAAACTGCTGAAAATTAAAAATTAACAAAAATAAATTTACTTTTGCATCAGCTGTTACTCGAAGCGTAGGTTCAGAGACTTGCTTGGTTTCACAAAATGACATTCCAGCCGATTCTCCTCCCCTGCTACACGCAGATGCCCACTGACTGTAGACATGCAGCATTGCAAGGTGATCTGAACATCTGGTACCGGCGAAAGCCCTCTGAATTCCTGTTAATCTCCTTTCTAAAAAATCATAATAATAATTAATTACTCTTGTTGTGAATGATTACATAATGAAAGACATCATTAATATGGTTGAGAACAAACCAGTTATAAAGACTTCGGGGAAAGTCGAACTGTTAGCAGCTATTGTAGCAAGAGCGTCGCCAACTTGGAAAACACAGCCTAGTATCATCATTTTACCAAGTCTTGGTTCTATCGGCAGTTTTGCTAGTATCTTGCCTAGAGGAGTCAGCTCATCATTACTATCCAGACACTTCATTTCTAAAAATTAAAATATTGATAAAAAAATAATAAAAACAATCTCGTTATGATTAATAACTAATTCAATGTACTACAAATTTAATTTTATAATCTGTTTATTCATTTAAATAAAAACAAAATAATGAACCTTTAAGAAGAACTTCTGCTTCTATCACTGCGTCAATTGGTGGAGGCTCAAGCGCTTTTGAGAGAAAGTGACGTATACTTCCCAAACGAAGGAGCTTTATTGATAAGGCAAGTTCATGAAGGGGAGTTCTGAACATTTCTGGGGTCATATGTTCATCAAGCTTTTCGTAACGTGCCTATGGAAAAAGATAAAATAAGTTTATTATAACTAAACCAAAACCACAGAGCTTCAAATTAAAAAAAAAAATAAAATAAAAAATACAGACCTTGGTGAGAAGATGAAAACAGATACCTGGTCTGACACGACCAGCTCTACCTTTCCTCTGTTCTAAGTTTGTTTTTGAAGCCCAAACTGTAGCATAATTTGTCATATTATTGTGAGAAGTAAATAGTTTCATTTTTGCTTTACATGTATCAATAACGAAGACGACATCATTGATTGTAATAGACGTTTCAGCAATGTTGGTCGAAAGAATGATCTAAAAACAAAATAAAATATGTATTTTTAAAACTTATTATTAAATATGAATTGTAAGATAGGAAATAAGAGCAAAATAATTTAATTTTCTCTATACTAGTATGTAAAAAGCTGAAGGTTTTGTTTATTTGAACACTGATTTCAGCAAGAATCGTTCTGGGTCAAAAAATTCTTTATATAGACTGTTTACTGAGGAAGGTTTCAAAATTTACAAAATCATGCTACAAAACATGGAAACAGAACAATAACCATAAAATGCAATTAATATTGAAACTATGTTTTCATGCTAACATAGTAAGGTACTGTGATTTAATCGTCGATTTTATTCAGTTTATCAGACCAATTTAACCTAATAACCTGAAATTAATATGAAATAAACACGTATAATCTAAATTTAATGCAGGTGAAAACGCAATCGCATAGCTACTGTCGTTATATATTTAGTTTCCTTTAAAATGTTATCTGAATATATTTCTGAATTAGTGTATTTGGATACTATTAACATATATATAAATTTTAAAGTAGTTAAAGAAATTTTAAAATACCTTCATAACGTCATCTGCAACTGGTTCAAAAACTCTTCTTTGGTCCTCCCTAGGTAGCTGAGAATGGAGAGGCAAAATACGGTACTTATTTCCACCTAAATAACATACATATTGTAAATAATTAAAATATTCATAATAAAATAAATTAAAACATATATTTATATATATATAAATATATAAAGTAAATATATTTATGCTAGCCTTCTCAATACTACACAATATTACTGTAGTGATAAATATTCAGGACGCAGTCATTATAAAGTTTTTATTGGTGCCGATGTTTCAACCCAAACATGTGGGTAATCATCAGTGCGTGTTTTAAGCACTATGGGGTATTCAAGTACTGTGAATACCTTCAGCACTCGAAACACGCCCTGATGATGACCAACATGTTTGGGTTGAAACGTCTGCACCAATAAAAACTTTTTAATGACTGCGTCCTGAATATTTATCACCCATGATATGTAGAACAGTTGGCTAACTTCCTTCAGGATTACTGTAGCTTTAAGTTTTTGATATACAAAATAAGAAAGGAATAAAAAAAAAAACAGCATCTTTATGCTGAACAGTGAAAATTTATTTATTGAACAGTACCATAAAACAAATCATGGCACATTAATGCTCTACTGAAAAAATTAAGAATTAATTTTTTTTTTTATTCTGATTTGAAGTGAAATAAAATTATGTATTTTACGCAAAGAAAACAAGAATATTTTTAGACTCTCTGAGAGGAGTATATAATTTATTTAAGATAAAAAGTACAAAATCTTGTTGTTTGTTTTGTTTTAAACAGTTATTACTCTTTTGTAATAGCCAAATGAGAAAGTTAATACCTTTCTATAAATTGTTTTTTTTTGTTACTGCTCGCTAAATTAAATTTTGATTAGTTATTTTAAATTATGTTTGGATTAACCATTTGGATAAACAGGACTCTACCGCCTTTATCGAAACATTGTTACTGTTTATCCAGTTTAAAGTGTGTTTCAGGTCATCAGAATGTATTTGATAAGTCTTATAAAACCTTAAGAAAATTCTTTGCAGAAAATCCATTATTTGTTGTAAAAAGTCTTACTAAAAACTGGATGTTGTTGAAGGAATTTCATAAGAGCAAAGATCACATTCCAGCCAGGTAAAAAGATCAAAACAGCTCCTTCTAATCCAGTACCTTTGCAATGCTTGATTAGGGCCTGAAATATTAATTAACGGGTCAATGCAAATAACGTGAGTGAAAACGCAATATACATATTTGTAAAATGCACAAATTCTATACAAACCTCTATTAATTCAAAACTTATATCTTTCTCGTTCATTTTGGAAAGGGAAACTCTCACAGCATCACCGTATTCAGGACTAACTTTCAAATTCATGTTTTCATCATCTTCACCAGCCCCAACAGTTTCTTCATCTTTATCTTTGTTTTTATTCTTACGAGTGTCAGGTGGAGGTACAAATTTAACCATTTGAACGCAATCTTCCAAAAAATATGCTAAAATGACAAAAAAAAAAAGAAGTTAAAAATTATGGTAATGGTGATCAGAAAAAATGATAAATAATACCAATTAAAATGTCTAAAAATAAATAAATAAAAGTACAAGACGTCCTGATTAATTATTAAGTAAAATTATATACTTCTCGATTAAATTTTTTTGGGGTTACTGAAATACATAATCTAAACTCATAAGAGATTTTAGCATTCACAGGACCTGTAATTGAAGTTTGGAGGGAGCGGATATAAATAAAAGAAATAACATCGTAAAAAAAATTATTGAACTTACTTTTAACAGGAAATGACCTGCCCGGAATTTCTAGTACTCTACATTTATTAAAATATTCAGAAAAAAGGGTGGTATCGATAGTAGCAGACATGAGGATGACTCTCAGGTCTGGGTAGTTGTGCACCATATCCCTCAATACAACAAGTAGGAAGTCGGAATTCACATCTCTTTCGTGTATTTCATCCACTATGAGATGGGAGACACCGCGCAGTCCTCCTTCCAGCTTTCTCAATAATACACCTGTAAACAAAATATTGTTAGTTTTATTGAGTTGACTATCATCCATATAATCCAAAGAAAACTGACATGTCTTTTATTTGCCACTGCTTATACAATAGCCAAATTTCGGATAGAAAAAAAAAAAAAAAAAATCAACTTACAATATAATTTAATCTGGAATATTAGAATAGACGTTCTTGATAAGAACTTTAAGTATGGATTGTTAATTTTTTTAGTATCAGTATTTAGGTTTGAAAATTTTTCAAGACATCTCAGAGGCATGTAGATTCTATGCGAGTATTTGCGAAAAATACCCTATTGTTCTTAAGGCTAGGTTTATGATCCCCTAAACCAGGGGTCCCAAAACCTAGAGCTTATGAATTTAAACGTAATGTTTTACGATTTTTTTCTTAAATGATATAAATATAAAATTCATGGAGGTATAAGTGAACTAAATGATAATTCATTTATCGATATATCACTATTGCTTTCTTTAATTTATTTATTTGGCAGTAACAATAACAACCAATAACTGTTGGTAGTACTGCTACTTTTAAAAATAATAAAGATGTTTAATCTCTGCTCTAAACCAATATAAAGAATTTAAATAATGAAAAAGGAAACTAACCAACTGTGCAGAACATGATGGCCGCATATGGGCGAGGAAGGCAGGACTCAAACCTTACACTATAGCCCACGCTCATACCAATTTGTTCACCTCTTTCCTGAGCTATTCTATCAGCAACAGAGATTGCCGATATCCTTCTGGGTTGAGTGACGACAATATTGCAGAAAGCTCCCTGACCAGACATGATGTAATCATCTAATATAAATTGGCAGACCTACAAGAGACATGAATCATTAGGTACAACTAAAAAACACAAACAGTAAAAAAAAAAAAGAAAAAAAAAAAGAATTACCTGAGTTGTTTTACCACATCCTGTGCTTCCTCTGATGATGATCACAGAATTATCATTAATGGCATCCATTATGTCTGATTTCATTGAGAATACAGGTAATTTTTCTCTCTCAGCATTCATTTTTTGCAATTCTGAGTCGGATTGGAGGCGTTGTCTAGCTTCAGAACAAACATCTTCACTCAGCTGTTCCAATGAAGCCTAAAATACAATTAAGAAACTATTTTTAGAAAATTTGCAAGATGAGACGTCATGGGAATCAATTCATACAACATACAACTAGCTAATATTCCAAAAAAACAACAAGAACAAAACAACTGATTTGATGTAACAAAAATTTAGTTGATATTCAAATCAATTAAGCACAACTTTAAAGGCTGGTTTATATGGTTATGTTGCTTGATCAGTTTCTTGGATAAACTCACTTTGGTCATGAAAGATGGCTGTAAAAAGATTTTGATAGGTCGTGAAATCTGATTGTTCCGACATATTGGAAATTTTTGACCAAATTATAGCAGTGCTCCTTGTGTTCAGGAAACATAATATTCTTCAATACACGCTCTGTAGCCGACCGTTTTTCTATTGTGTGATGGCCAATATTACATTACCATGCACTTTGCTGCCGAACATTGGTTCATCGTAATAATAAAAAGAAATTTATAAAAGGTTTGACTTACTGTAGCAAGTGGACCTTCATCAATATTACACCCAGTCCACGGATTCCAATTCTGTAGAGGCGGTGACCACGACACGACACCAGCGTTGACTGATGTGGTTTTTGCAAAATCTGCCAGAACAGTGGTTGAAAGGAGGGATATTGGTTCTTCACTTTGCTCATTCTGAAACTTGAAGGAAATATTCAGAATAATAAACTATAAAAAATCAAATAAATATTCATAATACTTAAGTCTAGGATTTTTATTTCATTTGGATTTTTGTTATGGACAAAATGTATAACAAATAACTGCACTACTGACTAGTCATTGACATGTAGGTTTTATTTTTTTCATTTAAAAGAAATGACAAATGTTATTTTATAACCCCTAAAACAACTGTTTGACTGTATAAAGACAAAATACTATTTGACTAGGTGATTGTTGAAAATGTGAACTTTGCCATGACAAGATTATCAATAGCTACAAATGGACCGTTATATAAAACAAATATAAATATTTTGAGGATAAGTTTAGTAATTCCAAAAGATAAAATTCGTTTGGGAGATTGTAGTATAATTTTATAATTACAACCATCATTATTTTTAATACAGTCAACAAGTTAGGAGCCATATTGTGTCCAGGCCTATTCAAGTTAACCATTACAAAAGTAATAGTTCACTAAATTCTCATGCAGAAGTAGAAAGGATGGTCAATCATTGAGAATAAGATATGAGTGGAGATGATGAAACAAATCAGAACAATGAGATATTATCAATGAATCAGAGGACAAGCAGATTGCAAAAAGTTGTAAGAAACTAAAACTGCATATTTAAGGTTTGTACATGAATGTGATGTTACAGCAACTTTTTTGTCAAAATCGGCAAACCGGAAGTGACACTTTATAAAACCCCATACAATTATGGTTTATTATTTTCAATAATCAACCATTGTGATCGACCAAAAAATTCAAAAACTTAACCGCCTTTCAAAATTTGAGGTTTCATGTTTCAGGATGCGTAGAATTCGAAAAACGAATAAAATTTTTCTTGTCCGTCCGCCGTCAGCGCATTTTCTCCGAAGCTACTGGACCGATTTTTTTTTTTTCAAATTTGGATATAAAATCAGAGGTCACCCGAGGATGATCTTCCTTCATTGATATTATTATCCGCCTTTTACTTTCAAAATGGCGACCGAAAAATCTGCGTTGCTGTAGACTGTAGCGCCTAAACGAATGCAGCGATTTCAATGAAATTTCGCTAAATTCATTTTCTCTACGCCCTTTAAATTCATCTATACAACATACTTCAACGAAAAGAAGCTGGATAAAAAGTTACGAGGGATGGTAAATTTTAATTCCAAATAACTCAAAAAGTACACTTTTTTTGGGATGTTGTATTATGGTTTTTTTTTTTTTTTTTTTTTTAAGTTTACGAAATTTCCTATAAACCAAAAAAAAAAGGGTTAAAATCGGACAATTGGGAGCAAAGATATGGTCTCCGGTTTTTTTTTATATATATATTCTTTTCCAAATGTTATATCGTTTGTTTGGTTTTCAAATTTTGAATGTGTTACTGAAGTAAGTTTAGTCCAATAATTGGAATCACCTTTTATTTATTTTTCTTTGTAATTAGAAGGTAATGTTACTTTAGATGTATAATTGTTTGCAAATAATAAACCATTGTGGAATAATTTGCAGCGTTTTTTTTTTTTTTTTTACAATTTTCTCAAAAAAGGGCTCTAACGATTTTGATTAAACTGTCTTTAATATTTTATTTAGGTCTTATCCCCACTGATGTCACTTTCAGGGCTTAAATGTTCAAAAAGTCTTCCTCTAAAGTACCGTTAATTTGGTTTATTTTAAATAATTAACTATCTCTTATCATTAAGAGCTACAAAAAAATTCTAAATATAACTTTTGAAAAAATTTGATAATTGAAAAATGGAGAAAAAAAAGGAAAATGTTTATTTAGGTCGAAAAGGAATTTCCGGAAATACTAGTTCGAAGGTATAACTATAACATATCGTAGGAAAGCGGAGAATTAAAAAAACAAAACAATAGCTAATATAGAAAATCGTAGAATGTAATGGAGAGTGACAAAGTAGAGAGGTAAGAGAAAGTTGTGTGTTACGCGCACCAGATTTATCGATATATCACAAAAAAAAAAAAGGTTGAAATCGGCGACCCACTGACTGTAGCCTCCCTCTATTAGTGCCAGCCAGCAATGACCGACAACGGCCAGTCTCATACAGAACGCGATCTATCGCAGAAATTCATAGGAAGCGATTGCAGATCGGGTTCTAAAAGAAGATATGAAAACATAACTCAAGTTTTTATCCGTTATTCCAAGGAGCGCTATGTTTGTTTCTCAAAACTACTTTGATTCAGATGAATATTTTACTTCCGTAAACATCGTGAAAATATGCTCATTAACACAAGTAGGAAATGTTTTGTGAGCGGAATACGCGTAAGTGTATTATAAAATTGGTGACAACGTTTAATGTAACGATTAGGGGCACCCATTCCCCATCCTAAGAAAATGTATTGTTGTCAATTTAAAATTGTACAAATGAAATAAAACTATAAAAATATTAATTTATTTTGCTTTGATTGTTCTTTCCAAAGCAAAGCTCACAAAAATGGTTACCTCCCAAAATTCAAAATCCCATAAATACTTACCTCTTTAAACAATCCACAATCCTGAAAAAACGAGATTCCCTCAAAAATGTTTACAGCGAAACTTGCGCCATGTTATTTGTGCCAAATACGTATATTTTTAAAATAAAAAAAACCTCATTATTTCACTCGTCAATATGGAAACCAAACTCAGGAGTTCGGAACGAGTGACAAGAAGTTTTGACGAAGACTTATCTTTTTTAACAATTAAGAGAATTAACGGAACTTATAATGGCTGGTCAAAAATGATTAACAATAATAACATAAAAGGAATTTAGAAATTAAATTATCACCTAGAAAAGCCACAATGCTGTGAGAAAACTAAGGGAGAAGTCAAAAGAGTAAAAAAATTTGATCAATTTTTGCAAGCGTTCACGAACTCAAAGCTTCTGAGTTTCAATGGCGATATCTTTTCACTGGTACCATTTTGTTCGCCAAAATGTGGCCACTTTAAGAGATTGATTAATATTTTAAAGTATTAGGTTATCTTATGATAAGGTTTGAAGTAAACTGATCTAATTGCGCAGGGAAGTCTTGCACATCGTTTAAACTTTTTACATAATAGAGCATTAACACTGACTTTCACTATAAACAAAGGAGATATTATTTACAGACATGAATTTTTTATGATTTTCTGATTGATGATAAAATTTATGCTGACTCTAAAACAGTAGTTTTGCTGGATAAGAATTGCAAACAAGCGCAATGGATGTTATTTATTTATTTTTTTTTTTTACAGAAAGGCAATGACTGCTGAATTTTGTTTGCTTTATAATACTGATTAATAGAAATAATAATGACTAATAATATTACAATATAGTAACAACCTAATAACATTCTTTGTTTTACCTCACATCTCCATTTATAGAAAATATAATTGCCTTTAAATATCTTTTATTCTGGGGATCTGATATTTTTCGAACCAGTCTTAAATTATAAACGGTAGGGCATACTAATTTCAGATGAGCCACGGAAGATATGCATTTAATGCCAACCTACCCATAGACATTTTGAAACATTACACCAACTTAATTACAAAAATATTATGTGCCATCACAAATAATTGACATTTAAAGTACTTTACAGGAAGACAAGCAGTTTTGAGAGACATGTATTGGCAGTAGCGATTCCAAGATTTTATTTTTGGGAGGAGGGTTTCAGATCTTTTAAATATACGTATAATGATGCTTTGTAATAAAAAAAAAAAACAAAAAAAAAAAAAACTAACTATATATACAAAATGGTTTTTAACCCTTTGACTGCGGAAAGGATACATGCCTTCCTGTTAAGAGCTGGGTCACCACTTAAACAGGTAGGGGCAAGCCACACCTTCACTATTTGACTTGTGGCTTGGTTGATGCATTCATTAGTCCCCTGTAGCTGACTCAGTGTGGTCATTTTCGGATTCTGAACCCAAAGTATGTCCTTTCTCTGTTAGTTGTGTCATATCCATGATCTTAATTATATTCTATTTAAATGTTTTATATATCAAATAAATGTTAATTTATAATTTTTTTATTTATTTTTGTTTTGACTAAATGCTGATTTTGTTACACGTGAATACTTTATCTACTAAACAAATAAATGTAAAAATATAGAGTTAAAATGATCATCATTTAGTTTTATCATTTTTCAATGCACCTAAAAACAATATATATATTTTATATGATACTTATATATTTCATTATAAGTGTTTGAAACATATGTAAGTGCAATAATAAAATTTATTACTGGGCTATTTTCAATGTGGAACTTTTTTTAGGTAAGAAATTTTTTTTGTGAATACAACAAAATATATAATTTAATTTGTATGATCATTTACAGTTATTATTGTGATAATTTTCAGTTATTTTACTTTTCAGAAATGAGCAAATAGGCAAGAAAGCGAAGTGTTGCGGGATTGCCGTTCTAATTCTGCATTGCTATGTGCGGCCGGGAAGGCATATATCCCATTTATTAAAAGTTGAATAAAAAGGTTGCATTTTTTGCAATTATTTGTCTCAATGCATTTTTGAAAGCTAAGATCTTGCAGGGTGACTCGAAATAGTATTTTAAACAAATTTATAAAAAAAAAATCTGTTTTTCTGGACGTCTTTTTGGATTTCCGGATGCACCATCTGGGTTAAGTGATTCTCAAAGTCCTATTGAAATGTAATTAATTACATGAACAATAATACTTTTAGAGATAATTTTTCAATATTTATTTCATATGACATGGTTATATACTTTTTCTATTTGGGGGAACGGGAAGAGCTTCAGCCAAATGCCTAAATATTCTGAAGAAATATGCAGTTCTTTATTGTATTGTATTGAAACATTATCTTTTTCAGTAACTGAACCTAGCTTTGGTTAGACTGAAAGATGAAACAAAAATTTGTCATTATTTTTCTTTACTTAATCATTATTTTGTTTCCTGCGACTGCGTCTTTGGAAATAGCATTATTTTGTTCCCTTCGGAAACTCTCAGTCTCATTTTAAGAGAACACTCTTTTCAAGAAGCTTTAGTTCTAACTCGTTGGTTATGAATCTCTTTATAATCACATTCTCAATTGGCAAAGTGGTAATTAATCATGTATTTACCATTAAAGAAAAGAGATTGAAATTGGGTTTAATACACAAAAAATAAAAGTGTAAATTTTTTGAAAATCTTGTCTGATCAAACAAGATTTAAATTTCTAAAACCTGGCACAAATAAATTATCTTTTTAATTGATTGTTACAACGTATGTTTTTGTGGACTTGCATATATTAAAATCCTAGTACAAACAGTTTTGTGCTTGTGTTTTTATTATTATCATAAAAATGTTACATATTTTGTTTCTGAAATAAACGATTTAAATGAGATTAAAAAACAAAACAAATATTCTCTAAAATACTGTATTTGGTCCTAAAATAATCAATAGCTCAAATAAATAATAAAACATTCTATAGACATTTTAAATAGACTACTGTGCTGTTCGGAGTTTCTAAACCAAAGAATAGACCTATTATAAAAAAAAAAAATCTAAAACAGTCTGATCCAAGACCAGTGATTTATGATAGGACCATTTGGTTTTTCAAATATCAATTTAAATCCAGTAAGGAAGTTAACTAAAGAAAAATAGCTATAGAAAAGAACATAATTACAAATTCTATCAAAATATGAACACCAGTATTGAGAAATAGCAACAGGGCACCCGAGGCCAAGGCAATTATTAAACAGAGAAAACAAGTTCAAAAACCTTATAGAAATGTAATGTCAATAGTTTTATCAGTTTCATAATGTTCGTTCATTCGAATCAGCAATATTATTCAATTGCGATATCAATAGTGACCTTGTGTTGATGCCATGAGGCAGAGATCATGTCTGAAAAAATGAAGAATTTTATCATAACTTTTGTTAAAACAAAATAATATCAATAAAAATTGATGGTGTAGTAACAAGCTAAAGAAAAACAAGGTAGATGCAATGTTATTCCTATAAAATTATTTTTTTTCAATTTAATTTAAAACAAGGACAATTCACATTTCTGTTCCATTGATTTAAATTTAATATCCTCCCTCAGTTTACTACAAATCATTCGATATTTAAAATAGTAGTAGAAGAAATATAAAACAAATGAGACTTCATGTAGTCTTAATATTAAACATATTTTCTGAAAAAATAATGAACCAAACTAAACATGAAGAGAGATTTACAGATCATCAAAGTAATCAGACCTTGAAAAATCAAAAAGAAAAAGATAAGCGAACAATATTAGAAACAAGTTTAATGAGTTCAATACAAATTGATAATCTTGAAAGATTTTGTAAGGCCTTCAAAGCAGAAAAACAAAAGTCTATCAAATACTGTTCTGAATTTTCAATGTTGTGCATATAAAACGTGATTTGTCCCAATGTTTGGGCGATTTTGTCAGTATTGCTGTGGAAGATGTGATAATGAAGTGAAAAGTAGCAGAACTATATCACAAGATCGCTGCGGCAACCAGTATTGAATCGCCAGAACATAGCGTTCTGTGTGTATGAGCCTTTAGTTTAAAAGTTTTAGGTTCATTGCAAAAAGTCACTTAGTACATTTTTGATAGTATTTTAATTTTCTAATTTTTTTTTTTTGCAATAAACGGATGATATAATAATTGACAAAAGTTACAATTCATGAGGTATTTTAATATTAAGCTTAAATTAATAAATGAGGACAAAACAGTACTTTAAAATAAATTTCTTTATAATTAGATGTTGGTTATGAATTATTCAACTATTAAAACACTGGAAACATTGAATTTGATTGATATAAGCAGCACCAATGCCACTTGAAAATCTCCTTATTAAATTGTTTTAACCATAATTTTTGAACAATTAGATAATTGCCCTAAGGTGAACTCACTAAGTTGACCTTACATCACTAACATCTTTTTTTTCCTTAACTCCAATTTATTTATTATTAAATAATTACAAATATCAAGTCATATTATGTCATAATCTTGAAATATATTGTAATATACACCTTTATTGGAAGTTGGTAAAAAAGGTTTAATAAATTAATGTTGAACAGTTAAAAGATAAGCTAATCTACCTCTGCTAATGTCAGGGGATGTTTAAATTTGAAAAACAGTTTCACCAGTTCAGAGAAAAGAAAATGGCTGCTCTATATGCTTTCATCGACCCTCCTATATTTTTCACAGCTTACAATGCTCAAATACTTCATCCAATCCCGCCCCACTAGATCTCGTACTTCCGATTTCTATCCTCCTCCTCACCGAACTGCTGCGTTTGACAAATCCTTTGCAATACAAGCTGCCTCCCTCTGGAATTCCATCCCTGCTGATATTCGACACGCTCAATCAGTTTCCTCTTTCAAACTTCTCCTCTTTAAGCACCTACTCCTTTCTCAATCCGACTGATTGTGAAATATACTTAAGAGAAATATCTAAGCACCACCAGAGACTACCTCAATTTATTAAGGTTATTTTAGTTTCTCATATATATGTACAATTTACTTGTTCTTTTCAGTATTTTTATCTTTAGTCAACTCTTATTGTAAATATACAATCTAATTGTAACCACACAGACATACAATCTGTATTTATATTTTGTTCTAAAGGGACAACAGTCCCAGAATAATAAAATATTTTTTCATTTCATTATAGTTTTCCCAAAAAAGGAAAATCCCAAAGAAGGGGGATTTCCTGTCTTAATTTAGTCTTGTACAGACATAGTGGATCTTACATAGGTGCTCATGTTAATTAGGCCAATTATTAAAAAAATATTTCATTCCAAAGTTTTGTCACTACGAGAATGAAGTGAATTATTACTTTATAGATCCTTTCAAAGCATTTAGAATATATCAATTTATACCTTTAAGAAAATCCAGTAATAACTTTTAACACTTGTTATTGGAGTAATAGCAATAGTTAAGATCCGTCACTCACACTCAATAAGTTTGCTACTTTATCAGCATTCTTAATCAGGCTATTCTGACTCTGTGGGAGAACATACTGAACATTCCATATCACTATTGTTGGTGCATAAGGTCGTACGGAAAAGTTAAGTGTTTTACAGAAGAGCATAAAAACTAATTATTTCTTTATGATGTGATACTAAAATTTCATATTTTATTGTTATCTGCTATTTTCCAAAGTAGCAGACTACAAAATGTCACCTTTAGCACAAAAAGAATAAAAATTATACTAATTTAAGCTGGAATATAAAAATATGCGTTAAGTTCATACAACTTTGATGTTTAAGGAGGAAATTGAGACCACGGCGAGCTGGCGGAACTTCAATAGAAATAAATACAATCAGAAATAAGATTTTTTTTTACAAACAGAGTAAAAATTAATTCTAAATTTACTGAACATTACACGAAATCTAAGTAACGGCAGTACGTGTCCATGCCAGTAACGTTTGAAATCAAACTATAAAGTATAAATTGAGTTTTTAAATAAAACCTTATAACCTCAAAAAAATATTGTATTAACCTAACCTCCATTACACATTTTTTCACAGTTATTATATTGTTAACAGTTATTTATATTACTTTTAATTATTAAATGGAATTCAATGAAATTGATACTAAGCAATTTTTATACTATTATCTAAATTTCCTCCAAGTTTGAATCAAATTGAACAAGCTATTTTCAGTCTATAGGCGTGTCAAATAATACATTTACTGTTCCGAATGCAGAACTATTTTTTTTTTTTTTTTAGAGTAGCGGATAGAATTTGATATTAACTCAATCACCTGTTAACCAACCCCTAACTTCCCTCCACGTTTGAGCCAAATTGAATGTGTGCTTATAGAGATATAAGCATACCAAGGAAAACACATTTGCAAATATACCAGGAAAAGTAGGGGACAGATTTCAAGAAAATTTACACTACCTCATTTTTTCACCAATACTTGTATTTTATCCAATTTTGAGCCAAATCGAATGAGCCATTTCTGAAATATTGGCATATCTATGAAAATACATTTATGTGTGCGGAAATGGAGGATGAAATTTGATAAAATTTATATGGGACCATCTAGACACCAACCCGCACAATCTCTGAAAATTGGATGAAAGGTAGTAGGTGATGTACCAGTTATATAGATTTGACTACAGATACCGAGCCAAAAAGTGGGTGGGGTGGCCGAATGGGCTAACGCGTGTGCAATGCACCGTCGTTGCCCGGCAACCTGATACATGAGATTTGATTAAAAATATAGTCACGAGTTCGCGTCCCGGTGCCCGGAGTTTTTAAATCATCGCCCACACTCCCTGGCCCGGGAAAACCCCCGTTAGCCTTAAAGGGGAGGGAGGGAAGGAAAAAAAAAAAAGAAAAAAAGATACCGAACCAAATTTGATCCTTGAGATCTGAAACGTAAAACACAAGTGGAAATTTTCGATTCTAAGCACAAATTTTTTTTTAACCTCTCGCAGGAATACAATGCTTCCCTGCCTTCGGTAGTGAGGAAGCAAAAAAAGATCTTCCCAGTTGAGTAAAAAAGAATGAAAGAGTAAAATATGTTTGTGGAACCTATGTGTGAGTCAGTCTAGTTTATTGAGAAATTGTATTAAGGTGGAACATTTTCATTTATTAATAAATAAATTCATAACAAGAACTATGTAAAAGCTGTAATAAACTTTCAAATATCACAAATCCAAAATGAAATTGGAACAATTCAAAATTTTAATGATGGAATCCTCCAAAACAGAAACCAGACTTCAGATATTAGGCCAAACAATTAGGCACAATATCAGCAACATGAGTTTGAGGAATTTCTTTTCTCTACTAAGAGAGCTTAAGTGCATAACTTTACCAGAATTTTAATATTCGTTCTGACAAAAATCATATTTTTTGGGTTGTTCTCTTTTTATTTTGTTTTTGAAATGTGATACGTTTTTACTTCTATAGATATTGAAATAACTGCTAACTACTTCAAATAATAAATTTTTCCTGTCTTAAAATTAAAAATCAATTGATATAAAATGTTATTTGATGAAAACTTAAAATATTAATGAAACATATAGAAACTCACAACAGATGGCGGTTTTATTTCAAGTTCTTCTAGAATTTTCATGATACGACCTTTTAATTCTGGATTAATAGCGACTTGATAAGGCTTAATCTGGTCAGTTGCAGCTTTCTTAAGAGTACCAGAAAATGGTTCAATAACACCAAGATGGAATAACTGTCGGACAAGACTCAAAGCGCAGCTCTTAGATGCTGTCTGTTTATTAGAACCTGTTTCTCTACCGGTTATAGCTAAATAAAAATAAATAAATGTATTAAAAAAAAAAAAAGAATAAAATAAGCTTTAATTGCTAAGTAACAATAATTCATTACATACCACGACCAAGTTTATGGACAGGAATTGTCATTTCAGCTACGAATCCCCTAAACAAAGAGAGAATTAATATATCAAATAAAATAAATTAATTAAAACTAAACCAAATTTCCTGAACATACATTAATAGTTGATTGAAAATTAATAAATTTAATTTTAGTTCCCCTCAAAATTTAACAGTTAAAACAGACAACATTACTATTATTTAAGCTACAATGGATAAAATAAAAATGATGATATCACAAGTGAAATTTTCATCTATCAACAGCATTTATCTAACGTTAATATTAAATTTAGGCCTGACGAAACTTTATTTGTAACCACCTTATTTGTAAAAGACCTCTTTCTGAATAAATATTAATCAAGTGTTGCATAAAAGGTTTGGTCAAATATAAAAAGGTAAATCCAATGAATTTGCAAGTCTAAAAAATACCAAATTGTAGTGTAAATACAATTGAAGTAACAAGCAGTGATTGTTGGAACAGTCCATGGTACAGGCTCCTTTTTATCATGTTATAAACATCTGCCTAAAACTTCATCTAATCGTAACCTAAAACTTTAATATTTAAAATTTTTTTTGGAATTGGTACATTATCAATCTAGATATTGGCAAACTTTGTCTATTTAATTAAGTACTAAAAACTAATGGACACCATTGCTTTTCACTTGAATCATAGGATAACTTGTTCACAAAATCAAGAAAGAAGTTGCGTACAGAAATATTGGGCCGTTTAGCGTGATCTCCACCCCAACATGTCAAAATAACGAGGTTACATAGAACAAACGAGCCAATATTTTTGTAGGCCACCTTTTATTTTTATTATTTTATTACTTTCACCTACCTATATATGAAATATATAGTAAGGAAAAGTAGTGCTCAGATCGTGAAAATTTCGAATCTGAGTTTTCAACAGAAATACATGTTTTAAGTTCTTCTGAGTCGAAATAACCAAGTCTTGCAAAATGATCTGTGTGTGTATGTATGTGGACAGTCTAGCTCAAAAATGAAAAGTCATACGAAAGTTAAATTGCATATTTAAGGTTTGTATATATCTAGGATGTCACAGTAACTTTTTCATCAAGCTCAAGTTACAGCAATAGTCAGAAGTTATATGTATAATATATCGTTGGGAAGCAGAGAATTAAATAACAAACAATCACTAATATATTAAGTTTGAAAAAGTATTTAAAATCCATGGATTCAAGACAATGACAATGTTTAAGATACTATTTCATTGTACTTGTGTGAAAGAAGAAGTGAAATAGAAAAATATTTCATGGATATGTTTATAACCTTAAATTTATTTACGGTAGTTTAATAACTCTAGATCTGATATTATATTTAAATAATTAAGTACCCATTGTCTGTTGATTCTGAAAAATCATCATGTAATCTTTTAGAAAATTAAATTAGTAAATAATTTGATGAATTTTCCTTTTGTGATATTATAACAGTATCCACTTACAATCAGTGTGACAACTTCCGACCTGTCTATGACAGAGAATGCAAATGACTTAATTCCATTTTAGTAAACTTTGCAATGGAAAATAACAGTTTAATAACTAATAGTCATACAATCCATAATCAACGGATCGTACAATCCATAATCAATCGGTGTATAATAAATATGATTTTTGTTATTTTAATGGTATTTATGATTTGTTAGATGTAAGCTTTTAGCTTTAGCTTGGTGAAAAATTCAATTAAAAATTTTTATAATAGCCCAACATGGCCAGAAAATAATAATAATCTATTTGAAGTTGAGCAGTAGTAAGTGAATGTTGTGTTGCGCACACCACATTTTTTTTATTTTGTGATCATATTATGTTAAAATTCTAGTGAAAAGCAAATAGATACTTATAACTTTTTACCACCTCAATTAATTTAATTTAAAATTAAAAAAGGTCCAATTTCTGAGAATTTTTGTAGATAAAAAATTTGAAGATTACAACACTTTATGGAGGAAACTTCTCAGAAAGGCCTAATGATCCAGGAGAACATGCTGCAAAAAATTATAGTCTGGAGAATTCCGATGCCCTTGAGGGAGATGAGGCAGAGTATGTCATAAAAAAAATTAAAATAGATAAAGTAGCAGGAAGAGACGGTATAGCTCCAGAATTATTGAAATTTGGAGGTCAAGAGAAGCTTATTAAATTTCTCCAGCAACTCCTCCAAAAAATATGGGACACGAAGATCATTCCAAGATATTTCAAGTTCAGTATGATCGTTCCTATTAGCGAGCAAGATAGCTCCATTTATCAGCAAGATATATCTGAAAATTACAGGCCAATAAGTTAACTTTCGGTGGCTTACAAACTACACACCTCAATCCTAGAAAGGAGACTAAGAACCACAGTCGAGAACCAAATAGAAAAAGAACAAGCAAGCTTTTGTCCAGAGATGCAGACTTAAGACCACATCTTTATACTGAGAAGCATCAGAGAGAAAGCTTGGGATAAGAACATATATACGGCATTCCTAGATCTCCAAACAGCATTCGACCCCGTCCCCAGAGAAGAAATATGGGATGCTTTGAAAGCAAAAGATGTTCTAGGAGATCTTATCATGGCTATTACATCGGTTTATCAGGAAGCGAAAGGAGTTGTGAGGATCAATGGAAGAGAGCCCAAGCCTTTTCCAATAGAAAGAGGTGTGAGACTGGGAGACAGTTTCAGTCCCCTCTTAGTCATCATATTTATGAATGAAATCCATAAAATTTGTAAGCCCAGTACTGCTTGGACGGTCATTGGTAAATGAGGAATGTTATGGTTCACAGCTTATTGTATACCGATGACATCGTACTGATAGCAGATACAAAAGACAAGATGCAACAGGCCCTTGTAGAATGGTAGGAAGAGCTCCTCTGCAAAGGAATGGCTATCAACACCTCATAAGAGCAAGATCTTAGTTCTTTCAAGAGAGGAACAAGAAGATGTCCAGCGGATCTGTTATGGTGAGGTACAGTACAATGGTGAGGTTGTGCAAGAATTTACTTATTTGGAGACATTCATTAGCAATATGAGTAAGATTTATGCAGAAGTAGCAAATAGGATTTGCCAAGCCAACCAGGTTTACTATCGTATCTGTAACACCATAGCAGCACACAGAGAAGTTAACACTGAAACAAAAAGGCATATATTTAAGTCTGTGTACCCACCAACCCTAACTTATGGAAATGAAAGTTGGGTTATGCTGGATAAGCAGGCTAGCCGGGTAACAAGTCCTGAGATGAAGTTCCTGCGAAGGGTAAGACCAGAAGGGACTGTTTCAGAAATGAATGGATAGGGGAGGAGCTGGAGGTGGTAGAGCTTAAGATTAGGCTTGGAAATCGACAAATGAAGTGGTTTGGCCATGTTTGTCGGATGGATGACGAAAAAGAACCTCGACCCACTAGGAGAAGATCGCGAGACCGTCCCAGAATTTTCTATCAGGAGTACATGCAGCGAGATGAGGCAGCTTGGCCAGAATCGAGAGGCGTGGCTGTGTTGGATAGAGGCTCATCGATGCTAGGAATGGCATCAGAGGTAGAAAAAGAAGAAGGTTGCAGCAAAATGAAGCTATTTACGAAGTTTTAGGAGGATGTTAATAATTTGATAAAAATGTGTCTTTACCACGGACTAGAAGCATTGGATTAAAATTTCTGTTACCTAAGCCTTTTCATTATCAATACATATATATGTTGTATATTATTTTTATGAAAATGAATTGATCTGTTACAAAAAACAAAAAGAAAACATGGTCGCCCCCACACATTAACAATAACAACAAATTAAAGCATATTAAATACAATCAATTTAAAACAAAACAACCAACACTCATTTCATTGTCAAAGAGAATTGGATACTTGCAAGGAAAAAAAATGTGTAAATTTGAATTGCATAGGAATTCAAGCAATAAAGAATGTATATAAGATTGATATTGCACTGAAATGCTAAATAAGGACTGTCTGTATGCCTCATAAAATTATTTTAAATATAAAATGGGCATTGGTTTTAAACTTTTCAAATCTCTTTTTGTATTTTTTATTTGCTCACCTGCCTTTGTTGCTCCATTCATATTATTTCCTTTAGTTCACTTCGCCAATTTGCTTTGATTTCTGAGACAGAATCATAGCCAATCCCTTAACAAAAATAATGTAGTACCAATCCATTCTAATAAATAGAGTAATTAAAAAGTAAAACAGTTTATCTTAATGTACACAAAAGTTCTTTTCTGAGTTTGAATATCGTCTTCTTGTATTGAGAGACTGCCAGGATACATCAAAGTTTTATATATCCTAAATATATAAAACTATTAATAGTTATAAAAGTAACAATTCTATGAAGTCAATTAATATTTAGTACCTTAAAAAGTTTTGATATAAAAATAACTCCTTTAAGAACAACCTTCCAGAAGAAAATCTCAGTATTACTCCTGACCCCTTCCACAATTTACTAAGGATGTTTAATGAGCAATCCATAGAGGATGCTTGAACTATTTATTAAAGTGGTTACTTGTCTCTATGGTTTAATTAAAACAAACCTAAAGTTCCTATATTAAGGTTGCAAGAATATTTTTCAAGGAAGTGATGTATCCTAGTAGGCAAATATATATTGCAAGTAGCATTTATACTACTTGAAAGTGAGACCAGGGATACCATATCTGTCGAAGTGTAACCTAAGCAATCCCGGTTTAAAAGATTCACCAATTTCATTCTGGCCTGAGTGGGTTGAAATTTATGTTGAGGTGGACCCACGTATGAGTTTTGACTTTCCCAATCTGATTAGAATAACCACCTTGTGTACCGGAAATGGTCAAGTAGGGGAAAGATAAAAAAAATAATTATGGAAGTGATAATATGATAGAGCATATCAGATCAAAGCAGCTCTCAATTAAGAGTTTGAGTATACTCTAGGCTGGCAATGGAATCCTACATCTCCCTGTTGGCGATAAAGGGTTTTTCCCTGGCCAAGGGAAATGGTGGAGAATTAATGCTAGAGTTGAAAGTCTCTCGACACTTGAAGTTAAACTTATAATCATTATGTTATCAGGTTGGCAAGCAACGTGTATTATGCCTACGCATTTTACCCAAATTGACTCCGTATTAATGGAATCACCTACTTGTTTTAAAAATCTGGATTTTAAAAACCAATAATCTGGATCTCTGGCTTTGAGAAAGCTAATCAGCTTGCAAGAAAAGATGCTGAACTTCCCCATGTAAAGCCAGCATATTCAGCAGGTATTTCCTAACATCAATATAAAGAAGCCTTAAAAAAACAACAACACCTTAACTAAAATGCCGAAGAAAAGGTTAAATTGGTCTAAAAGAATAATTTTAAAAGAGAGAAATATTAAAAAATGGAAAACCTCAGGGCATGAAGGAGAAATGAAAACAGATTAATACAACATAAACGATGATGAAAAGGTTGATTTTAACAATGACCTCTCAATAGAGATAGAGCGAAATAAGGAATTTTATCTGAGCGACACAAAAATGTGCAGGATCCATATTGATTAGTGTTCAAGTTTCGATGTGTTGAGGGGTTAGGAGTCTGGATTACAAAAATATTGAATCTGTACTGTTGTATACTTAATGTTTTAAACATTTAAATAAAATATACTAGGGTGTAAACTGACTGACTCTTGTAGTTCTCAAAACTTCTTTATAAACAAAAATAGATATCTTAATTTTTTTTTTTCATATCTGTGAATTATACATATATTTAAAATTTAGTTTATGCATATATCAAGTTCAACAAAATGACCAAACGATTTTTAGTAAAATCTATGATTTGGCATTTATCTTGAAATTAATGCTACTTTGTATCATTATTAGAAAATAAATTCATGAGGATATTTCAATATTGACTTGTAGAGGGGAGAAACATTAGGATTCTACACAGGCTAAACAGATTTGAATTTAAAAAAATTTAGAAGAGTTACTATGAGCATCAAATTGGTGGTTCAGAGATAGCTTCAAGAGGTAAAAATCATGGCCATTATTTCGAGGCCTAAGCTCTTTAGATGAGTAAACAGTAAATTTTCATATACAAAGGTAAAAATTAACATTTTGTTTAAACACTAGTATACAAACATTTCATGAAATCTTAATCAACCTACTTATATTACTATGAAAATTCTACTAAATAAAAACCACTAAACATTATAGTAACACTTATAAATAAATTTTAGATGAAAGTACAATAATTAGAATATTTTTTTGAAGTATGGTAAAAATAAAACTCAATTATTGCCATGCTTCAAATATTTAATATATTGCCTTAACACTTAATAGTTATTCTGTCTCAATTTCATTAGGGATTGGCGATGTTCCTGTCTCAGTTGGTATTTAAATTTTATTACTCTCACTAAACATATATTATGTTTCCAATAAGAAACAAAATATAAGCATGTATATTCAACGAAGAGGAACCCTTTCAGCCAAGTAAGGGAACCTCTTCTCATATGCATAACATTGTACATATTTACAAAATAATTTCATCAGAATAAAAAAGAAATGACATGAACGAAACAACATTTATAATAATTAATAACAAATTCGAACGATGCTATAAAAAACACAACATAAATGCTATCTATCAACATTCATAAAATGGAAAACTACTATTGCAATAGAGTTTACCATCTATATAGATAATTTTTACTTATAATCTGCAAGCAATAAGTGTTTTGTCACATTTATAACTTTTACTTCTTGCTATTTGTTGTCTTTACATGTATTTGATTCTGTGTGATTTTATTTAATTCTGTCTGATGTCAGCCGTCAATCTCTTTTATATTATTATATTTTTTTACCTATTACTAAATAATTTTAATCTATCTGTTCGTGTTTTTGGATCATAAATTAATCTGAGTGCCAAGACAAATCGCTGATCTTGCTCCACACTGGCTGATATCCAGGCTGATTTTGCAGGGTTGCGTTCAGAAGACAGTCGGTGGATGGAAGTGTGTATACAGTAATTGATAGTAATGACATTGAACGTACAGCTTTGCAAAGCCTTTAATAATAATATTATTAGTCAATGTAGCTAAATAACGAATTATTTTTATTTAATTTATTATGTTTCTACTTCATAGGAATAACAATACAATTGTATATCCATCCTCCATGGGGCCTAAATTATTGTTTTAAATAAAAAAATATCTAATGCTTTGTTTTTTAATCACGTAGATTGATTAATAATTAATTTCTAGAAATTAATACTATATAAAAATCTTAACACATAACTAATGTAGGTATACCTTTACAATAGAGGCTATAATTAAATAACTTTTCAAAGCGAATTCATCACATATTCCGGACAATCACAGAATTATCTTACCTGTTGTGGTCAGGACCAACAATGGTATATTTATAATCAGCATTGATTTTATTAACTTGCATAAACTGATGGAGTTTTGATTTAGCATTTTCCATTGTCCAGTTACCATGTATTGCAGCATTAACATCAACTTCTTCTGCCTAGATATAAAAATAAATAAATATAAACCAATTAAATACGAAACCTATGATTAATAAAAAAAAAAAAAAACTTCATATAAAATAAGAACTTTCTACTTTTATGAGGAGTTTATTACATTAAATTTTTATGAACAAAACATTTTCGCATATTCCATATCAGCTAGTTACTCCTCTCACTATGCTACTCCAGTTATGGCTAAAAGGTGAAGTGGTTTTGAGTTACATGAAAATTAATAATAACAGAGAAGAAAATTATCAGGCTTCATGATAGTCATAGTAGTGGAAAAGGATCTACTAATTTAAAAACATTTCTCTTTCATAAATTTCTTGCTTTAGGCTCTAAGGTCAGTTACTTGCACAATAAGGTTCATAATTAGGAATGAGGCTAAGTACATACTAAAAAAAATAAACCAACAGATCAAACTCAATGAAAATTAATGGATGCAGCAACATTTTTCAGGAGCCTAAGAATTAATTTCAAAGAGTTGTTAGCAATACTGTTTACAGTCACATGCTCAAATGTTGTACCAGGAGTACAACAGATTTAAAAGATTAGTGTAGTATTTGGTGATGAAACTTAACACTTATACAGAAAAACATCTGAGGCTAACCTATTCTGTCTTACATAACAGTTTGTAATCAATATGCACTGCTAAGGTACAGTCTGCTGCAAGTAAATAGATTCTTCTACTTAATAGTTGTCCATTTTGGATTCCAACATTAAAACCAGGACTTGTTCCCAGTAACTAAGTCTTCATAGGCTTTTTATTTTAAAGCATATAAGCCCTTAAAGGATTACATAGTTAAATATATTAATTCCTTAAAGCCCATGTATTGATTATTTGTGACAATGATCTCATGGGACAATATAAATAGCAATATGCTCAATAGCTTGCATGTATCCCATAATTAATAACAGGATTTATACACAGTCGCTACCAGATAGTGAAAGTTTAATGATAGTGTTTCCTAACCAATATGTCTGGAGACACAAATATTACAAATGTATAACTTATAAATAAATTTATTTATTATACATGAAATACATGTATAATAAATATATAACAACTAATTATGTTCTTCTGAATATTCAGATATCAGGGTAAGGCAGATTTTACTCAAAAAGACTAATGAATATTTATAATCAATTCGCGATCGATTTGATGAACCTCAAACTAATATTTTGTCAGGATGGATACAAAGATTCAGCTCCAGACACAATACAGTTTTTTAAAAAAATTAGCAATGAAACTGCCAGCGTTCTCTTTCACTTAACCTACGAATGGCATTCAAAGGTTTAGCCAACAGTTCATGAATATTATCATGATGCTGACATATTCAATGGGGTGAAACACAATTTTTTAAATAATGCTTGATTGGACTCTACAAATGTTCTAATGAACGATGAGGAGAAGAACAGTTGGGGTGATCAGTCAAATAAGAAGGCAAAATAAATGATAATATTTATTTTGTTCTAATGAACATTTATCTATAGACAGAATTACTGTTAAGTAGTTCATTACTTTATTTTAAAAAATAAATACGCACATAAATGTATATATTGCAAATAGCAAATAGTATTGATATATTATTCTTTTCTAAAAGCACTTTTTTAAAGTCTATTTGGCTTAAATTTTATTCATTAACCTTGTTCGATTTCAATATAACAACCAACTGTTATTGACAGTCAAAGGTGGATAAATATAGCGACCGTGGTCGTTTATAAAGAAGTACACTCCTTCAAAATCATAATAAACGATATCCATTATAATTGGTAAATGGTTGACTGTCGTGGATAATGAAGAGAAGAATAGTTGGGGTGGTCAATCAAAAAAGAAGGCAAAAATAAATGATAATATTTATTTTACATATGCTGACGTTTCGACCTGAAGTTCAGGCCATCATCAGGGCTAAGAAAAGAACCAGATAACAAGGTATAGAGAAATATAAAAATTACAGTAAAATGAAGTAGTTAGAATAAATGACATTAGAAAGAACAGAGATATTAATAATAAAACAGGGTACAAAGTGTGGGAATGATGAAGTAAACATGTCAAAAAAGGGTGACATAAGTATTGTAAAGGGATCTTAGAATAAAATTGGTAAAACAGGAAAAATTTTAAAGTTATAGAAGAAATGGAAATTATAGATATGTTTTACTATTTATATCAGTTCTTCTTAACTTTATATTTTTTCTGTTTTACATTTATTCTAAGTTTCCCTTTACAATAACTTGTCACCTTTTTTGACTACTATGTTTACTTCATCATTCCACCACTTTTTAACCTTGTTATTATTATTTATCTCTTGTTTCTTTACTAATGTCATTATTCTAACTACTTAATTTTACTGTAATTTTATACTTCTCATACCTTGTTATCTGTTCTTTTCTGTAGCCTGATGATTGCCTGAAAACTTCAGGTCGAAATGTCGGCATATGTAAAAATAAATATTACCATTTATTTTTGCCTTCTTTTTTGACTGACCACCCCAACTATTCTTCTCTTCGATATCCATTGTATATTTATTTCCAATCTGAAAGAACACCATGCCCATTTATGTATTTGGTCAGGAGAGGCAATTTTCCATAACTTCGAGCTATAATTTTTTTTTCATAGTTACTAAATATGTAGCCTTGAGGTAAAGGACAGCATGTCACATTTTTGTATTTGTCCAGGAAGCCAATTTTCCATAACATTGGGCTATAACATTTTTTTTTTCTTAGTTACTATATTATTCAATAAAAAATGGACATGCTACATGGTGTACTTTACGTCTAGGACACAGATATATATTAAATAAAGTAACACATATATAAAATAAATAAAACAATGATAATTACATCTTGAACACGTTTTTGCTCAGCAACAACATCAATGAAATGTTCACCAGGACCACTATTTCTTCCGACTGGCACATACGCTTCACCTAACGTGTTAGGTCCCATTCCTGGCTGGAATACAGGCCTAGAAGCCTGAAGCAGGTGACCACCATCTCCTGTTCCAACATCAATTGCTGATTTTGCCTAAGAAATAAAATTAAAAATATTTACACAAATATCTTTTAAACAAAATATAATTAAAATCTGTAGTCAAATTTATTTGTATATTAATATAATACATTAAATAAAATGACATATACTTAAAATAAATAAATCAATGCTAATTTTGATTTTTTTGGAAAATAGCAATAAAACATAATTTATCAAATATATCTATGTTTATCTTAGTGACATGTTTTTATTACGGAAGCCAAGTCATTATGGAACAAGAATCAAAACAATAATAAAAGCATGGAAATTTGCAAGTAGCAGAATAATGTTGCTGGACATTCTGGAGGAAGAAAAAATTCATTCAGTAATAGTCGCTTATGGGCCAAAGAATAGTACTAACTCTGATGAAAAAGATGCCTTCTATAGTGGACTTCAAAGAGAAGTTGATGACTGCGAAGGCACGCCCATAATTGTAGGGGATCTGAATGGGAGAGTCGGGAGATGATCTGATTGTAACAAATACATTTTTTTTTTACATAAACAATGTCATAGATTTACGAGAGAAGAAGCGGGAAGAAATGAAAAATCTATTATTGATTATATTTTGGTCAATAGAGAAGAAATGCGAGTAATGGAAGCCAGGGTCAAGTGAGGATTTGAGATAGGCAGCAATCATCTGCTGATAATCAATAGATATTGGAACGAGTTGAAACCACGAAAAAGAAATAAGAACTCCAAGAAAAACGTCATAAAATCATATCGCTTAAAGCAGGATGACTTGGCAACCTATTTTCCAGAAGAAATAGAAAGAATGGCCCTAGACAACAACAGACATTGGGACTGCGATGACATTGTCAGGAGCTGGGCAGCTTTTAGGAAGATCCTCCTTGATGCATCGAAATTGGTCTGCGTGGAAAAGGGTGTTGGATCTGGTCCTAGAAGAACAGCCTGGTGGACAGAAGAAGTAAGAAAGGCCATCGAAGAAAAGAAGAAAGCTTGGAAGAACCACCTAAGTCTTAGAACTCCCGAAGCTCACAAGTATACAAAGATCAGAGAAAAGATGCCAAGTTAAAAGTGCTTGAAGCAAAAAGGAAATCTTGGGAGGATTTTGGTCAACAACTTGAGAAAAATGGCAGGGAAAATCAGAAAATCTTTTATAAAGTCCTCAAAGGAATGAGGAGGGGCCGACCGACTTCACTTTGAAGGAATCAAAGATAACAATGGGGAGATCATTTGGCAGGAGGAACTGATTATGGAAAGATGGAGGGACTATTTTAAAGAACTGCTTGAGGGTAGAGATGTGTGACTCGGAGCGGGGTGGAGAATGTTTGGGTCGAAGACGACTACATCAGTGAGGAGGAAATGCAAGAAGGCATCGACAAGATCAAACTAGGCAAGGCAGCAGGTCTTGATGAAATCAGTCCCGAAATGATTAAGTTCATGGGTAGCAAAGGCCAAGAGATATTCCTGCATCTTCTGAACCTGATTTGGAAGGAAAAGAAAATTCCGAAAGACTGGGAAGTGGTCAATAGCTATTAAACAAAAGAAAGAAGGAAGAGAATCGGTTGAATAATAGAAGAGAAAATAGGGCTGAACCGTTTTGTACTAGCCTATTTTAATAATGATGATGTTAGTTGGATTTAGGTACATTTGTTTGAATTCATATGTAAAATAGTCTTGTTTCGTTGTTCAAGCCTACATAAATGATTTGCTATAGTTTTGTTAAAATTTTAAATAACTTTCCTTTTAAATTTAATTTTGCCAACAGCTTCACTGCTTTTGGAGTGGTCAAAAAGAAGCAGTCTGGATTTAGCGTCATACCTGGACTGCCGAGCATTGCAAACGAAATTTGCTGCTTTCCTAGATTGTTTGACACATTTATTCAACAGAAACAATATAAATATAAGAATATTCACATTTCTCAACAGAAAGAATTTTAAGCCCTGACATATTTTATTCAAAATATTACTTGTAATTTCTTCAAACCATGGTACCACTGTTTTAACAAGGGTACTAGTTCACAACAGCTCCGCACGGATTACGCATGGTTCACAATCACTTCGATCACACTTGTTCCTGGAATCCCGAATGCGTTCGTGTTTCTCCGAAAGAGAACGAAGGCGACCGATCTCTTGGGCCAGTTACTATTAACTTTCCCGCCAATTAAGTACTTTAACCTTAACCACGTTCAGTTATACAGCAGGAGCAGATTTACATTCGAAATTTAGGCTACACATCATGAAACCTGAATTGAGCTTGTACATATATTATAGATCTGTAAAAAAGAAATAGTAATACATAAAAATCTTTAATTATAGCATCTCTGGCTGCTATTTCACGATATTATTTTTCTTATAGATGATTTCCAATATTCATTATCTTGGAATTATTACATATTCTTCGTCAGTTGTTTCCCAAATCCGTTATTCCTTTCTCGAAAATAAATACTTTTGTTTTTGTACCATAGCCTACAATAATTCCTTTTTTCGGATTACCAAGAAAAATAACTGCGAATAACAATAATTACACATCATAATTACAAATCAGACAGTATATGCATACAATGCGCCCCCCTCCACTAGAATAGCCCCTCGTATTATTAGAAATCTAAAAAAATACATAAACTAGATAGACGATTGTGCGATTCTAAAAAAGGCTTGCTAAAATAAATTATTAATTCAATTATTCCAACTTCTATTGAAAAACTCGAATAACAAAAAAAAAGATAATAGATAACTTAAAATTATTTATTATCCAAATGATAAAAAATCTTTTATGCACAGTTATAAAAGATAATATACAGTATATGCGTATTTACAGCCACTACATGTAAGCATGTGTCAATAAAAATGTTATTTCTAAAAGCATTTTTTTTTTTAACAGGCCTTGAAGAAACTACTCAAACATTATTTTATGTATTTTTTTCTTTTTCTTTCTAAGTAATAACAGTTATAATAAAAATTAATAATTAACTAATTAGTAAATACACAATTTTTTAATAAGGAAGTTCCATAAAGGGAATACGTTGTATTTTTTTCAAAAATGCATGAAAAGGGATTGTATTATGGGGCAATAGCTGACGTCATAAAAGACGACAACATTCGGCTGTTTTCGGGATTCCATGAACAAGTGTGATCGAAGTGATTGTGAACCAGGCGTAATCCGTGCGGAACTCTTGTGAACTAGTACCTTAACAAGTGTTACTTCAACTTGAGAAGTGAGCCAAAATCACATGATCATGCTATAAATGAGAGAGGAGTGTAGTTCAGTGGGTGAGCACTGACTTCCAGAGGATTGACGTGTTCATCGTACAGACTACCTATCTTTAAATTGTGACTCACGACTCACCTGGTCCTTCTCAGTTACAATTGGGGTGTTAATTAGTTTTAATTGCATAGCTGCTTTCAACTCCTGTTGGCTCTAAAGAAATAAACAAACACCCCAATGGATCATTTCCCTTTACAGTTATGATAAGGACCTTACCTTACCACACGATTCTGTCTACTTTCGGAGACTCAGGACCATTCTCAGGATTCCATTTATGATATAATCATAAGATCTTGTCTCACGTCCCACTTATCAATATACAGTGTCACTTGTACATTAGTACTGAAACCACTACTTTGAAGAAGGTAAGTCTGGTAAACATTTTATAGAACAGACATATCTAAATCTCATTATTCAACTGCTAATAGTTTGAACAAAACTATTGACAGTATAGGATGGCAGTCGCTGCTGTGGGACATTACCTTTAAACAAGAGGAAATTTACTTCAAAAGAAGTTTCAGGGATTGGTCAACTCCATTTATAATTAGGTTATTGAACACAATCAGGTACTTCGACATTCTATGAACAGTGTAATAATTAACCACTGACCATGCAGGCGTAACACTTCTGAAGAACTTCTCTAAACATTACGATGTGTAGTGATAGAATACTAAGCTTACCTCCAAAGGAACTTCTGATGACGGAACAATATTTTGTCGAACCAGATATTGAACAAAGTCTTTGGCAGCATTGAACTGAGCATCTTTTTTAGTTGTTGAATTTCCTGCACCAACATAATTATATCCTGGTACCCTTACTTCACACAAAAATCTTTGCCTATGTTTGGGACCTAAAAATAACCAACTCATAAATAGGTGAACTGATACAATAAAAACAAAATCATTATAGTCAGAAGCTATACCAGTTGGGCGCACATCAAATGTAGGTTCAACACTTTTTTTATTACACCATTGGTGAAAAAATGATTTAACGTCCGACATACTTAGTAAAAATTGTTAATTTTAGTGACGATTAATTCAATAAACAAAATTAAATATACCTTGCTATAATATAGCCAAGTATATCATCAATCAAATAAGTATAAAAATCAACTTCCAACAACGAGTAAACAACCGGCTTACTACAAACTTTACCACGGGAATGAAAGCATTTGACAACATCGATATTAATCAGTATTCGAAATGAAACAATACTTGTTACTATCGATACCACAATATTGATTCACACACATCAATATAAATTTTGAATATTTAATTATATTTGAAAGAATCACTAATAATTTATTTAAATTACACTCTTGTAATATAGATGTTGCTTGTAATATAGATTAACCAATTTGATCGTAATTTACAATTAGATTAGAACTATTGAGATAGATATTAAAGTTATTAACGATATTTTACTCTCGATTTTTTTACTATCAAAGCTATTAGTTGCATTAATACCAAAGTGATTAATAAATTTGCAGTTTATTATTTGAATTACTCTTTTTAATAAAACATAAATTTTAAAATAAAAAATATGTATATTTATAATTTCTGTATTATTAAAAAATAATAATAATGAAAGATTATAGGATACTCGTAGGCACTGGCTGAAATGTTGAAATTAAAAACATATGATTTGTATTTACTTTGCAAAGATAATTTCTTATCATTTAGTGTTCACTAGCTAATACCATTGTATGAAGTTATGTAGAAGTAATTTGTTATTTGACATGTTTATTAGTTTAAAATCAGGTTTTTTAAGTTATTTCTTGAGTGATTTATTTTAACACATGTGTAGGTAAATTAAAACCATAATGCAATGTCTGTTCTATAGTAAATATTAAGGAGATCGTTGTAAAGTGATGGATTTACTTCGGTACAGGGACGAATTAATAATTACTAGGATTACTAATAGAAATGGAACTGACCATTTTCGGAAAAATGGTAAATGTTATATCATTATTATTGGTTTATAATTAACAGAAATAGTGTTAATCAGTATTATTTGACTTTGTTCTTAGTTAATGAAGACTCATCTGATGGTCTTGACTGGAGTTTGGACATACTCCCAGTTATGCCCAAGACAAATTCAGGTACATATTTTTATCTTACATTATCAATATTTAATAAATATCTTTTTACTTGTGTTTAAGCTGATCTTAGATTGCGATAGGCTTTAATTTTCAAACTAAGAAAAAGTATCTTTTCTTCTCTGAAAACTACTCTTCTGAAATCTACACCAGAAGTATAACTTTTTTCCTATATATATTTCAGTTTACTCCTTAGTTCATCACTGACTAACTAATTTTCTTATGATTCAATTTCCGTTCCGTTAACAATTTAAAGTCTACTTTTATTGATGTGGCATAATATTATTGTATGGAGTGATGAGAAATCGTTCTTCAGCTTGACATGTGATGAGTTAGGTGAACTCTCAGTGGGTACTTCTCAGTTAAGGGTGATGTTGTGACTAGTTGCACAAACAACACTTAGTTTGTTGTGAGGATCAGGTGTTGAAAATGCTCCTTATTTAATGGATTTATAAAAGCAAGTACAAGAGAATATGACTAAATAAGTTAAATATTTTGAGATACGACTGATAAGGAGTAATGGAGACTTCAAACATTTTAATCAAATAACAGTTTCATATTGTTTTGAATTGTAGGTCCTGCAGACAGGGATAGCTTTAAAAAATATAGATGAATTGTCAATAAGATAATTATAAAATCGAAGCAGGAAGAGTTTTCATTCATCAATACTTGATTAATAAAATTCACATTTTCTGTATATAATAAATATTAAGCTTACCATTTATTTATTCTTTCGACTTTGTTTCAGTAAAAAAAATGATTAACAGATTGAGGCAAGTGAGAACTTCGGAAACATAATTAAATATGATATTTATGCAAATGATAATTGTTCATATTTGTTTTAGGTAATTAACCCCCTAAAATATGATTAACCTCTTAAATGTTCAATCTCATTCCTTTCAGACTTGTTTAGGTACAAGATGCGGATGATAATGAATTTATCTAAGTGGTAATAATGTTTCACTTAGGTAATAATAATAGTTATTGAGTAACTGAATAGCTCAGTAAGTAAGACACTAGACTCCTGGTTTTCGATTCCGAGTCCAGCTGTTTCATTTTATTTGTTTATTGTGTTTCATGAATCGTGGATCGACTCTGGGATCAGTATTACTCTTGGAATATATTAACCTCCATAAAGAGGGTTCTAGTTCCTTTATTTTAGTGAGAAATAACCCTGGTGATAAAGCATGGATTTGGGCGCCAAGCGGCTTCAAGTTTCATTATTTTTCAATTACTATTTAAATAATTAATAATTTTAAGAGCAGAGATATGCACTAGTAATATCAGAGATATGCACTAGTAATATAGGTTTCTTAATTTATTGTTTAAAAATTATTGATTTTGATAATAGAATTGGAATAGAAAATAAAATTAATCGCGTATCCTTAAAATTTATTAATGTTGGTTAGGGTTCAATTTGAAAATAAACAACTCATATACTATTACTTTTTGTAATATGTTTTTTAATTATGATATGCCTATTGACTATTTCTCTTCCAATTTTGCCTACAGGTCACGTTTTAAAAAAAACAATAATTTTCAAAATTTTTTATTTGAAAATTTTGGGAATACAATGTCTCCATCTAAAATTTAACAAAAACATTCTAATAAAATATCAAATAAGACTCCCGAATTTCTTAAATTATATGTGAAATCTGTCACTTGAATATTGATTTGATGTGGCATTTTAAATATTTGTTCAATAAAGAACATGAAAAAATCAAGCAATATAAGCATTTAGGAAGGCTAATTGGGTATTTTATTTAATCTTTTTTAAAAGACAGTATTCCGAAGAGGGTGACATAGTATCCCCAAAAGGCTCAAATAAAAAAACTTTAAACCTTAATTTGTTTTTTTAATTGTCTCCTGTTGGTAAAGTCGGAAGGGAAATAGAATATGATGAAGGTCAAGCATGAGAACTTAATAACTATTTATATTTAAAATGTTTGCTACAAATTAGAATTTACAATACTATTACTCTGTTTTAAATTGTTTTAAAATGATTTTAGGGATTAAAAGGTTGGTTGTCGGTTGTTTGCTGATAAGTTTCACCCTAAGTCAGGTTAGAAGGTTTTCTCTGCATGTTTTATGATTTGATTAGTTAGCAAAACATATTAGATTTTAATGAAAGAGTTTAATTTCTCTACTGTTAGAGTTAGCTGTTTATATTCCAGATTTTAATTAAAGTTAGGATGGGAGTGGGATATCTCAGTGGTAGGGCGCTGAGCTTCTAATGCTCAAGGTCCCAGGCTCGAATCCCGACTCGTGACAGATAAATTATTTATTCTGGTTCTGTCCTTGGGATTGGGAGAACCTCATAGACCACATCCATATCCAGCCTCTATAAAGTGGGTACCCTTAATTAAATAATTGATTAAGAGGAAAAACTTGGTGGTTGAGCGTGATCTCGATAAATTCATCTCCTTGCATAACCATTGATCAAGAAGCAGTTCTTTCTTTAAATAGTAATGAACCCAAGACTCATTGGTTGTAAAAAAAAAATCAAAGTTAGGTTCTCTTTAAGTTTTAAATCTTTTAAAAAGAAATTAATCTGGTTGAATTTTGTTGTATTCTATTTTTTATACTTACTATTTATGATAGTTTATTGTTCGCATAGTTATTGTAAACATATGAGTTTTTTTCTTCAAAAAAAGCTACCAAAACAGTTTTTCTTTTCTTTTTTTAAATATAACCCTATGCATAACAATCATGTGGTAATAAATTCCTGAAAAAGAAACCATCTCAGCTACATTTCTGTGCTTACAAATAAAAGTTTAAAAATATAGTTGAGACGTAAGGCAGTTGGCATCCCCCTCCTCCCCCACAGTTCTTACCACGATGCATGAGAAGCGTTTTACTCTCATTAAGCTTGCAAAAAAAAGAAGAAATTTTTATCTTTCTCGTTTCATGTCCGCAGCTGTGCCGTCAAGCTATCATTAACGATTTTTGATCTTGTAGTTGTGTTGACAATATGCAGATAACTAATTATAAGTAGGAACAACAAATGACTTTATTTATATATATACCTTACATTTTCTTTTTATATATTGTTTGTGTTCATAGTATGCTTTTCTATCTTTATTAAACATGGTTTGCTATTAATTATATTATTTCAGGAAACAATCACTTGATCAAAAACCATGTCCGTGACAATCATCTTGACCGGCCTCGAAACTATGTGAGCTCTTTGCAAGAAAATCATATAAGCTCATTGGATGATGATTATTCAGGTTCATTAGATGATGAATGTGATAAGTCTTTTGAAGAAGACAATAAAACATCTATTGAGGATGAATCAGAATATACGACTGATATGTTACCTGCTGCATTTTGTGAAGCTACCGTTTGCAAAGGTAATAAATGAAATCCTTTTTTTATTTATCATTTTTAAAAATTAAATCAATATGAAAAAGGTTCAGTTAAAAAAACGTAGTTTCATTTATGGAGTAGATGTATGGTGAAGTATTGATGATGATAATTAATTGCAATATAGTTAAAGCATTTGAATGAACATTTTTTACAGAAGAGCCTGAATCTCCTCCAGATCAGCCAGATACAACTGGTGCAAATACTGGTAAGTTATTAGAAAAATATTTTTTTATTAGTATAATTATGATTGCAAAGTGGTGTTTCTTGATGTCGTTAGTACTTTTGACATTGTTGGTCTTTATTATATTATCGGCTTACCAGAGGCAAGAGGAGTCTCACCGGACCTTAAAAAAAAAAAAATGATTGCAGCTCTCCTGAGCTCCATTAAAATCAAGAGTCGGGTCCCACTCTACAAGCTGGATCAAAGTGCGGCGAGGAGTATCCCAAAGCAGACATTTGTCGCCTTCCCTTTTCAACATACCTTTAGATTATCTATACCCCAACCTGTGTGAACAAGAGGTTTTGAAGTGTTATGGATACAATCTAACCAGCAACCAATAATGTACGGTCCTCAGAGGCTTCGTAGATGACCAGGCTGTCATGGCACGCCAAGAGTGCTTCTGAAAGGATTATCAACTGTGTGCAAAGAACCCTCGCTGAGATTGGCCTAGCTGTAAATCCAAAGAAAAGTGTGTGGTTGTGGGACTAATAATTGATAACAGAGAGCTATAACAAACAAAGCACTTCCTAGAGGATGGAGAAGTCATCGAATAATCAAAAGCTGATGATAGTATAAAGTATTTAGGTTGTACGTTCTTGGGAGAGCTTGTACTAAATAAGGCAATGATGATCAATTGAACAACAACTTGAACAAACTGATGAGTTCTTTTCTTTTTAAATTGGAGCAAAAGACCAATGTTGTCAACCAATACGTGTTCCTGGGACTTACCTATTCTTTCCAGACAGAGTCACTTACAAAAATACTTCAGAAAGGATTGATAAAAATATCTGCTCAGCATCAAGGCCAATCTTAATAAAAGTATAATTTTTTTCTGAACTCCAGGACACTCTGGGAAACCAGAAAATAAGGCAGCAGATAAAACTGCTCATATGAATATCTCATCTCTCCAAACATATGAGCTGAGTGATATAAAAACATTGCTAAAAGACAGAGTGCGGAAAAATTGGGAGTCCATGTGAGATGAAGTTTCACCGACTAATAAACTTAGAAATATTAAAAAAAGTGGGTAAGAGCTGTAAGAGGAAACAGAAGAGAAGAAGTAGTGACAAGGATGAGAATCGGTCATACTAACCTGACTCATGTTCATTTAATCACAAAAGAAGCCCAACCATATTGCGATACCTGCCAATCCCCGCTAACTATAAAGCACATTACATATTACATTACTTCATTCATCAAGCCTTTTTATAAAACAAAATATCCCATTGTAGAGAACTATCATTAAAAGACTCAGTAGATTCAATAGATAATATAAAGCTTTTAAAGGAAACACAATTGAACCATAAAATATAAGAATTAATGCAATACGTGAAAAGAAACAATAAATTATCTTTAGGCCGTATTACTTATTAAAATATAAATTGAATATAACTGCATACACACACACACACACACACACACACACACACACACACACACATATATATATATATATAATTGTAGCAACTTTAAAATATAATTGCGAATTTATACATTTGTGAAGATAAATTGAAAATAACATGATAGCTCAATATAATGTAGAGCGTAAGATATAGAGCGTAATAATCAAGTTGTTGATCAACTAAGATAACTTGTAATCTAATTTAATCTTGAGATGCTACTGTAAACTTATAGTGAACCTAAGTTTAGATCAATTGTGTTGCTATTTGATTCAGTACTTTTTTAATTTTTTACTTCCTCTCTTTAGATCATTATTTATAATTTTTTTTTTCAAATTTATGCATATGATAATAGTTACAGATACACCAAAGCAAAAGAAGTTTCGTTGCAGTGATTGTAACTATTCAACTGATGTTTCATCACACTTCCGTGCTCACAAGAGACGTCACACGGGGGAGCGCCCATATGCCTGCCCTTTGTGCCCCTATCGAGCTGCCGAGTCTTGTACGCTTAATCGGCATAAGCTGACACATTCTGGTGCCAAAAAGCACTTCTGCCCTCTTTGTCCTTATAGAGCTTTTCTCGCTGGGGATGTAGCAAAACACATGAGGTAAAGAGAAAACAACTAATCTTAACGTTTTAGAGATTCTTATTCATTAATATTTTATTTTGATGCTTAAATTGGCTTGTGATTATTAAATTGGCTAATCCTGGAACTGATTAGGTTCATAGGTAGATATATAAGTTAAATATGATTTTGTATAATATAAAATATAACAAATTATTTTCATGGAGGTATGATTTTAATCAATCTCTCTTCTTCCTAACTTATGGATCAGAGGCATGGATCATCACAAGCGCAGAAGAGAAAGAGAATTCCATCTTTGAACAGAATATCCTTTGTCACGTTTGGCCCAGTCAGGAAGAGCTGTGGAAGGAGGAAGAATAAAGAGATCTCTGATTTTTATGTGGATATTGACACAATGAGGTACATCAAGCTTGGAAGACTATGCTGGGCTGGGCACGTTGACAGAAGAAGGAATTCCAAAAAAAATTGCTGGATGGAAGGCTCTACCAGGCCAAGAGGGAGAGACAGGTCATGGGCTAGATGGAAAAGAATGCTGTTATCCTGGATGCTCGAAGCCTCTTGACGACCCGCATATGGCAACCCACCGCTTAAGATGAAGTGAACTTCATCTTTTCGTGTCTGTAGTGCCATGGAAATAGTTGATGATTTTATTTATGATACATTTTTTTTGCTAATCCATTAGTGCTATCCATTATCATATGGGAGGAGTCCCCAACCTTTTTGTACTTTATAGGTTGCCAGCAGTGGGTAAAGTCTGTTTTTCTTAGATTTTTTATTGTTTGATATTGTTAATTATAATGAAAAGAGTGATTTTAACATCAAAAAGCATTACTTATATTATTTTTTTTAATAAATAATTGCTTAATAATACATTATAAGTATAAAATTCCTTTATATTAATTTTGAATATTAAGTGATATTTGTTCTGTATTTCATAGATCAGTGCTTGATAATAATCTTAAAACTATAATAATTTAAAAAAATAAAATAAGTGACAAGCATGAGAGAGCACATAACTAGAGATTAGATATGTTCATTGCATAATTACTATCTTTGTGGTTTATTTTTTGTTGGAAAAAACAAAAATGATTTAAAATATTTTGAAAGGCTATGGTATCAATAAATAGGTATTTTCAAATGAACTCTATTATATTTCCAATTGGTTACTTATAGATATTTTATTTTTAACAAACTTGTTGAACAGCAACACTGTCTAATGCAATTACCAATTGCCATATTTATCTCTATTATAGGTGAGGTGAGGTGGGCAAATTGGTGCCTGTGAGCACAATGTTTAGGGCCTCTGCCATTGGTACTATGGGGATGGTATTTAGAAATTAATTGAGAACATGTCTGGTTTTTGATTTCAACTAATTTGTTGAAATTCTCTGGACTCTAATTTGTCTAGAACAATAATGTGATACCTGTTTTTTGTTTACATGTTATTCTCGAATTCCAATACTCCATATCTTTTTGGACAAGTAAGCGTAAAACTAATTGCAGTATTTTTATGTGCTCTTCCCACTGCTGTGGCATACATTTGATCAATTATGGCTTTCTAACTACTCCATTTATGTGGTAAATTTCTATGACTTCTTTGCTCCACCACTTAATGCGCTTGTCTCTGAAGTTTACTTTTTTCGTTCCACCATGCTGATTCAAATATGCTTTCTTTCATAAATGTCCAGATTTCTTCCATGTCCTATTATGTTCTAACTTTTTTGGTTTTGTTTCTATATCTGCTTCCTATTCCTGTCTTTTATATACATATAAAATTGTATTTTTGTAAGAGTATATGGACTGTGAATTTGCATCTAAAAGCTAATGATTTGTGTATATTTCAACACTTCACTTTAATATCTGTGAACCAGTGTCTGACGATATATTCAAACCATCAGGTTATGTGCAAAGTAATCATTAATTATTTCCATGCTTTTATGAATCATATTTATCGGTTTCTCAGTTTCAAACATTCATAATTTTATAAAACAGTCCATGGCCCTTAAAAGAGATAATTAGTTGCTGTTTGGTCTAGTTAGTACTGAATAACTCGAAATTTTAAGCTTTCGGATTTTTGCTTGTCAACCTTGATGCGAATAATCAATAAACAAATAGAATTTGACTTTGCTCACTCTTAACTATTAAAGTTCTATTGTAATTAATGGCTGATAAATTTTTGTTTTATTGATATGGTCCACAAAACTTATATTTTACATTTCAGAAAATTATTAACTAGTTTTTCTTATACATTATTTACTTTTTAAGGTGCCATACTGGTGAACGCCCATATTCATGCCCCCTCTGCCCATACAGAGCTTCTCGTAGAAGTTCTGTAAAAGAACATCTCGCAACACACTCACTCAGTAAGGAATACCCGTGCGATCTTTGTGGACATAAATGTGCTACTAGGATTCAGCTTAGGAGGCATGTAAAAAATAAACATTTTCTTCCTTAGGTAATTTTTAAGCAAATGAAACTTTCTTTAGTCTGAAATCTAGAAATTTCTTGTTATAATTTTTTATATTTTGTTTAAGATGTAGTACTTATGTTAGTAAAAGCCTTGAAAATATTTCATCACATTTTTTTTTTTTAAATCAGAATGTTTGTTAATTTCATTCTAAGGATGGTGTTTATCATTCCAGTTTTGTAATTTTGTTGGCATTTTTAGTTAATGATACAATGTTTTGAGATGTTACTTAGACTGTTTAGATGGGATCATGTGAATGATAGAAATATATTATATATGTTGTTAGATCGTTTTATGAGAAGATGTTTTAATTGTATTTATTTTATTTAAGAAATGGAAGTTACCTTATATAAATGTTTAGAAGAGTTTATATTTTAGTTTATAGTTAATAACAATTGTCGTTACAATTTTATAATTCTAATGAAATGTTAAAGAGCAATAATATATAATTTTAATTTTATTAATGTTCTAAATAAATCCATTATTAAACGTTAAATTTTTTGAGTTCTTATTTTATTTGTTTATGAAAAGAGAATGAAGGCAAATCAGGGTTTCATATTTTTTTCTGTTTTAAATAACCATTAATGTTGTGGCTATACAGGTTTCATTAATTGATATTAAGGCTATATTTTGTGTATTAAATACAAAATTAATGTGATTTTAAATCTTATAAGGTTGTGGTTTAAATTAAAGATGAAATATATTGATAGATTGTTGTCATCTTCATAGCTTTGTTACCAATACATTTTTTTTTTAAAATTAAAATGTTATAAAAATATTTCTATTTTGGTTTGTTATTATTTTTTGTTTTTTTAAGAAGAATTTAAGAGATAAATGGATAAGTGTCTTAAGTAAATTTTATATCATCAATTACGCAATGTTTCGGTAATCGATAAAAAAAAAAAAGTTCTGAGATTTCACTCTATTTACAAATATTCTCAAACCTTGCTGTTGTCCTCTATTTCTAAGGAGTCCTTTCTTTTGAGGTGGAGATATAGATACTCAAAGTATTGATTTTTTAATAAGTTATTTAGATCAAAATAGATTTTAAGTAACTTAAGTAGTTTTATTTTTGTTTCAAGATCAACTTGATTGTTTTTTTTCAATTCCTTGCCTACATTTTAAAATAATTGCAACTTTTATTATTGTCTTATCTCAATATAGAGTTTCAATTGTGTTGCATTAAATAATAAACTCTTTTTTTTCCCTTTTATATTATTAAGTTCTGGAAGTCTGTTGTCATGTTTATTTCTATCCAGTCTTTCTCTCCAGAATATTTCCGAGTTGGAGCCTTCCTCTTCTTTTTCCTAAGTTGTAATAGGCTACGCTCACTACTTCTTTCCACCTGCACTTGGTAGGCTTTGTTGTATGGCAAGTTCTTTTCTGTGATGAGAAGAGAAAAATAATTCTCACCAAAGCAGTAGAGACTTTTAATCCTCTTTACTTTAGTGTGTCAAAAGCAATGCAGATTGTGACCACATGCTTATAACTGGGACATATGCATCGACTATAACTTTTTCACTTACACTCTTAGGCTGATTTACAAAAGTGAGATTGATATGAAAGAAACATTTATACTTTGTCATAGGAGGAGCCATTCTGACCAATTGACATAATAGATTGGTGTGAGTGACTGAAAAGACATCTCAGAAGTTCAGTCTCATGGAGACTTTTTGTATTAAGGAAGGGAACTAACACTGATTAGCATCATGCAAATGTCTCTACATTTTTGAATCTCTATTTTACTTTTAAAGTATATATGTTCCTAGTCAATATTTATCTTCAAAATTAATGTATTCCTATAAAATGAATTTATGATAAAATCTAAGATTATAGCCCATTTTGAGCAATGAAAGTAATTTTAAAGTCAGTAAAACGTGCATTTTTAAATCATTCGTGCTAAGTTACTAGGCAGAATTAAATCATTTTCCTATTTTAAATTTTTCTTATTTAATTTAAAAAAATTGAAATAGAAAAATGATTTTAATTCTAATTAGTTGATTTTCTAATGTTAATTAGTATAATGATAAATTGAATCAACAAAATTACTGTATTTTTAAACTGATGCATCATACCTTTCCAAAAACTTCATTTGTGTCATTGTAATGAAATGGTTTTGTGGTTATGATGATTACATTGTATTGTTTAAGGTGTTTTTTTTTTTTTTAACCAGGAGAAAACTCAATGTTTTTATAGAATCCTGATAGTCTCGTTTTTTTTCTCTACCTGTCTTGGGCTATTTCTTTCCATTTATCTGCATACAGCTCTGTTGCATATTTGTTGATTCTATCTATGCATCTGCTTTTTGGCCTTCCACGTGATCTTTTGCCTTCCATTGAGGTATTCATTGTTACGTAGAGGCAATCAGGAATTGCTACATGCCCCACCCATCTTGACCTCCATGCCTACATATGGGGTATTGATTGACCAGTTTCTGTAAACAGTTCTTTATTGGTCAATTTTCTCCATGTGTTAGTACTTTGATCCCAGATTGCTCTGGTTATTTTCCTCGGCGGAAGATTTTCCTCTCAAATCTTTCAACACTTTTTTCTAGGGAGCTGATTAGTGTCCAGGTCTCACAGCCATATATTAGAACTGGCTTTATCATAGCATTGTACACCTTTAGTTTGAGACTTCTTGAGATTTTTTCGGGATTTCAATACCATTGAGAGGGAGAAGAAAGAACTGTTTGCGCTAGTTAGATGCTGGTCTGTTAAAGTAATAGTAATGAAAAAAATATATGTAGGACTGTTTTGTTATATTTCACTTTCCAAGCCAGAAAGAGATTTAATTGTTAAAAAGTTATTTTGAGGTTTCATTCTCATCGTCACATATGCAAATATTCATAATCGACTTGTTATCTCAAATTATCTGTTTTTAACTTATTCCCTTCTAGTTTTCATTTTAGTAACTACTGCAAACTATAACAGTCATTCAGCAAATATGAATCAAAGATAAGGAAGTAAACAATAACAATTTTTAAACAAAAGTTCCCTTTTCGATGAGTTAAAAGTTAGCTCTACATTATTGGTATGAAAATGAAACGAATGATATGATGATTGGAAGTGTAACTCTAATGCAGAAGTCTCTATACATTTTAGCCCGCGAACCACATATTAGACCTCCAACAAGTCCCGCGGGGTAAAAAAAAATAAAATAAAAAGAACTCGTGCAATAAATGTTGCAGTCATCTTGTGTTTTAGGGGCGGGGGGACCGAATGGGCTAACGCATGTTCACAGCGGCACGAGTTAACCAAAGTTATGAGATTAAAGAAAGTACGAGTTCGCATCCCGGTGCCGGAGGAGATTTAAAAAAAAAAACTCGTGTTTTAATGATTTTTATCCTTCTTTTCTTATTTTTTGCTGGAAACCTGTATAACATTCTTTATTTTTGGCAATGAAAACTTCCAGATATACAAAAAATTGATTTATTTGTTGAATTACATGTCAAGTTGACGTTTTGGGAAAATTATTCCCATCTTCAAAACTTAAATTCCATTCTTTCATGGCAATTTATAGCTAGAAAAGAGTTAATTAAAAAAGAATGCATGTTACAATACATGTTAATGATGTGTTGTTACATAAAATGTTATAATTACCTAAGCCTGATTAACATGTATTACATACAATCAGGCTTAGGTGCATTGTTTTTTAATTAACTCTTTTCTAAACAACTGGATAAATTTGAATAAAGAAACGTAAAAATAAAGAAAAAAATTTTACCTTATAATTGAAGAAGCTTTTGTGGGGCGGATTGGAGGTGATGGCGGGTTTAGTTTGGAGACTAGCTCTGTAGTTTGGAGACCCCTGCTCCAAAGTTGCAAATGAGATTTTCTGTGTTCAAATTATTTATAAATATTGAATAAATTCTTTCTAAATAGCCAAAAAGAAAGGTCTTTGGCGTACAATGATGGCCCGAATTACTAAATGAAGCCTCTAGAAAGTGGTATGTCCTCTTTGGATGGGAATGATAGAATTAGCCGATTATGCTTATAATGACAAATTAATTACTGACCTGATAATTAATATTCGTGATATATGAAATTATTCATATTTCATGATGTCTCATTCTTGCACAAGAAATAACAACTGGCTGTTTTTTTTTTTAACATCGTGGTAAACAAATGGCTGAAAGAAGAAATCGCAGGAGATTACTCTCTTTTTGTATAATATGTACGTCCCATCCGTCTGAATCCAGCCTTATGTCCAAATATTTTCTTAGGAATACATTCAATTTAGAGAAACCTATATATCAATATGAACTGCGGTATTGCGGTACAATGCTTGTTTATTAAAACATTTAAGACTTTTTTGTAAATAGCTTTAAATAATTTTTTTCTTCACTAAAACTAATGAAAATTTGTGGGACCATTTTGCTAAAGTAAGAAATCCAAATTACCCTAAGTTCGTAACCAGAAAATTATTATATGAAAAATACTTCATTTCAAAACATAAAAATTTGAGTTACTGAGTAATGTCTTGGTGGCAGATCAGTTGAAATACAAAAATATCTTATTTCCTACATTTTATTTTGTATAATGAATTAGTGTTATTATACAAGTAGCTAAAATAGGTTTATTGAATTAATTTTTTATCCCACCATTATTAAAAGTGCTGTGCACATTTAAATTAAATCAAACTATGGTGAAAACATAGGTTTTATATATTACTTTCTTCATATTTTAGGCAATAAAACTTCCAATTTTCTTCATATTTTTTATTTATGTTTGTTGTCTCTTACGTTTCGGGACAATTTTCCCATCATCAGAGTAATATTTTTATTTTTACTTTATTTTTTTGATGTGGCACCATTTGTAAAAAATTAAATATTTTTCACATTTTTTAAAAATTATTTGCTGTTACGCATATTCATTGATACACTAATCAATAAGAGATGTTGATTAGTGTATGGATGAATATGTGTAACACCAAATAATTTTTAAAAAGTGTGACAAATATTTAATTTTTGACAAATGGTGCCACATCAAAAAAAGAAAGTAAAAATAAAAATATTACTCTGATGATGAGAAAATTGTCTCGAAACGTAAGAGACAACAAACATAAATAAAAAAATATGAAGAAAATTGGAAGTTTTATTGCCTAAAATATGAAAAAATTATAAACGCAAGTTTCCTAATAAAAAGAAAAGAAAAATAAGAATATTACTTTCTCTATTATTGCTATAAAAATATGAAACAATGCATTAAAAGTTGTTTGGAGCTGGTACATAACATTGGACTTCACGACTATTTGGTCCTTCGGTTCATGGGACTCATACAAAGACAACAGTTTAGGTAAAATAAAAAATATCAAATACAAATTATCCTTGGAAAGTATATGTAATCAAAATGTTTATATTGGAACTGCACTGTTAGTGCATTAACTCACCTCTAGCAATATCACTTAAACCGCATTATTACATTGTCTAATTAAAAATTATAAGTTAAAAAAACACCAAAAAACTCACAAAAATTGGTCACCCCAAAATTTGAAATTTAAATCATCAAGTATTCAAATGTGTCTGACCAGAATATATATCTGTTTCATTAAGTTTTGAATTGGAGAAAAGGAAATCAATATTATGGGGGTCTGCTCTTAAATTGTGGTAATCTATGTCATATATTATTCTTTTTAAATTTTGAAAAATAGAAAATAATATTCTGTGTTGTGGAGTTGTTTTAAGTATTTCAAAAGTAATGTGTCCATTTTGCTACATACTGAAGCTTTAATAATTAATTTCAATAATATTAAACTCTTCTGTTTAAAAAAAAAACTGTTCTTAAACTCCTAATGTAAGACACCTTTGAATTAAAGACTTCAAGATTTGAATCCAAGACATGATTTTTTCATTGGTCTTGGAAATTTGATGATTAAACAAAATATGAAAAATTGGAATTTGGTAACATTAGAAGTAGGGATTTTTTTAAAAACATTGTTTACCAGATAATAAATGAATTGGAACAAATACAGATTAATAAAATTTCAGACATTAACTAATAGGTATCTCAATTTATTTTACAAAGTGATAAGATGTACTTGAACATAAATTTTGTTATTGAAAGCAGATTTTAAACCATATAAAATATATATATATAAAATAAGTTTTAAATTATATTTTTGGAATTGGCCTGTATTATTTAAAAAATCCTTTGAGATATATTGAATATATATTAATTTTTAGACACCTTCAAATTTAAGACATCTTATTTTCAATTGTCAATTTAGAAAAAAAAAAAGTTTCAAATTCTATACAATATGATACAAGTTATTAACGGCAGAACTTTAGTTGCTGATTATGTCATGTACATCCTTTTCTGTTAGGAGGTTTTATGTTGATGGAAATATTGTTGAAGTGGTACTACTGTATAGTAATTGATATTACAATAACACTAACAATGTACAAGTTATTTTTCTACATCACTTATTTTATTTTCTATAAAAATGTTAATAATGCATATTTATTTTTTCAAAGTATTCTGTATACGTAACATATTAAGTTAAGATGTTATAAATAAATATTTTCCTTTATGTTTAAGTAAAAGCAATTTAATATAATTGTCATAATTTACTTCATTACTTCATTACATGTAATTAAGTGACTTATCATGGCGTTATCGTTAAGTGAAGAATTGTCATGATTTTGACTGTTTTTCTTCTTATTGTCTAATTAATTGAATGGTATGAAAAGGTAAGAATATAGTTGATTTATTTGCAGCTGTTCTTTCAATTCTATTCAATTCATACCTATTTATTTACCTGGCTTCAAATTTGGTTTGTCAATTTATTGCCTTTTTAATTTATTTCAATTTTGATTCCTCTGTCTACTTTTCCGAAGCATTATCAGATGTAATAATTAGTTTTTTCTTTAAGACTGACTTCAATGAACTTAGTTACCTTTGTTCTTATGCCTACTATAAATTTTTGTTAATTATACGTTAGAGAAAAGAATGAAATTTTTAAAAGGCCTAAAACTTTGGTCTTACGAGAGCCTCTTAGTAAATCCCTTTGTTATATATTCTGTATTGCTTAGATAAACATCTGTTAAATTTTAAATTTTTGTCATTTATAACTCCATCACATTAATATTTAACTAGAAAATTGTAAATATAGTAATTAAATGAAGTTGGAATTAGTCAGTGTTTAATGTTGATTAAAAAGAAAACAACACTTTTAATGTGCACTTAATGTTATCGTAAACAGAAAATTACCAATTTAAATATTTTTAATGAATTAGGTGTATGTGTGTTTATAATTATTTTTACTGACACACATGCACCCAAATGATTTGTAAAAAAAATTAATTTATAGTAAGTGTGCACTAGAAAACTTTCCATTTTTATTTTTATTTTTACTAACTGTAAATTGTATTTTGGATTAATTTTAAAAATAAATTTCCTGTGTGATATTTGATTGTAAAATGTTTATAAACCGTTGATGTATGTTTGTACTGTTAATCTACATGTGTAGTGATAAAAAAAAAAAAATATTAATGTATCTATATGTTTATATTGCTAAATAGTTTGTTTTAATATTTTTTCATCAAAGCTACCTCGTTATGAACCTTTAAGTAATTATCACATGTAATTTCTAAATGTTTCATATGTGATTGCCTTCTATAAATCTATATAACTACTAATTTATTGTTACCTTAATTCCTTCTATTGTAATAGTTAATTGATATATGAGCACTTACCCTCTAAAAATGTTGTATTATAGTATTTCATTATATTTTTGTTACTGTTAAAAAATAAAATGTTTTCTTTTTTTATACTAATTTTATTTTCCCGATGTTCAAACTTCTTGAAGTGTTACAATTGTTTTACAGTATTAGGAGAAAATGGTATGGAGAAATCACGACTATAATACACCAGTTGTTGTTGAGATTTTTAAGTGTAATATAGGTAAGTGAAAGTAATATGACAGTCAGTAAAAACTTTTTTATAAGATAGAGAAAAGGTGGTGGATGAGAGACCTCTTCCTTAACAAACCATGGTAATTGATTCAAGCCAGGGAAGAGGTGCTACTGGGTGATATCCTTTCCCATGCCTGACATGTTAGTTTCATTACTTCAATCAGGCCCTCTGCTGATTGTTAACAATTTTCGACAGGTGCAGATTAATATTCAAAGAAAAAAATACATGTATATTTTAGAGAGATTTAAAATCTTGAAAACCAGTATTTTTATTCATGCTTAAATTTAAGAATATATTAGTCTATTATTAAAATTTGAATATATTTATGTCTCATATTAAAAATGTAGGAAATTTCAAATATCTTTAAAGTGGTAACTTGGCAACGTCATTCGATCCATCATTCATTTGAAGGAAATTTCAACTAGTATAATATATTTAAATAACCATAAAATTTCCTCTATGAATAAATAAACTTTAAAAAAAAAGAGAGGAGGGCTTTCGGGCTGAAGCCCCCCAAAATGGTAAAATATAAATATGTTTTACAGAAAAAAATATTAAAAACTGTCTCTTAAAGTATTCATGTTCGTGTAATTACATTTAATAGGACTTCAAGAACCACTTAAACACCAATTCATATAGGTAGTTAATTTATTTTATTTTTTTTGTAATTAATTATTGTTATATGTATTTGAAAAAAAATCTTTCGGGCTGAAGCCCACCCAAAATTAAATCATGGATCCGGCAGTGCTAAGGAGTTGAACAAAAAACCCATATACTGGATGCTTTTCTCTAAAATGGTCAACTTAGGGATTGAAATAAATTTTATGATCAAGGTCTATGATGCAGATAAGCTGCATATAAATATAAATTTATAGCTCAATATAAATTAAGGGAAAATATGTTATAGCAATAGCTTTCTATGACAGGAGTCCTCAACCTTTTTCTACTTATGAGCAGATTTAAAGGTTAATTGACATGGGTGGACACTAATTTATTTGTTTTTCTCAGATTTTTAAGTGTTTCATATTTTTAATAATAGTAAAAAAAAAAATTTTGACCTTTAAAAGTATTGTTTTACATTGTTATATAAAACTAAAGTATTACCCAAATAATTATTTAATTATACATTTGCAAAATGTTTATAAAATTTCTTTATATGAAATATAAATGCTAATGGTATTGTGGAGGCACTGATTTATGGTTTGAAGAATTTCCAATTCACAGGAGTGATGGATTTTGACTAATTTGGTATCAAACGAAAAGGAATTTCTTATAGAAGAGATGAATTCCAATTTTGGCATCTTAAATTCCTGTTAGAGCTTTAATAAAAGTCATTGAAAAGATATGAGGCTTCAATACTCAAATGGTTTAAAATATTGAAGGATGGAGACGCGATACATTATGTTTTAATGGTTCCGATGCAGAAATCAAGAATCAAGATCAAATAAAATTCCTTCGGAACTGTACTGGGCCCTGCTTAAAGCTCTAAAACAAACTTCGGGCTCATCCGCATCTAGGAGTGTTGGAACAAACTATGCAAGTCTCAGCCAATACTTTTTTTCTTTAGTCGGGCTTAGGTCAGTGTGTACTGGATGCAAATTATAGCAAACAAATCTGTCAGCTTTAGTTGAGGTTTTGGCTTATGCTGCTAACATCAGGTTTGACGTTGGGTTCACTCTCTTAATCAAGTCCAAACGTCAATCGAAGACAGATGGCTACCAATATTTTCGGGTGTATGTTCATCGCCAACGTGTTGGCGCTAGATATCTCATTTACTTCAAACGAACCATTGGTTGTTGTTCGTTAGCCCAGAGTGTACGCGCCTTCAAACCGAGAGGTTGATGAAAAGGGATTGGGTCTACATCAGTAGAGTGGAACCAACATCAACTTTTTATGTTACCGCCAGAAGGTTCAATCTGTAAAAGGCCATTTGCTTCCAGTACACACGAATCTGCTGGTTGTCATTTGTTGGACAAGATTTGCGTAGTATAATAGGTTAAAACATTTCTTGGAAAAATCAAGCGAAACAAAACGCCTTCCACTCTGAAGATGAAATCAGAGTGAATTACAGCAAATTACAGGGCTAGTGTTTCAGTTGAAATCAATTAATGTGGGACTCGAAAAACACTAGTAGAATTTTCCAAAAAGTTGTAGCTTGATATTTTAGAGTAAATCGATATCTGGCACGCGAGATCCTGAACTAACACTTGATCTACCAAATAAATAAAATAATTTAATTTATAATCTTATGATTTGGGAAATGAAAGATATATGAATGCATTCTTCCACAGTAGTTTATTTTCTTTATCTTTGTTCCTTCTAGGTCTTAATAATTTCCTAAATATATTGAGCAAAAATGATTCTATCAACAGTCAAATGATCGATCCTAAGAAGAAAAAAATACTACTTTGATTTCTCAGAAGCACAATTCCATTTTCTTAATTTTAATCGTATTACTTCATTTTTAGATGAACGATTGGTTTCCCAATATTTTTATGCTCAAGAAACGTAAATGGATTTGGTCCTCTTATTTTGGTATCAGCAGGTTTCATATATATATCAGCACTTAATTCTTCTAATTTAGGAACTGGGTCTCCTCTTGCTTTTTTAACATCTTCATCTAAATGTTTTTGCACGTCTTTTTCTATATTCTGAAAATATACATCTGGGTAAGAAGGAGCTTTTAATTGATTAGTTAGTCAGAATGGTGCCAACATTACTACGGCTTCCGTCGATGACTTGGCGGCAGTAGTAGCGTCAGACAGCAGACCCGGAATAAAGCTACAAGCAGAGCGGTGCGCCAATCTGGCCGGACAATGGTTTGAGAGGATGAAGTTACGAATAGCCGCATCAAAGACCCAGGCGATCCTGCTGAAGGGAAAGACGGATAGGGCACACCCTATCAATCTATGTATACAGGGAACGAGAGTACGTCCAAGTGAGGTGGTCACCTGCTTTGGCATAAGGTTTGGAAGAGGATTTAATATGACCCCTCATTTGGACTACTTAGTAAATAAATAGGGTGGCCCTTGCCTTGAATGGACTTAGTCGCCTAGGGGGTGCATTTTGGGACCTCAGATACCCAGCTACGAGGATCATTTACGATGGAATGATAGTGGGTATTCTGAGGTACGCCTCTCCTGCATGGTCTCAGAATCTCTCACACCGTCAGAAACGCAGATTGGCGACAATTCAACGTACGGATCTGTTGCGAGTCACAAAATCATACCGAAGTGTGTCTCACGAGGCGGTGCAGATCTTAGCAGGAGGGGTACCTCTCGACCTTCTCCTGCGAGAAGACTCGCTAATATTTAAGTTAAAAAGAGAAGGCTCAGCAGGTCTTCCGGAGAATATCCGGGTGAGGATTGCAGAAGACCCAAGAAAATGGAAGAGGATTATCCGGGAGGATACCATAGATGAGTGGAATCGGCGGTGGGTAACAACCTTGAAAGGAGCAGCTTTAAGAAAATATTTCCCCACCGTCCGAAGTCGCTTGAAAGCTAAGTGGGTTCTCCCGGACTACTGGGTCTCTCAATTCCTTACTGGGTTTCCGCTGTAAGTTACATAGTTTTGGAAAAGACATAGATCCCCTATGCCCCATTTGCGCAGTACCGGAGACGGCTGAGCATATTATCGTCAACTGCACCGCCTTTGATGGACTAAGGGCCGAAATGATAAGAAAAATTGGAGTCTATGGCCTCACGGAGGATGAATTTCCTGAGCTAGTGACAGAGCAGAACTACCCGTATTACAAAGATTTTGTGTACGGGTGGAAAGCTGCTCTGGGGCCGTCCCACTTTAATCTGGGAAGAAGAGAACCTGCTAATGGAAGGCCGCCACGCTAATATGGTGAAAATAATGAAAAAAGATGATATTTGAAAAAAAAAAAATTGAAAATTAATTTGTGGTTTAATAGCAGTGTGATATGCCATCCCTGCAAAATCACGTGTAGCCGAAAGGCAAGGAAGGGAGGCATAAATACATACAAATTTATTAAAATAATTAATTTTAGCCTATCAATAAAGCAACTGTATTAGATAAATGTTGAAAGGAGGGGAAGATGACATCATTGCTCCGGTGCGCCAAATGCCTAAGGCCGATTCTGATGGAATAGCTAGTGAAGGAGGGAATCTGGAGGATTCATAGAGGAAAAGTTTACGAAGGAATAACCATTTTGATATGAAATCAGGAGCTGATGAAAGGATCCTTACGCACAATAGGTCTTCTTGAGGGCGTTGTGCATTTCTACATCGGTGAAAAAATAAAAGAAGGACTTTATGGAAGTAGGAAGATTTTGTTCGTCGGATCTTTGTGTCAATTTATGAAGCACGGTAAACGCTTATTAGTCATCTGCAAGCCTAGTAAGCCTATACGGATATTGAGAAGATAGGAAGTAATAATATCAACTATAGAGTCTATAGATGAGCAAGAATATATTCCATTACAATCTAGGGTTTTAAAGTCAGGTAATATTTTTCGAGGGTGAGGATGACTAGATGACGGAAAGTAAAGGTTCCAAGCTGAATCAAGGGAGTTTGGATATATATGATCTTGGATCAGGGGGTGAGATAATAAAAAAAATACTGGCAATTGAGAGGAGGAGAAGAGATTCTGTGGGGAGTCGATCATAATGAAACCTAACCAAGCGTCACACCTGCGTGTGTGGTGAGAAGGGGAAAAAGGAATGATAAGAAAATGAAGCAAAACAAATCTATGGTGTGTGCTTAAGACGAGGCGATAGAAGTGATATCATCAACTAGGCGGACTTATTGTGAAATATAATTTTTTTGTTCTACACATTCAAAAAGTAATAAAATTAACAATATATACAATTATGATTGTGTTTAAATCACTCTAGTAAACTTTGCTCCGACTGATCATACTAAGTCAGTATCATACTCTAAAAATTAAACAATTATGATAACTAAAATATGTGTCGGTCGTATATTCTAATTATTTTAGCATGATTCGTCATAATTAATAAGATATTGTTGAGTATGGAATTCGTTCTGGTTTGGATATCTCTTCCTTTTTGACTCTCTAATACAGCGTCACGTCAATATAACATTTTGAATAATAGCTCATTACAAAGAGGATGAAATGCTGAACATTTTCCTCGCTTACAGTATGCAGGTCCGGTTTTTAGTTTCTGAGATATTTTAATCTATATGCAAAAGCATTTCAATTAGTCGATTCAGGGCGACTTTACCCGAGCGTTACAATCGGAAATCTGACGGCTCAATCTAATTCACTCTCCACAAAAAAGTTCAAAACGCGCCTTAAAAAGTTTCCACTTCAAAAATAGTATTTCCAAAAAAAGTAAGGATATATCATTGGTATCAGAAAGGAAATTGGTATGGAGGTCACCGGATATGATTATTTTAGGTTTAATTATATACTAAGGTGACCTTTGTATTTATTTAAGGGAACAAGATGTAATTAATTTTAAAAAAAAATTGTAAAAGGCTCGATAGGGGATCATTTTTTTTTTTTAAGTATTTTCCAGTCCAATTTGTTTTCAACTCCAGCTAAAATTGTCGCATTTTATCTATCATGTAATCAGTGATGGAGGAGAGGGTCTAGGAACAAACAAGAATATGATCTGATGATAGGCCATCTAAAGATTTTATTGTAGGTTAAAAGGTGGGTAGTATTTAGTTAAGAATTTATGTATTTAAGGATTCCTGAACAATTGAGGATAGGAAGAATAACTATTGGAGTAGTGAAATGGAAAAGAATCCTGCAGTATAACACTCCTTCCCCACCAAAAAAACAAAAACACTGATAGATACTGTCTTCTGTCTTGTTAAAGTGCTATGCATCAATTTTATGCGTGCAACGATTTGCAGTGCACAAGCATGATGCATAATGTAAATTAAAATAATAAAATATATAATTTAAATTTAAAACTATCTACAAAAAGAATCTTTCTTACCTTCAGTTCTTCTTCCGTTGCTAACTTTAAGGTGACCATTTTATCTTTGAATTTGGCTATTGGATCTCTATGTTTTCTCACATTTTGAACTTCATCTCTAGTCCTATACGATGTCCCTGGGTCTGACATAGAATGCCCATAGTATCTGTCCAATTAAACAAATGCTTGAGGAAACAATCCAATTAAATAGCAAAATCGGTAATGGATTAACATAGTCCGGATAGCCACTGACCTCTGGCGGCAATTAATGCATGAGAGCGGCGAAATTTGAGTGAAATTATATTTTTGGTTCAAAAGATTTATTTTAACATTTTAAGCCATTAGCACCTGCTCTGCAGCGAACATAGCAAATTTGACGAATTACACATTAACTGCGAGTTTGCTTGATTAACATAATTTTGTTGTTGTAGGAGTAGATCCCTTGGCCATTTTGTTTTTAGTCTGCGTCGATCAGGTAACAGGGAGGAAGAAAGAGACAGAACGAGTGGGTTTGGATTATTCAGATCAACAGAATGAAATGATGTGTATTTGTCGTGGATGTACGATTTTACTGTTCAAGTCGTTATGTAGAGTGTTATTTTCTTGGGTCGATTTTTGGCCGAAAAGTAGAAAATTTAAGTTTCCTTAAGCGTCATATAATTGGGGGCGATGACTAAAGAAATATTTAATTGAAGTAATTATCGATTGCTTCACTGCAAACTAGACAAAATTTACTTCAAATAAAGAAAGAGTTTGTCATTTTAGTTAAAATCATTTAAGAAGTACTTTTAAGCGGCTAAACTAAGCTAAGTTATGTTTAAAAAAAAATCATAAATTATTCGCCATTTCTTTCATCACCATCCAACTATAGTACAGATACCCAACTTTAAGAAAAACTTTCTCGTTTAATAAGCTTTAAGTCAATATTAGTGAGTTGATGTTTATTAGGAAAAAACTTGAGATTCACATCAAGTTTTGTCAAAAAATGAAGTGAATTTTTATCCTGTCTCGTAGTGTGTTTTCGAAAAAAATTACCACATTGAGTAATTTCTTTTTTGTTTTAATCTCTATAGATATGCATTTTATTTTCTAAAAAGTTTTCGAAAAAGTTAATTTTTCTATTGAAATCTGTGTAATATTTCCTTGTAACAATATTTATGACAGGTCTAGGTAATATATTGGACTAAAATATAACATAATATATTATTAAAGGAAGGAGATGGTCCGGGGTTGCGGTCATAAATAGGCTAAATAGTGGTTAAACTATTTTATTGAAAGCCAACGTTTCGACCCGACTTTGCAGGTCTTCATCAGGGAGATGTGTTCATCTAGGAGTTTCACTTAGAACTGCAGTTTCACTTTCAGTTCTAAGTGAAACTCCTAGATGAACACATCTCCCTGATGAAGACCTGCAAAGTCGGGTCGAAACGTTGTCTTTCAATAAAATAGTTTTACCACTATTTAGCCTATTTATGACCGCAACCCCGGTCCATCTCCTTCCTTTATAATGCAACGGTCAACTATTAAATATTCAATAATATATTATATTCACATCATATATGACGAACGACTAGAATCGCATATATTCTCGAAATGATTTCCAACTAATGCAGGGGTTGCCCATCCTCCCAAGGTTGATGGAGCAGAATCTATCTCCTCTCCTCCTCCCAAGATATTTAATTACTTTTATTTTCTTAAAAACAGAGCAAGCTAAGGTAGAATTAGGAAAGGCATCGATCATATACAATTACACTAGCTGTGGTAAGTTCCATGTTTTTTCCTAGTATCTTACTCCAAAAATTCATAACCCCGTCGAAATTTGCTCTCTACCCCAAAATTCAAAAACCCGTCAAAATATGCCCCCTCAAAAATTTTCATGGCGCAACTCGCGCTAACTTGCCCCTTCTGGGCATCTCTGAACTAATGAGATTGTATCTTAACGGATATTATAGGAAAGCGACTATTTTAAACTTTATGGAAAGGGAGGGAATAATTTTTGTTTGGTTATAGGCAGCACTAGTAACCTCATCAATCCTTCATGTAGAAATGATTTTTATATATTAATTCAGTTATTATAAAATATATATAGACAAACATTATGGATATAACCTGTATGTTTCCAATTCTAAAACAATGGGCCCCTTTTTGGCGAAGATATGAGCTTTGGCAAATCTAGTTGCTTCTCGAACTGCAAGCACATCCATACCATCTACCTGTCAAGATATTATCTTATTATTTTATAAATTATCATAGTCAAGAAATAATTAAATTAAATTAATAAATAAAACAATATTTATCTTTATTGCGAAACAATATCAGAAAGGAAGCGGGATTTTGGCGAATCAACGCTGAAACACCCTGTATAGCATTTGACAAGTCTTTTTTATAAATATTTAATTCCAATATCGTGTAGGGAATAGCTCTTGGTGTCCAGCACCATATTCATCGCTATTGACTATTAAAATATAACAACCATTTTGTATATAACAAAATTGTATAATTGTTCCGTTAATTGATTCTATTTCATTAACTTCTACTTCATTACGTCCTCATCCCTCTCAAAATTCCATCATCCGAACATCACTTATCATTTTGACAAACAATTTTGACCAAAACATAATTTTAGGAAAATGTAAAATAGGCAACGAACATCGTTCGTCGAAAATTATTCTTGCAATTAACATAGACTTTCTTTTATCTAGTAAATTTTTTTCTATCTCATATTATTTTGTAGAGGTATAGAAACAAATCAGCTATATGTAAACATATGTGAGATACATTGGTATTAGATCATTGACAAAAACTTTTAAATTCACGGCAAGGAATCGAACCGACTCTGCTTCTACTATTGACTTCCTTAAAAATATCGAATATCGCGCAAGAAGGGTCAGTCCGCTTTCTTGCTTGGTCAGAGGCAAATCTACTTTCGTTTACATCCTATCGTGTTACATCCTATCGGCCAACCTATAAAATAAAATGCAAAAATGAATCTCTACAATAGAGAGTATCTAGGAGCATCAAATTATATGAAAAACTAAAGGTGGGACCGAAACCTTTTTATCAAATTATTAATATCCGCCTGAAAAAAATCTGAGCAAACTTTGTCTATTTAATTAGGAACTAAAAACTTGTAAATGTCCATTTGCTTTCCACGTGGATCGTAAGATAATTTAATCACTTTAATGAAAAAAGATGGCCTACAAAAATATTGGGCTGTTTGGCCAATATAATTTCGTTATTTTGAAATGTTTTTAACGGTCCAATATTTTTATAAGCCACCTTTTCTCGACTTTGTGAACAAATTATCTTACGGTTCAAATGGAAAGCAAATGACTATTTACGAGTTTTTAGTACCTAATTAAATAGACAAAGTTTGCCGATCTCCAAAATGAATACGTCCCAATTGCGAGAATTTTTGTAAATAAAATATTTGTAGGTTACGATGAGATTACGCTGTTTACGAAGTTCCAGACGGATGTTGATAATTTGATAAAAAGGGGTCTGTACCACGGACTAGAAGAATGGTGACTCTCAGAAACACATGTGCGAAATGCAGATAGATCCTTCTTGGGCAACTTTTAAAATTATAAAAATTAACCGACCCAAATTCCAGGTATAAAGCTTCCTCTTTCATAAAATTCTAAGCCTCCAGTGCCCCGGAAGTCGGCAGTTCCCATGGCGTACTTGTTGTTTTCGCAAATGAAGACGATGGGTAAGTCCAAGACCTTAGCGAGGTTGAAGGACTCGTGGACCTGCCCTTGGTTGGCAGCGCCATCTCCATACAACGTCAAACATATTCCGCCAGTGTTGGCATACTTCAAAGCCAAAGCTACTCCGGTGCCCAACGGGACCTGAAACGTGATTTTTAACCTTAATGCACATTTTATATTCACACGGTTCTTCAGATTATAGAGTTGTAATTTCTTTTCTAATTTGTGAAATTCTCAAGCATCATTCAATAAAATAAATTAATTAAGTACTTGAGCTCCAACGATGCCATTCCCGCCGAAGAAATTGACTGTATATGTATGCATGGACCCTCCCCTCGCTCGGGAAACTCCGGTGACTCGGCCAATCAATTCTGCGATTATATGGTAACTAGGTACTCCCTGAAGGAATGTCCATCCATGGCAACGATAAGAAGTAATCACAGCATCATTGTCTTTCATTGCAGCTTTGATTCCGACTCCACATGCTTCCTAAACTTGAAAAGAAAATGTCTTTATTTATCCAAGATCTGTATTAACATCTAATCCATATAAACTGCATGAAGTAACTAAAAAATAAGTTCTAGACCTTACATCAGGGCTAAGCAAAACAAAATACAACCATGCAAGTATAAAAAACAACGAAGAATAAATATGAATGAAAAAATAATTGAATTCTGGGACAAAGTCCACTACGAATAACAATAACATGGTACAATACTTGGTCCATTAGTCTGGTTTGATAAAATACAAAGAGATCATTTGATTGTTAATTTCAATTGATATCGCAATCGTACCTGAACACTAGCGGATCCAGATTTTAATTTTGGGGGAGGGGCTTCAGCCCGAAAGCTTTTTTTTTCATAAAAATAATAATTACTTTGGAAAAAAAGAAAGAAACTAACTACCCATATGAAATAGTGTTTAAGTGATTCCTAAAGTCCTTTTGAATGTAATTACACGAAAAATAATACTTTAAGAGATAATTTGTTAATATTTTTTCCATAAAACACGGTTATATTTTACCATTTTGGGGAGGAGGGAGTGGCTTCAATCCCAAAGCCCCCTCCCCCGTAGATCCGCTCGTCTACCTGAACAACAATAGTAAACACTTTAACACAAGTACATTTTATATGGCTTACATGTCTACAAAGAAAAAGTAAATAGATAAATGAAATATTATCAAACGGAACTTGTCGATTAATTGTTAGTGAGCAGTTATAATTACAGAATCCAATAAGTATTACATAGATACGGAAGTTTGAAAATGAAGTAGCTTGTGGAATAAGAGTCATTTGACGATATATAATGATGAGGATTGCGGTATGGTGGTAGATAAAGAATTCCAGAAGGGGTAGCACGAATGACGAATGATTTGCTAAAGGTTTAGTTTTATGAGAAGGGATTTATAAATCAATAGGTTGAGATCTGGTATTAAGAGAGCGGACGTAGAGTGAGGAGTTCCAGGATATAGAGAGCTTTTTTGGTTCTTAGGACCTAGAAAAGGAAATCACCAAGAAGGAATGGTCGTAGGGAAGTAAGATAGAACCACTTCAACTCGATATACCAGTGGGAAACACGAGAACGCCTGGTAATTCCAAATATGAATCTTATAAAACAGTTCAAAAATATATAGTGCTCTCATAGCTCAATGGCTAGCGTATAGTTTTCAAATGGTGAAGATTCTCGGTTCAATACTGGTTCCATCATACTCTTTGTGAGCAGGGTGGCCGAATGGACTAACGCGTGTGCACAGAACCGCGAGTTGCCGGGCAACCAGATAATCTAAGTTATGAGATTATAAAAAATACGAGTTCACGTCCCGGCGCCAAAGGGGATTTTAAATTCCCCGCCCTCACCCTCCGTCCCGGGAAAATCTTGTATAGCCTAAAAGGCGAGGCAGGGAAGAACAGAGAAAAAAAAAAAAAAAATACTCCATTGTCCCTTAGTCCGAAAATTCATAACACTAAATTTGCCTCCCTCAAAAATTCAAAACCCGTCAAAATATGCCCACCTCAAAAATTTTGATGGCGCAACTTGCGTCATAAAACCCCCTTCGGGTCACCACTTTATATAATTGCAACTACACCAGAAAAATATAAGAATAAACTTCATGGCCTCAGCCAGTTTCTCAAAAGTTTATTAATCATTTTTGAAATAGCAGCCAAATATTATTTTTGCAACAACTCAAGTCAAAAATTAGTTTTGAAGAAGTACCTACGCATATTGGAATATTAGGGATATAAAGATATCGGGAATCGGGATGTGGTTTGCCAGGATGTTAGTAGCCCCATAGTACGGTCCATGGACGGTCTGTTTCCGGGAAAGAAATATAGGGGCTCGTGCGTCTGCTGATTTTTTGCAGCCGTAATACATGGGTCTAGAACGATTTGTCACTGTCCTTGAACCCGAGTGAGTCGTTGGGAAGGACTCTGCCAGATTGGCCCCAAAGGGATCGGTAATGGAGCTACGGGTGGCCTGTCGCGGCACCATGGAGACCATGGTTTGTAGCAACGTGAAGTTGGGTGTCCCCCTCCAGGATATCTGTGCTCCCCTATGCAACATACGTCTTGTAAGGAGACCACATCTCGCAGCGAAAGATCTCCATGGTCTGTAGCGCCCTTACAAACAGTGGAGCACACAGGCAATTTTAGACCTGGTATAGATTTATGTTGTGTATTTTTTTTTACATTCCTTACCTACCTATGCCATTGTTTAAAAAATCAGCGTTTATCAGCGTTAAGTTTATAAATTGTTAGTTCTTACTATATTTATTTATTTTGGTGGAATAGAATAAGAAATGACTTAGGTACCTGTCCAGCGTAAAGGTGACAAAATCCTCGCATCTCTTGATTCTTGTAAAGGTTGGCCAGTAAATTTTCCATTTTCCTTATAAATACCATTTGGTGGTAGTATTGTAATGCATCCTCTTTGGTTATTTCAACTTTTGATTCTGGTCCTACTTTGAGCTTGTATAGCTTATAAGGCTGTTCGAGACAAATAATATTAATAAATATCACTAATATATTGTAATATATCTTGTTAATGAGTAGTACCTTTTCAATTTGATAAGTCGCTCCTGAGTTATGTTTCTTACTACATAGATAAGCCCCCTAAAACTCATTTATAAAAAGCGTTAAAAAAATATTCTATGCAATCTAAAATAAAACTTGTCATCATAATTACCGGTTTTAAAAAGATAAAAAAGGAGTAAACAAACAGGCTTTTAAGGCATTTATATATATAGCTCTACGAATATTTGTTATTATTTTATTTTATTTTTTTTTATTATGAGTTTCCACTAATAGTGGGCTTCCTTAACCTAAAGTGCTTGGATGGCTTCTTTCCATAATGCCCTATCTAAGGTCCATTCTTCCCGTAGACCATCGTGGATTCCTCCATTTCGTTATCCCAGGTCTTCCTCGTCTTCTTCTTTCCCTAGTTTTCCATAAGTGGACTTCTTTGGGTAGTCTTCCTTCAGAAATTCTTTTCAAATATCCATACCACTTCAGATGTTTTTTCTCAATCTCTTTCAGAATGGTTCTTTTAGCCTCCCATCTTTTCTCTGATGGTCGTATTTATCACTGTATCTATTCTGGTTATTTCCGCCGCTTGTCCCCAGTAGTCCATTTCGGTGGCTAGAAGTTTCTTCCTGAGCAACCTCAGGAAGGAACGAATATTTTAGTTGTAATGTATATATATATATATATATATATATATATATATATATATATATATATATATATATGTAATAAACCCATTAACACCACTTATTTTTTAAGCAAAGATCGAGTGAGGAATGTTCCTATCCGATTAAAACTGGGTCTAAACCTAAAGCACGGGAAGAATAGAATATCGGCTAAGGTGGTTCGGACACCTCTTTCGAATGCCAGAAGACAGAATAAGAAGATTCACTTATGAGATACAGGAGTGAGGTAGCAAACCTAGAGGGTCTAGAAAAACCTTGGAAAGAGGAATAAAGGAATCCTTTGACCGAAGAGGTATAGATTGGACGAGAAAAAAACAATTGGACCAAGATAGAGACTTATGGCGGAAGCCTTACACTGCTTAGCGGTAGATGAGGATGGATTAAGTAAGTAAGTAATTAAGAAAGATATAACTATATAATGTAAGTGAGATAAAGAAAGATATTTGAATTTACTTATAACTCATATCATGACAATAAAAAAATATTATAACAAAATATTTTTTTCGTAAAAATGAAATTAATACTTACCGTCAATCTACGAAATGAAAATTGTAAATTCATGACTTTTTAATTAAATCAAACTGTCTTAGAACTATATACTTTTAAATTTTCATTTTGATGTATTCAAATGTATAGCATAATATAACCATGTTTATTAATAATTAAAAGAAAAGTCTAATAAATAATCTCCAGCTGTCTCAGTAATTTTGTGAATTTTTTGTTGTGTTTACAGAGCTCTTAAGAGAAAATTTATGAACAATTGTTTTCTTTCTTATGATAGTTGCACGACACTGGTTGCTTTTATTTTCTGTACATTTCACATTTCAATAATCTAACCTACTTATTAGTCAAATAGTTCATTTCACTTAACAATAGTTTCAATTACATTAAAGTGCGTTCAAATTAATCAGTGTACTGCATATTAAATAGTTATTTGTTGGCGAAATTTGCATTCCGTGTCCGTAACTACAAAGTAATTCGTGATCTTGAAACAGGGAAGAGAAAAACATCTGATGGACTGTGGAAGGTTAAAATGTATAAGTATTTCTTGTGAATTTTATAAATTATTGTAATTTAAAATTTAGAAAAATTTTTGAGAGGTACTCTTATTTGTTATAAGATAGTTATAATAAGTAGTAAGTAGGCATTACAGAAGGAAGATGTCTGAAGGAGACTTCGCAGTCATGAACTTGCAGGAAAAGGGGTACTTCAACTTCTATCAGATTACTAACTTCGTTCAAGTTGTAAGAGACCTTTAGATTAAGAAAATTCAAGAATCTACATAAAAAATGCAAATGACTTTTTAATTGATAATAAGTATTACTGCTTTCTAAAATGAAGGAACCGAGATTCATTAAAAGCCTTAAGACGTCAGAAAAACTAAATCACTTCCGAGTTATAGACAATATCTCTGTTTGATTTAATTTAAAACAAAGACCAAAGATCAAGCCCAAATCGTAGGTGAAACATACATCAAACAAGCAGTAGTTTATTATAACACACCAGAATCTTATTTAACAGCAATAATGTGTCTAAAAGAGGAAACGCAGATATTTATACATTCCAACAAGACTTCTCAATCGAAGGACATTCGCTCCAATTTATTTTTTATACTTTATTTTTACATCCACACCTAATACATAGTTGGTGACAGACCAATCAGTGGATTGTCTGGCAAGATTAGTAACAAAATAATAATGGCATGTCAGGCATAAGAAAGATATATATATATATATATATAATAATAATGCCGTAGAAGATATATATATCTTCTACGGCATTATTATTATTATTATATATATATAAGTTAAACGTTGCGGACTTTAAACACTTAAAAAAAAGAGTAAAGGTTCAACAAATAACACGCATGAAGTCAGAAACAAGACTGCTTTATTCCTCCTTATAATCCTCTATATACACATTCTAAGTTGTTTACATAAATGCTTTTGGTATTAAAGCTAATACTGTCCCGCTCCGTACCTTAACTCCCCCCCACCAGTTTACGGATACTCTTCGTAAACTTAAAAAAAAATAAAAAGACATAAAAACAAAAAATAAACTCTTATATATACAACGACAAAGTTCTCTTGCCCACATTATAACACAGGTACGGAGTGTTCAGTACTTACAACCTAATCTAATGAAACACAAACAAACATATTCCTTATATATCAAAATAATAAAAAAAAATAACACACTTCCCTCTATAAATTTTTCTCACAAATGAAAGGCGTATTTCACTGCTTTCAAAATATACACAAAGTTATGTAAGAACACTATATACAAAACAAAAAAAATCTTCTTTCCGGAGACGAGGGCACTCCAGTTCTAAGGTTTCTGTGACTCTGTAATCGGAAATTTTAATTGTTCTATGTGAACCGTCCTTCGTTTTTTTGGTTCGTTAACACTCTCAATCGTCACCACATTATGCTCTCTAATGACTATCACCCTGAATGGACCCTCATATCTCCGCACTTCCTTTCCCCTATTCGAGCCTAATTTGCGATACACTATGGACCCGATTTTCAACCCCCCTGTTACTTCCTTCACTTTGAGATTTTCCCGCGCCACCCTTTTTCCCCCTCTATTTTTTCCTTAACCTTCCCCCAGAGATTATCCAGTTCCATTTTATTACTAACCATTCGTTCTGTCATTTGCTCATCTGCAGCTGTACCTCCCCAGTCCCGTTGCCGCCCGCGTAAACCGAAGAGAATTTCGAATGGAGAGAACCCTGTTGTCGTATGGATAGAATGGTTGTACTCTGCCACCGCCTTCCGCATTGCCACATCCGGTTCCAACCCTTTTTCCACCTGATACACCCTTAGATGGTCACTAAGAGTGCTGTGGAGTCTCTCTATACTTCCCCTGCTCTTGGGGTGCCCTGGAGTATTAAGATGCCACCTGACACCTACGTTCTTCATTTCCGCTCTGATTTTGGCATTGTCGAACTCTCTGCCCCCGTCGGATGTTATGCGATCGGGTACTTGCAAGCCGCTTAGTGGTTCATCGACCGTGGGTGTCTCCTCTTGCATCGTTCTTGGGGGGTGCCTATCGTACTTTGTGCTCGCGCACACCCTGCAGGACCTTATGAGTTCTGCGATCGTTTTCTTCATCCCCCAGCAAAAATATTTCCGACGCAATGCTTGAAACGTCTCCTGCGCCCCGCGGTGTCCGTTACGCGGTGTATGTCCTTCTGCTGCTCTTCATCCCGCACTGTATCAACCATCAGTTTGCAACGAATGAACGTCCTATCCATCCCTAATCGCTCATCCCGCCATAGCCTCTTTATCTTCTCCCAAATCGTTTCATTCCCCACATATAAGTGGTGAATTTTCCTTGCTTTCGACGCGTCTTTGAGAGCTCTGCAGATCTGGTCCACGCTGGCCCTTGGTTGTGACCAAATGGTTGTTATACCCGACGTCCTGGTCTTCCAGATGATCTGGCGGTTCTTATCGTTGACGATTTCCTCCCGTTCTTCCAAGTCCACTGGCCTCTCTTCCGCTGGAATCTCTTCTTGTTGGGGATCAACTCCATCCACATTTCCTTCCACCGCTTGTACCCCCTCTCCCTCTGGCGTCCAGTCCCTCAGGAATCGTCTCACGCCTCCCGATGATTCCGCTGTATCCTCCTCTATGGCATTCATAGTTAGCGCTCTCGATAGCCAATCCGCCACCACATTCTCTCTTCCGGGCTTGTACACAATATCCATGTTGTACTGGTTAAGAATCTCCTTCCAGCGTGTGACTCTAGCCGAGGATTCCTTTAGTTTTCCTACCCATTGTAGGGGTCTATGGTCCGTCTGCACGCGGAATTTCCTCCCAAAAACATATGGTCTAAAATGGTCGATAGCCCATACGATCGCTAACAGCTCCCTCTCCAGCGCACTGTATCGCGACTCTGCCTCCGTAAGTCGCCTGCTGGCATATGCTACGGGGCGATCCCCCCCATTTCCATCCTGGGATAACACAGCCCCCAACGCGTATTCGCTAGCGTCCGTTGTGATCGTAAACACTTTCGTAAAATCCGGAAATGCTAATACTGGCTCCTCTTGCAGCCTCGCCATGCATTTTCGAATGTTGTCCTAAAAAATTTATGTGGTCCTGCCCTAACAAACATTTCTCGCTGGACACTTTCAGCCCAAATTGTCTGACTCTCTCAAATACCCTACGTAGATGCTCCACGTGTTCCGCCTCGTTTTTACTAGAAACCAACAGGTCGTCCATGTAAATTTGGCACATCCCTTCGTCAATTCCCCTTAGGAACTCGTCCATTAACCGCTGGAATGTTATAGGGGCATTCTTGAGACCAAATGCCATTCTCGTAAATTCGTAATGCCCCCTCTCGAACGTGAATGCTGTCTTCAACTGATCTTCCGGAAGCATCCTAATCTGATGATACCCCGCTTTCAAGTCAAGAATAATGAATACCGTTGCCCCGCTTAACCGATCTAAAATGTCCTCAAACTTCGGGATTGGGTATTTTTCATCCACCGTATTCTCATTAAGTTTGCGGTAATCGATTACCACACGGTATTTCTCCTTATCCTCTCCGGGCGCGCTTTTCTTCTTAACTGCCCATAGCGGGCTATTATATGGCGACGTGCTATCTACAATTATCCTCTGCTCCTTTAGACTCTCCAACTCTTCCCTAATGTATTGGCGAAGGGCCTGCGGATACCTCCTCTCTTTCACGTAGCTCACCTTTTCGTGCTTCAGCGGGATCTCGTGCACTGTTTTGCCCGTCACCCCCAACGTATATCCCTCCTTGAAGAAGATGTCTTCGAATTCCCTTCTCACGACTACTCTCCAATCCTCCGCCCGACTTATAGCTCCCACACGTGCTCTCTGGTCCTCATGCCCCTCTATTGCCATCGTACTCGTATACCTGATTCTCCCCATCCTTATTTTCCACTCCTCCCTTTTATATGCGATTCGCACGCCCACCTTCCACATTATGTCACATCCTATAATTACCTGGTATTCCCGCGGCATTTCTCCCACTACATGCACCGTAAGTTTACCTCCCTTGGCTGCCCACCTCCTCAAACCTATCTCCACTTCCCCTTCTACTCCACACGGGCCACCCAGGGTGATTAGCTTACAATTACATACCTTGACTTGGAGTGTCCTCTCTCCATCGTACAGCTTCTCCAACATTCCACGCGTCATGATGGTATTGGAACTCCCGGTATCTACCAGGCATCGCACTCCTCCCACCTCTATTATAGGTAACCAGCAGCTTTTACCTCTGATATTATAACTTACTAGCGTGCGGTCACCCCTCGCCTGACACTCTCCTCAGATCCTCTCCACGGTTTGCCGGCGTCCACTCCTCCCGCTGCTTCTTCCTTGACTCCTCTCGTTCTCCCGGCCAGCTGGGTGCTCTATCTCTTCTTCTGTCTCCGTGGCCATGGATTCTTCCGACGAGTCTCTTGATGACTCACTCCTCCTTGCGTGTATCTTTCTTCTCCTCAATTCCTGGGCATTTACCTCCATCGGCTCAACCCTTTGTGAGCCTCTTCTGGAATATATGTACGGACATTGCCTCGCTATGTGTCCCTCAGTCCCGCACTCAAAACATTTCGTGCGGGGACACTGCGCCACCAGGTGTCCGCTCTTTCCGCAACCGTGGCATTTCCTGTCCTCTCTCCGTTGGCTACCCCTTGCTCTACCTTGTCCTGGTCTTCGTTCAGCTCCGATGGTCTTTTCTCTCCCGTTGTATGCGGGCCCTCTCCTTCTCCAGGTCGTTGGTGAACTTCTAGGTCTCCTATAGATCACTCTGTTCCATCCTGGTTCCTCCCCCTCTAACCGGGCTTCTTCATTTGAGCACTGGAATCTACCATTTCTTGGGCGCATTCAATAAACGAACGTTCCCGGGGTAAGCCATCTTTCTTTCGCCAGTTGCACCTTCAGTATGGTGGACAAAAAGGCCATCTTCGCTTCGACCTCCGGAGCTCCAGCTGTCTCCCGCATCTTCTCGGTGATCCGCATACTGTCCGTTGGACTGCCGTGAAGACTTCACCTCGCGGAACATCTGATAGATGTCTTCTTCTGTAGTCCATCTGCCACCGCCGTAGGCTTTCTTCAGTCTCTCCTTGACCGTTTCCCACGGCGTCTCTTCATCTGTCTGGATGTGGTTCAGGATACTCCGTTTTACCCTGCACACAAGAGCCGCCTTAAGGGCCTCCGCATCCCCAGCGTTGACGAGGTTCTCATCAATCTTTGCATTTATTCTAGCCACGAGTCGATCTCCACCCTTTAAAAAATGATTGAGCTTACCTATTTCTCCAGTGAAGCGCTCGAGATCGGATATAGCCTCCCTGAGGTCCTGTGAAGTGGCTACCCGGATTTTCATCCATTCTATCGCATTCGCATGCGCCGCGGCAAAGGTTCCCTGCGGTAACGGAGGGATCTCTGGCACATTCATGGGAGCCGGCTGCCTTAAGTCAAATTCAGGCATGCTCGTAACGGTTCTCCTCTGGTTTAAAAAAAATGTACCTCTGCACTCTCACCGTCCCGGGTTTCGGCACCAGTTAAACGTTGCGGACTTTAAACACTTAAAAAAAAGAGTAAAGGTTCAACAAATAACACGCATGAAGTCAGAAACAAGACTGCTTTATTCCTCCTTATAATCCTCTATATATACATTCTAAGTTGTTTACATAAATGCTTTTGGTATTAAAGCTAATACTGTCCCGCTCCGTACCTTAACTTATATATATATATATATATATATATATATATATATATATATATATATATATATATATATATATATATATCTTCCTTATGCCTGACATGCCATTATTATTTTGTTACTAATCTTGCCAATATATATATATATATATATATATATATATATTGGCATATATATATATATATATATATCTTTCTTTGGATTTTAGTTGGAGAGGGCCAGATCAGTCTCATTTGCTTGGAATGGATCCTGCACGTTTGCAGTATATGCTCCGCATTCTGTTCCTCCCCCCGAACCCGCAGAGGGGACTGGAGCCAATTTGGGACTTTCTGAACATTTCTGGCTTACAGAATGTTGAGCCCCGTTGGCTAGCGAAAGATTAACACCTACCTGCCTCTCGTCAATTCAATCCGTGGGTCGTGATTTGGATGACTTTTAATCCAACATTGGTAAATATTAGCTTTGTTAAGTGATTTTACCTCACTAGACTGAGCTTACAGTCAAACTGCCGACTAGAGGTCTCCTCCTTCGCTAGTTAGTCTACCCTTTCGTTTTAGAGAGGTCGTATAGTATCTTGAGGTAAATTAAGGCATGATGGAATCATTATACAGCAGGTGCTTTTAACTGCATCTCAACCTTTAAACCACTGACGGCCACCTTGAGGTTGCTATTGCTTACTAACCAGAGTGGGAGTGTCAAAATTCATGTTCCGGGACGACGAAAAATAAATATATTCTGGCCCAAGTGGGAATCGATCCCACTATTTATAGAATCCCAAAACGCTACGTAATTAAAGAAAAGGCATATTATTCCATTATTTAGAACAATAGATTTTTCTTTCAGTGGTAAAAGTCTGTACTGGTTTTCTCCGCAACCTAAGATGAAGCAGCATATAGTTGTCGATGGGAACCATGTCTTCTCTTAATTTGATACCCTTGCCCTTGAAGGTTTTGTCCATATGCTTTATTTATTGTGATTCCAAACGATATTAACGGGAAGCTGTGAAAGCATAATTAATTGCCTTCACTTTTCCAGATTGATTGAAGTTTATGGCTTCTGTTCTGATGTAATGGGTCATAATGTGACGTTATAGTGTCTCAACTATCCCTTAATAAATGTTTATTTTATGGGATAAAAATTTTTCAAATTAGCCTGATAGTTCCTGAAATTAGCGTATTAACATAAACTTCAGATTTTTAGATTAGTAAAGAGTTCCTCAACCTCAACGGAAAAAAATTAAAAAATAGACCTAATTCAAACGGCCAATAAAAAATTCATCCAGATTTATTTTTTTGCTCATATAAAAATTCGTATTTAAGAGTTTTAAAGGACCCTAAAAAGGAATCTAATTTGCTTTTTCATAACAAAAATTTACTTGGCCTAATTTATTAGAAGCACCTTTTGGTTTTTGTAATTTATGATACATTACAACTCATTTAATACAATACTTAACATTTTTTTCTAATTCAACAAAAAAAAAATAAAATAAAATAAGATTGATATATAGTAACCTAAAAATCCGGGCAAAAATAAATAACATAAATTTTCTTTGATTATATAAAATATTTTTTTGGCTGCTAGGGCCCATTGGAAAGAACACTGGGACATGTGTTTAATATTTTTCGATGTAGTGTCACAAAAAAAATTGCTGTGGGTCACAGACTGCATCCTTTCCTTGTCAGACATTACAACAGGACATAAACCTAGCCTCCAGTTTACAATTGGACATACTCTACTTGGGCATTATTTTGAACAAAACGTTCAAAATATTCAAGATAATATGTAAAACACCTATGTTTTTCATGGACTACAAGGAGTTTCTAAATAACTCAAATAGAAACCTTAAATTAAAAAAAAAGTGTTTGTTATAACCTGTCCTAGACTGAGTGTGAATGCCATTTTAACAGCTAAAATACTACATACATTACATATGAAAATTTCAATCCAAATTTTTTAAACTGACAATGAATCCACCACTCACTCAGGCCTAACACAACATAAATATTCTTTCCACCTGACATCATATTATCATTCACTACAAATTACAACGATATTGTGACTTCTACCTTTCAAAATTATTGAAATCCTGAAAAATTTAAAATAATGTACCTCTGATAAAACCAGTTCTGATGCACGGCCATGAGACCTAGACATTAACCATGAACTAGGAAAAAATGATTGAAAGATAAAAGATAAGAAGAAAATGATCCCCACAACGACTGAAATCAGTGTAATAACACATGGAGGAGAAGGACCAACAAAAAATTACTAAGAGAAACTTGTCAACCCAATATCCTAGGATATTAAGAACAAAAATATCTAATTATTTAGTCATTTAAATAGTTTGTCTTGGTGAAAGTTAAAAAAAAACCTATTTGATTTAAATAGAAAATTTCTTTAATGATAATAAATCATTGTTACTGTACAGAGTTATTATTTTTATTCTAAAACAGAATATCACCATCATAATATTAATTATGTCTGTATACATAAATGCATTACAGGAGTTGTGGGACATAAAAACTCCACATTTAACAGTAAAATGCGAAAGATATAAATAATACATCACAGGTGGGGAGAGAACAAAACACTTTAAATAAATAATTTCAGTGATTATATTGTAAAAAGGATGAGGAAGAGTATAAATGAAAGAATGTGCCACTTATCATTTTATAATAAACTGATCTGTATTAAAACCATAGACATGTTAATGAAAACAAAAAATAATATTACAATATAACGGAATGTGTAATTAATATATTTTCATTAGCAGTCCTGATATGGCAGGTATTAATTTTTTAGATACAATGAGAAAAGTTGATAAAAAGGATATATTGTTCTTTTACTTTATGAATTTAATTACATGAAAATATCTAAGACTTCACTGCCTTATACAATTGAGTTGACTACTTAAAACTTATTATACAAAGAAATATAACATATATTCATATGGCACATTTTACAAACTTATAGAACTGGAATATATAAGTTTCAAAAGGATATCATTAAACACATTAATTAAAACAGAAGGATTAAAGGGATAAGGATAATGATGTCATTATGTAAATTCATTCAAGTATGGTGATGCAAATAAAAATCAATGATTACTTTTTTTGGTTGTTTTATATGTGAATTAAACATCAGAAATTAGTTAATTATTGACCCTCATAACTTTTATTTTATTTTGTTAATCCGTAATTTTTCAAAAACAAACAGATTTATATGCATTCATTTTATGTGTTTATAAAAAGTAGTTGGAGTAAATAGTAAACAGGGTCATTTTTGAGGTAGATTCAGGCCAACCTTAATAAATAATTAAATTAGTAATATATTTAATAATAAGCAAAATAAAAAAAAGCATAATACGGTTAGTAAAAACAGATCAAAGAACTTTAGTTTGTGAGAGTTATATTTTAGTTTTGATAAAGCTGAGTTGGTAAAACTCTTGCTTACAGTTTGGATAAAACAACTAAAAAAATTGGTTAACTGACAAATCCTAAGGATGGTAAAGAATATAATGAAACATTCACCAGTATTAACCTATAATTAAGAAAAATGGATATTTATAAGTAAAAACTTAGCACTCAAAATTTGATTTTTTAAAATCATATTCACTTATAAATAATCTGAATAAATCATTCACATCAGCCATCATGTCTCATCTTTAAAAAAATTTAATTAGACTACTAAAGAGAAGAAAAATCCTCCAACGAATTTCACAAAACAACTCATTAATTGAAATCAAAAGATAAAAAAAGAGCTAAAATAAAAAATATATGTGTATATATACAAATTATGAGTTATAAAGACACTTTTCGTTGTTTTACTTTTATCATTTTTGTACTTAATGGTAACAAGTTCAAAGAGGAGAAAACAAAAAGATGATATGTAAAAAAGTTTTAATAAATACTAATATAAAATCTCGAAATAAATAACCAACAAATTAGATCCTTTTATTTTTAATAAGTCTTTTAAAATAAAAATATTTTGATTAAATAACAAAAATACCACAAATTATTGATTTGAAGCAACTATTCAAATGGCAATTAATAACATATATGAACTAAACCCCCAAAGAATGGTTTGGTAAAGGAAATTTTCCTGTATATCACCTGTTGAGTATCGGATTCATAAAGTCATTGAAGGAAATGGGAAGCTTATTCAATGGGGATTAAGTATTATTTCTTTGTATAGATAAAACTATTTCAATTTATACATTATTATACTTAATTATAAATAATTAAAAAAATAAATGATTCAAAATATTTATATAATATGAAACTTTGAAAAATAATCTATGATTTAAAAGGAGAGGAGCAGCTTTGGAAAAGAAAATGGGATGCATGAAAAAGGTATGTAACTGCAAATATGGACAAATAAATACTTAAAAAAGAAAATTACCATGTTTTTAAAAATATTTTACAATATAACAACTAACGAATAGAACAGATATTTGTTTAAATTCAAGACAAAACTTAATCCATTGAAATTGAGTTGTGACTATAATAACCTATTTCAGTTCAACATTAGACAGCAGAATAAAGTATATAAATAAGTTTAAAAAAAATAGAGGTATTGTAAAGATTCTGATAAAATATGAGGTAATCAATTAAAACAACTAATATGGAAATATATTACATAAAGGAGTGAGTATTTTTGGTTTCTAAATTTTATTTTGGACGAAATTTCATATTTAATCTTCACTGATAAAACTGATTTTATCATCCATTATGTTAAACTTAACAATTCAATTACCTTTGATTTTATTTTTACTCTGAATGAAATCTGTTTAAAAAAATTCAAAACAATAACATACTGATAGTAAAAAGTAAATTTTATGTAACTCACTTTAATCTTTAAAAACTTTTAACAATTTGTTTCCAACACTCCTGTATTTATTTTCATTTACTAATTCTTAGCTTCAGATTTGTTTTATTATTTTTATTATTGTCTAGTGAGTATGGCAGTTTGATATGATGTTACCTCTCAAATATTAGAGATCATATATCATAATATCAGTATTTACTGCAGATAAGAGACTCTTAATTATTAATGTGGTATGAATGGAGTTCCAACATTAACATGTTTAACAGAATCAAAAGGAGAGATTCCTCTGACTTCAGGTTCAAGAGGATTAATGTAAATATCACTAGCTAATTCTTCGATCGAAACTTCGCTTTCAGTTCGAGCTCTCACATTGGCTTCTTCAACTTCTGCACGAACTTCTACCTCGATTGCCTGTCACATAGTGGTGTTAATAAATAAACTGTTTATATAATTCAAAATAATCATTATTAAATAGTTTAGTATTATAACAATATAAACTCACCTTAAGTTCATCAGCAGATGCTAAGTTACTAATCAACATTTTTTCCTTAAAAGATGTTATTGGATCTCTGGACAGTCTAACTTCTTGAATTTCTTCTCTTGTCCTATAAGAGGTTCCAGGGTCAGACATGGAATGTCCACTATACCTATAAACAAATCAAAGAGGACCTTCAGTTTTTTTATTCAAATCTCAATTTTAAAAATCAAAGTATGTACTAAAAAAAAAAAAAGAGAGATAAAAACAATCGTATCCATAAGTCGAGCCCTACTACCATCAAATAGAAAAATAGAACTACCAGAACTGGACACTTTGAGACTCTTGTTACATCCTATCCTAAAGGGTAAAAACAAATACATTGTATGGCAACTCATATGAAAGAATAACAGAAAAAATATCATCATAATCTATCCTCTTAAACCGCATTAAGCAGTGTGAGGAGGAAGTTTATAGGGCCTTCTCCAGCTCTGCCGGTCCTCCACAAGACGCCTTCTATCGTTCCATTGAAGACCTCTTCTCTGGAAATCGCTCTTTACTTCATCTTCCCATTTCCTTCTAGGCCGTCCTCTTCCTCTCTTGCCATCTACTTTAGATCGGTAGGTTTCGCTAGCTATTCTGTTTGGTTCTATCCGCAAAAGATGTCCTAGCCATCTCAGTCGATTCTCCTCAATCAAATCATTGGCCGGGTTAATATTGAGGTTCGACCTGATGGTGGAGTTGCGTACTCTATCTCTTCTCGTTTTCCCCTCAATCTTTTGGAGGAATCGCATTTCTGACGCTTGTATCCTTGATCGATGTTTCTTTGTCAGCGTCCATGATTCTAAAGAGTACGTTAAAATGGGAATAAATGTCGGTCTGAAAACAGCTACTTTTGTTTTCTTTTCCACCTCGCGCCTGTTCATAAAACCTCTCTTAACTGCCTCAAACATTCTGCTCGCAGCAGCGATTCGTTCAGTCACCTCTGAATGTATCCATTTTCATTAAGGTGTGCCTAAGTATTCGAAGTTTTTCCCGTAAGGGGTAACTGTTGTATGCAGTTACTTGGCGAGTAGCGCCCCCACAGGTTACCACAGTTCAGTACACCATGCACACTCACCAGAACAGTACACTAATCACCTACACTCAACATAAGGTCAGCTACAGTACACACCCTAGGGTTACCTTCCCTAGGAGATTTTTCCTATCAGGAAGGGTATGTACGGTTACCATAAGGGGCATCCCCCCGACCGCACTAGGATTGGACAGGCCGATACCCTGCTCTTCTGAAATCTAAAATATCACAAGTAATGGAAGAGAAAGAAAAAATAAACAAAACAAAAATAGTTAATCAATGAACAAAAAAAACCCAATCCTTAAAAGGAATGGAGGAAAATCTAACAGGATATAAGATATAGAAAACATAGAACTATAGAACAATTTGTTATTAGTTGATTTATTAGAGAAAATTATTTTGAAGTTGCAACAACCTACCAACAAATCTACCATATAAATGAAGTATTCAATAACTGCTTAAGCAATAAACTATTATTATAATAAACTTGAGATTCAGGATATTGTAATGGACAATCATTAGAAGTTATGTCACAGGTAACTAACTAACTTATTCTATCAAATTGATAATATCGAGATTATCCAGTCAATCCATCCCACCAAATAAACTCAAATCGCCCATGTCAGATTGAAACTGGCACTAATTTTGACTTGAAAATGCTAAAGGGCTCAAATAGAGAATTAAAAATCTTGGGTTTCTTTTGGTTTATTATTTTCAATAATCAACCATTGTGATCGACCAAAAAATTCAAAAACTTAATCCCCTCTCAAAATTTGAGATTTCACGTTTCAGGATGCATAGAATTCGAAAAACGAATAAAAATTTTTTTGTCCGTCCCCCGTCCGCACATTTTCTCTGAAACTACTGGACCAAATTTTTCCAAATTTCGATATAAAATCAGAGGTCACCCGAGGATGATCCTTCTTCATCGACATTACTATCCGCCTTTTACTTTCAAATTGGTGGCCGAAAAACCTGCATTGCTGTAGACTGTAGCTCCTAAACGAATGTACCAATTTCAATGAAACTTTGCTAAAGTCATTTTCTTGAAGCCCTTTAAATTTATCTATATAACATACTTCAACGAAAAGAAGCTGGAAAAAAAGTTACGAGGGATGGTAAAATTTAATTACGAATAACTCAAAAAGTATACACTTTTAGTTTTTTAAAAGTTTACGGAATTTTCTAAAAAAAAAAATCGTTAAAATCGGACAATTAGGAGCAAAGATATGGTCTTCAGTTTTTTTATATGTTCTACTCAAAATGTTATATCCTTTGTTTGGTTTTTAAATTTTGAATATGTTACTGAAGTATTGGTATTTTTTAGCATATTACTAATGATTAAAAAAAAAAAATTAGTCCAATAATTGGAATTACCTTTTATTTATTTTTCTTTGTAACTAGGAAGGTAATATTACTTTAGATGTATAATTTGTTGGAAATAATAAACCGTTGTGAAATAATTTGCAGCTTTTTATTTTTAATCTAGTAGCTCAATTTTTCTCAGAATATTTTCAAAGCCAGTTCAAAACAATTTTTAAATTCTAGATTTTACATTAAATACATTGGAAATTTTAATGTATATATTACAGATATATAAAATATCTTTTTGCAGGAAATTTGGGTGTAATAGTTAGTCAATGGGGAATTGTGAGCTTGTGATGAACAATTGCTGGGCAGTTTGGTATGGTGAGGATGCAGATTTAAAATAAGATGAGTATGACTATATTTGTTTCAATTCTATGCTGATAGAGGCCTGAAATTAAATTGACAGTCTTAAGTTCAAACTTCCTCCAAATTTTGGTTGACATTGAGATCAAGTATCAAAATGGTCGTTGTTACCATATGTTGGAAAGTTTTAAATAGTCATGGCAGTAACAAGGCCATATATTTAAAAAAAATTATGAAACATTTGAATGCTCCAAGCCATCATCTTAATAGATGATGAAAATCAGTGATTTTGAAACCAGTATTGACTATTATTTGTGGTGATTTTGCTACTTACTTAACATCCAACATTTAAGTTGGAAAGTGAATTTGTAATATTTATTTCATTTGTAATATTGATCACCTCTTGGAAACAATGTTTTGTTGTCTTTTTGGACAGACATAGTTATCGCTTTATGGATTCTTTCTTTTATCTGACCATGTTTTCAAACACGCATTGCCCAGCAACCTGATAAACCAAAGATTAAGAGTTCTGATCCCGGTACAGGGAGGACTTTTAACTTTGGTATTAATCTTCCGCCCTCTACCCTGGTCCAGGAAAAAAATCATCTATTGCCGTAAAGTCAGGGAGGGGAGAAAAAGAATAAAAAATTATTCACTTTCATTTTCTAGCGTAACTATAAAAGTGTGGAGCTAATACTACAAAGCTGAAAAGAGAAAAATTGCTGGAGAATATTCAGTATCAGATATAGATCAGAAGAAAGATCCCAATTAACACGAAAATCAACTTTCGCTTCCTGTATCTCATTATGGATGTTTGTTTATTTTTATTTTTTATTTTTTTAATAGCTTATTTATTGAAATATATTACAATCTGTCTCAGGGACATTAATAATAGTGTTCACAGATCACATTCACACTCTATGTACAGTAAATAAAATAAATTATACAGAAAAATAATATATATACAATAAACAAGAATAAAATAACCTAAAAATAAATAAATAAAAAGAACACATGCGCACCTATATACAATATTTACAACTTGGCGAGAGAACTCCAAACCAGACTTGTCCCTCCAACTGTGGAGGGAAAAGAATGACTCCAGGAGTTCTCTGCACTCCTCTCTAAACCGCGTCACTAGGGCTAAACCCAGTGGAGATTGAGCAAGAGTGCTTTAGCCACATACACTCATGTCGTGAGTGGAGAATCTGGCCATTGCCAGAACTCCAATATTTACAAACTATAAAAGATCGCGGGGCCACTGCCGTTTTAACCTCCTTGGAGGATTATATGGATGGGTGGTGCTGGATAGAGATTTTACAAAGGGATTTGGATGATGGGTAAGGTTCTGGTGGAATTTGGAGAATTTTGCTGGGATAAGGTCTAGGACAAATGGGATATTAAGGTCATGGTGTAGGGTTTTGTTGGTTACATAGAAAGGAGCATTGGCTATTGTTCGAAGGACTTTTGATTGGAAGGATTGGATGCGTTTGATGTTAGTAAATTTTGCTGTTCCCCACAGTTCAAGTCCGTAAGTCCAGATAGGTTTCAGTATTGTCTTGTAGATCAGTAACTTGTTTTCAATGGAAAGTTTTGATTTTCTGTTTAGTAGCCGGTATAGTTGTCCATATCGTCGGTTTAGTTCCTGTCTTTTAAGTCTAGTATGAGGGTTCCACGTTAGTCGTCTGTCCAAGAGAAAGCCAAGGTACCGGACTGTGTCCAAGAAAGGAAGCTGAATGGAATTAAAGTGTACTGGTGGACAGGAACTGCGTCGGAGCGTGAAGGTGATGTGTTGGCATTTGGATTCGTTTACTTTAATTCGCCATTTATTACACCAGTGCTCAATCAGGGAGAGATGTCTTTGAAGGTTTAAGGATGCTATATCAGGATCTGAGTCGGATGATAGAATGGCGGTGTCATCAGCAAAAGTTGCCAGGAAGGTATCGGGATGGACAGGGATATCAGCGGTAAAGAGGATGTAAAGGACGGGACCCAATACGCTACCTTGAGGAACACCTGCCTCAATTGGATAGCAATTCGATAATTCACTACCGCAGAGAACTCGGAAGGTATGGAAGTTTGTTATAAATGCCAATTAGACAGTTATTTAAAAAAAAAAATAACAATAAATATTTCTAAGCTAAGAAGCTGTTCCACAGCAGAAAATAAAGGAAAGACCAAGATTAAAAAAATATATATAGAATGTTGTCTAAGGACATTTCCCTTTCTTTGAGACTGAAGAATATTTCTATTTTGATAAATATAATTAAAGTTATTACCTATATGTTTCCACTTCCAACACAAAAGGACCTTTATCAGATGTGCAGTGATCAATAGCATACTGTGAAGCTTCTCTAACAGCAAGTACATCCATACCGTCAACCTATCAACAATCATACCACTCTCAGCATTTTCGGTTACAAAGTAGCATTTAGTAGTCATCGTTACATTCACTATATCAATCAATCAATCAAAATTATTTTATTTACATATATATACAACACAATAAGCCATAATAATGGTTATGTGGTTATGGCAACAATACCTTACACATGTGGTGTGATTGCTATTTTTTTATTCTGAAATAGCATATAGAATACATTCACATATTTTTTTTCGGTTGGCGCTACAGACCTTGTAGATCTTTGACCGCGAGAGTCTAGAAGACCACATTCCGATTCCTGATTTAAGTACTTGGGAGTGTTTATTTATTTTTTGAGAATAATTGGGAGTATCTATTGAAATACAGGGAGATTTTGCTGTATTGCATTTGTTGTTTACATGCTGGATGAAATTTAGGGACTTATCAAGTTCAAGATCTAAATATTTCACTGAATTGGACCACGGGATCTGTTTGTCTACTTTATGAGTATGTTATGAGTTACTTGGTCTTCTTTTTGTGAAAATTGTTGCTTCTGTTTTTTGTTCATTTAATTTTATCTTCCATTTACCAAAATATTTGATGAATCTTATAAGGTGGGATTGTTGTCTGTTTGCTATGGTATCAATTACATTCACTATAATAATTCAAATAAAAAGTGAAAAATAAATATATATTTATATTTTGTTTATTTATTTATTCTGGCACTATGGTCCTACCTGGACTTCTCTAAAATAAATGGATAAAAGATTTTATGATCTTTTGACTTCAGAAGATCGTCAATAGTAAGGAGAAAACAATTCTCCTCATTAATGGATGATTTGACCAAGTTTTATCAGTTAGTCTTTGGAGGATTTCAGAATCATAGATATGAATGTTGTTTATTTATAATTTAATGAGTGCTGCATAATTTTTATCTAGCAAAACTAGGAAAAAAAAAAAAAAAAGAAGCATCTTAATATAGCTTACCCTGACACCCGGGATGTAGTCTCCTCTGCTGTAATAATCAACACTAGCTGATGATCTTTTTGATGATGTTCCCATCCCGTAGCCATTATTTTCACAAACAAATACACATGGCAGTTTTAATAATTTTGCCATATTGTACGCTTCAAAGACTTGTCCTTGGTTGGCAGCCCCATCTCCATACAAGGAAAAACAAACTCCTTTGTCATTGAGATACTTGTGGGCCAATGCGATTCCAGCACCAAGCGGAACCTTAAATGATAAATAATAGTAATTAAAAAAAAAAATCATTATTTCAAAGTCATATAACTAAATTATAATAATATTACTTCATCGAATTGTCACCTTAACCTCTTAAGAACATTTAAGATACTACTTTATAATCTATAAGAAAATTTATATCTATTAAAAACTTGGGCAAGTCAGTTTTTTTTTTTTTGTTTATATTTATGTTGCTTCCTATGAACTTCCTCATCCATTTATCTGATAATTATTGGGACGATTGGAACTGTTCTATTTTTGTTACAATAGCAACCTTCACATTAACTCCATCTCTTATCTTTCTCTGTTATCTTATATATTATATAGAGAAGTTGGGACCCTCTGTCGCAAATGCGACAGAAAGCCAGAAACACCAGCACATGTGCTTGGAAAATGTCCCAACAACTCCCTCCTTATAACGCGCCGTCACCACAGAGTTAAACATGAACTGATGAGGCTCCTTAAAGAGAGAGATTACGCCTGTTTCGAGGAAGTATATTGTATAGATACGGATGGATCCACACGATATGCCGACATTGTAGCATTCCCTAAGACGGGAAAGTCGGCGATGATTTTGGATCCAACAGTGAGATATGAGACCAATGATCTAGATCAGGCAGGAAAAGTGGAAAGGGAGAAAAAACAGACATATGAGAAATGCATCCCTTTCCTTAGTGAAAAGTTCCGCGAGAGTTCCACGTGAGAGGCCTTTGGTTCAGAGCTCGCGGAACGATACCAGACTCAACAAGGAGCTTCATGGAGGGCCTTGGTGTCGAGATAAAGGACAATATATAATCCTCGACTCCCTGGGAATCATCCACCACCATGTGCATGGGAGCGGATAGGGAGAGTGTTTGTTCAAGGGGGGGAGGCATGCGTGTGTTACAGCATTTTTATATTATTATTTATTGAACACGTCCACTGTACTTTATGTATGTATTAGGTTAGAAAGAGAGAGGAGAGAATATGAGGAGTGGGAACATGTATAAGGGGAGAGAAGAAAGAGAAAGGGTACAGAATGATAATAAATGAATGAAAGAAATAGTAAAAATAAAAAAAAATGTATATAAAGGAAAAAACAAAACAAAAAAAAACAACAACATATATATGTATAAAATATTGTATACTATGCTCATACATATTGTTAATCCTATATAATTGTATAATAATTTTAAATATTGTCTATAGTGATTAATAAGTATGCTGTGTTGTTAGAAACCCAATGTAATTGGGCAGCACCATTTTATTTATTTTATGATAATAAAGTGATTCTCTCTCTCTATGTTGCTTCCTATGAACTTCCTCATCCATTTATCTGATAATTATCGGGACGATTGGAGCTGTTCTATTTTTGTTACAATAGCAACCTTCCTATTAACTCCATCTGTTATCTTTCTCTGTTATCTTATTTATGTTCACAATAACATTGAACTTGTAAGTAAGGAAAAAAAAAGTTTAAAGATAGGTATAACATGTTTTTTTTTTCATCTTTATTATTTCCGATTTCTTTTATATTCATATTGTGCCAATTACACTCCTACATTTTTATACTCTTATAATAGTTTCACCTTCTGTCTATCTTTTAAGGCCTGATAAGGACATACAATGTGAATTGAAAAGTTGGTGTGTAATAAGTATTTACTGCAATTTGATATTTGATTTTTGATTAACTCCAATCTCCTTCCCAATAACCTTTAAAGTGTACAATATTTTAACATAATAATATGTTAGACCAATTAGACCAAAAATTAACTCTAATTACCACAGTAAAATTAAAGCCTTTACCTGAGCTCCTACTATTCCATTTCCACCATAGAAGTTTTTGCCATAAAGATGCATGGAACCTCCCTTGCCCCTAGAGCAACCAGTATGCCTCCCAGTAAGTTCAGACAGAACCCCGAGCGCAGATACACCCTGAAGATAAGCCCAACCATGGACACGATAGGCAGAAATTATAGTATCTTGTTCTCGCATTGCAGCTTTCATTCCTACAGCACATGCTTCCTGGGAAATATGAGTTTCAACATTAAAAAGAAAAACATGATAAGGTAATAAAGAACAGAAATTTTAAATACTTATCCTACATCTATCAGAATAATTATCATCAATCTCTGTAATTAAATTATCTTTAATGTTATGCAAAAAATATAATTTCTTTTATTTTTGGATAATTATAATCAATATTATCATTTATGACAGTGAAAATAAGTTCAAATCGACATCTGTCATTTTGGAATCTAAGAGAGAGTTGAAATAAATAAATATGAGAATGGGGAGCAGACATAGGTAAAATGTACTTTAATTATTATTTTAAAATCCATTATTTAAAATACCAAGTATTTTCTGTTTTTCAAATACGGTGCATTTTAATTAAAAAGTATTTAATTTATTTTAAGAAGTATTGAAATACAAAATACTTACTGGTGGACGATCAGCCTGTAATACAAGAAACCTATTCTTTAGGTTATATATTTTGTATATTTAAAATCCAGTTTTGTATTTTAGTATCTTGGAAATAAAATACAAATACATTTTTGTATTTTAATAAGAGAATACAGTTACAATTCAAACATACAGTTACAAAAATCTATTGTACAATAGATGCTTAAATGAAACAAACTAATTTCAGATCCGTTACTAAAGGAATCATTTTTGCAATACTCAAGCTTAATAAAAATATGCTGTCCTTAAGCAAACTTATTGTTTTTAAGGAAGAACCAACGACGACAGTATCCTCATGAGTGTGTTGGCTGAGCATGTTAAAGTTTTTCCTGTCACAACATCCTCAAGTCTAGCATAGCTGATTTGAATACAACTTAGGCTGGGTAAAACTTTTTTTATGGTTGACCAACGCGGAATGAATCTGGATTTCCCCACTCTGGTTAGAATAGATTAGATTAGAACAAGAACGAATAGAAGAAAATTATTATCATATTGTAGATAATACTTATAGCTTCCCAAACGTAAGCCAAGAAAGAGATTATCCTGTTAGTTAAAAAAAAAATTTTGAAAAAATCTGGTGTGCCTATCACACAACTTTTTACTTTGAATGGAAATTATTGTCAGGAAAAATTGGGCTTTAAACAAAGTTTTTGAAGTAAATTTTTAATAGAGCTAAAACTTAAAGAATACAGTTTTGAATTTTGTTCATATTTATCAATGCAAAAACTCATTAATACCACCAAAATAATACAAACACTATTTATTATACGGACGGTAAACAATTAAAACCTGTTAACTCTACTTGAACCGCATTAACTCTAGTCTCTGAGCTCTATATACAAAGAGATGTTTGAAAGTATATACATTTAACCGATGAATAAGTAAAGATTGTATTACATAGTGAAAATTATAGGAATCAATTCTTTATCATATTTTACATGTATCTAGACTCTTATTTTTTCTCTTGTAAACTTTACCAAAATACAGTAGCTGGCTTTTCAATACAGCATTTATAGGTCAAAAGTTGTCGCAAATCGGAGCAAAATGTAGTGATTTCATAGAGGAAGTTATTAATTTTCCATAAATGTATTTAAGGTGAATATTTTTATGTTCTACTTCTTTTTAATAAAGTACAATAAAATAGTTTTAAAACAATTTCATTGCATCGATTCAGTGGATTATATGTACCTTTTTACAAAATTAAACATAATTTTTAAAATTTATATTAAGTAAGAGAACTTCATTTTGTTTTCATGAAAACATCTGGTTTCCGTTAAAAAATATCAATATTGAGAAATTATTATTTATAATTTTTTTTATTACTATCCATTATCTGTTACAAGTTTGTATGTTAAATATTGTTTTTCTAAAATGTTTCAGCTTCCCAACAATATATTATATGTTTACATTTTGACTATTATTTCTGGAAATTCATTTTCAACCTAAAAAAAAGTTTCCTTTATTCTCCTTTAGCCAACTATCAAATTCTTTCATAGTTTATCTTGAGAATTTTTTTAGTACTATTAACAATGAGAGACAGTTAATCATTTAAAACAAACCAAATAAAAGGTTATTTAGAGGAAGAAACTATGAAATTGGGGAATTTATTAGGCCTTATTAGACTTCATCAATGAGGATATGACCTAGTTGATATTTAAGACTATTGATATATAGTTAGTTTAATCAAAATAGTTAGAGCTGTTTTTGAGAAAATTGTAAAAATGTGTAAAATCGATGATATTAAATATCACTTCCGGTCAGCAGATTTTTATGAAAAATGAAAATATGAGTATAAGTTCAATAAATTTTGTAATTATGAAAATTGCAAACAGGACTGACATATAATAGAAAATTTTAGACAAAGCTAAAGAATAATTTAATTATAGTGAATAATTATGAAACATAGTAGAATATTTATTTATATTTATGTATTAATTAAAAAAGAGAGAATTATAATACTGAGAGATTTATGATACTGATAATTGTCAATATTTGAAGCAAAGATGAAATTTAAGCAGATTATGATAATAAATTCTGTAAATAAAATTTCATAACATAAACATTTTTAATTTCACACAATATAAAAATTTGATTAAAATGTCTTTTTAACTATGGCTTTTCCATGTTTCACAGTTAAAATATTCTAACATATAGCAACATTGTTTGATTATTTCAACATGAAAACAATAACTACCTTTACCTTTTAAAATAAATGTCTAATAAATAAGTAAAACAATGATAATGTTCTGGAGAGAAGTTTTTTGTTTGGCTGAACATCCCAATCAAATTCTTTTCAAAACATCTACAGCAATCAATTAATCCACTATAACGATAATTTTTTATCGAAAAAATGATACTGACAGTCAATGACAATTAATAATATGATGGAAATTATGACACATTACTTAGAAAATTATTCTTGAACATACTTGTCCATTTGATAGGTGGCAAAATCCTCGAATGATTCTTTCCTTGTACAAATTGCTTGATGCAGTCTCCAATCTCCTTATAGTGTACATCTGGCGGAAATACTTTAATGCATCTTCCCGGGTGACAGTGACAGAAGTGCTAGGACCTTTATCCAGCTTATGTAATTTGTAAGGCTATAAACAAAAGTAATGAACTAATTAGTACATATAAATGACAAAGTGAAACCATATTTATAAAACAATCGATATTACCTTGGTTTCAAATGAAGCTTCATTGTTGAAATTACATCGGGACACCACAGTAACAGGTGGATTAGGATTCTAATGTTGAAAAAAAGAAAATAAATATTAAAATAAAAATATTGTTGGTCATAAAACAAAGTATCTATTAATAATGAAAAGATGTTATATTTGATTAAGTATAATTTAGTCATTACATGACAGACCTTAAATACATGTCCTTCACTTAGCCTATTGAGGCTGATAGAACAACTACAATAACAAAGAGATTCAAGGGCATATTAATACTTGTAAATACAGTAGTTCACATTTTCTTGCACACTTTTTGCCAAAAATAATAGTAATAAAATAGAATAGTTGAGTCTCCAATAAATTAATTAATAATCGACAGTTAAATATATGACAATAATAATATTAAAATGGCTATGTAAACAAAATATTAACTTAAAATATGGCAAAAGAGAAACCGAATGCATTAAAGATTGAAGATATTCAATATACAATATTACTTAAATTCAACATGGAAATTTTTCAATAAGATAAATATAAATAAATACAAAAGGGACATCGAGTGAATCAATAAAAACAAATATCCAAAAATTTAGAATGAACAGAAAAATTGGAATATCATTAATGATGTCAGAAAATTACAATTTATTTCGTTAAAATGTATTCTTAGTATTTTTTAAATAATCTTATTATTTTTTTAAAAATTAAAACAATTACCTTTAATGCAACTTTCCTAATTAATCCACAGATCCCGTTGTTCATCTTGACACAACCTAACTAAAACCTCACTGAGCAGACTGCGGAACAGAACGTGACTATCAGCCGCTTTACAGCTGATTGAAAGTAACTGTTACCGTATCACGTGTCATTGTGGCTATCAGCATCATGTATTGACACCTTCAGGATTTGTAAGTTTTAAATATATTAATGTCCAATTATTTGAATATCTGTGTTTTATTAACTCCTTATCCAATTCCCGAATAATACCCTCCCCATCCTTATTCTTCATTTCTAGATTTATCAATTTTTTTTTCATCAGTTTGACATGTCTTATGTCAATTGATGTGTTTACACCCATTTCTAATAAGCATAAATAAAGCTAAGCTACGAATAAATAACAATCAAATCTAACTTAATTGTTTATTAGACTTGTTATAATTATGTTATAAATCGCATACTGAAATAACACTAAATATCAATGAATCATGGAAGTTCTGTGTTTTAATATAGGAAAAAACAGTTGTGTGTTGTCAGTGAACAATTTATTACCAGTAAATTCAAATTTAAGGATTATAAGAAAGAGATATAATTTTTGCAATACCAGCATCATGTAGATAAATAATTAATATTATGACATAACTATAGAAATTAATTTTAAAGTTTAAAAGCAAATTTTAAGTTTATTATACATTTGGAAAATACCTATTTTGGAATATATTTTAATTTTTGTATATTACCAATGTTATAGAAACTGTAATATTACAGTATATTTCACATACTGGCAAAAAATAGCACTATATTGAATTACAATCGGGATGACTTGGTAGGTTTTTGTGATCATTCCTCAGTTACCTAAAAAGTGGGTTAACATCACCTATATATATTTTAAAAAATATTCATCTTCTGTTTTTATTTTGAATTTTTTTGATTTTATGAATGTGAAAACAACTTCCTATTTTCATTTACTAAGGAGTTGTGATATTTTTCTCATCTGGACAAAAATATATCTATTTGAAAAACGTTTTTAGTCTTCTTTCATAATCCAATGTTTTCGAAAGATTTAATGAAGTTCCTGCATGCACTTTCTATTTCTAAAATAACTTTAACTAATCATAAACCTTAATTACTTTCTGGAGAATGAAGTTCTGTAGAAATTTCAGTTTGATTCTTAAAGTAGCAATTACTCGCTGCATTCGAATAGTTAAACAAAGCTTATCACCGTTATCAACAATAGCATTACCTTGCTTCTTGGCGCATGATCCAGATTTTCGCGCTATCTTTGAATGTCTTTTGAATGCTCTATATTGAACTTATCTTAACTTAAAGTACAGTCCAGGATACAACATGTTGGCCTGACTCGTAGCATGTTTCTCGGATACAGTGATCATTTATTGCTGGTCCAATTTTGGGAGATGGTTTTTCACTTACGGATGGCCAACGGTCGAAATTGGCCGCTCGAACAACGCACAGATGACCTAAATTTGTTGTATAAATTATTATAATGAATTTATACAAGAAATTATCACTTAAATGTTCTATACTATAATATAAAACCTCTATCATGTCAATTACAGTGTCAGAACCTGATCCGAAAGTTGACTTGAAGTAAAAAAAATGAACCTTTTTTGAGACTATATTCTTTAATAATTAATAAGTCCAATAAAGACAATTAATAAAGACACGAATTAACTTTTTACGTCGAATCCAAACTAGGCCACCAAGATGGAATTAGTAACATTTTTAAACTATTTCTCCGGGTCATATAGAATTCCGTCGTATTTCCATTTATGGAGAATGAGTTTCAAAATATAAAATAACTTGAATATTCTTATTCCCCAACACATTTAGTAGCAACTAATTAAACAGTCTTCTGTTTCTTTGTTCTCGGCACATCCAGAAAAAGCATGAGCTGGGCGTCTAACCTTTTTAAAAATGCGCAGAGTTTCATTATTGTTCAGTTTTTCCGATCAATATAGCCATATCGAATGTTTTAAAGGAATCTACCCCTTGAGCAGATAATTGTTCCCAATTCGTTTTAAAATTTTGAATAGAAAATTAATAATTTATTAAAATGGTCTCATAATTTCATTTCATAATTTATGAGGCAGTTCAGAAGTTCAGAAATAACTTTTTTATTGGAGAACCTTAAAAGTATTTTTGTTTGATAGTTTGAATTTTTCATATAATTTCCTAAAAATATATAAATATAAGTTGTATATAAAATTAAAAAAATCAAAAACTATCAACTTCGAACAAGATTTCTATCTTGTCCCTCATAGACAGATAAATACTGAATTAAAAAAAACGTAAAAATATTTGTTGAGAAGTTTTTATAAGATCTGCAAAGTTAATTTAGGTGCATTAATTTTAATAACTTTACCACAGCTCACCAAATAGTGATTATGATATGTGAAAATTGATATATAATTGTGGGTTGATGGTTGAATGTAGTGAATAATAAAGAGAAGGATAGTTGAGGTGATCAGTCAAAAATAAAAATGGCAAAAATAAATAATAATATTTATTTTAACATTAGCGGACGTTTCGGCCCGAAGTTCAGGCCTTCATCAGGGCTGAGAAAAGAACCAGATAACAATTGGTATGAGAAACATGAAAAAACCCCATAAAAATTGATATAATATGAATTTTTATTACATACAACATGAGAAACTAATCGTTTTAGTTTGATTAAAGAAATGACAAAAACTCAATGCTACGGAGACACTGTAGATATGAAAACCCAGGAAGATACTATAAGGTATTCTTACATTTTATCGAACAGAAACATTCAACTTCTGGTTTTATGTCAGGTTTTAAGGCGTGCATGCTATGGTTTACCACTCTCCTACGATGGCTCAAATATCTTTTATAACGATGGACAAACATAAATTTTTCATTTTATCCAACCATCTACCAATCAGAATTAGTAGCTAGCAGGCTTTAGCATTGTTATATTATATCCAAAATAAATAATATATTAGTTACCGTGCAAATGTTTTCAATAAGATAGGCAATCAAATGAACAACACATATTGAATCTCACATCATTATATCATTAGATATACAATAAATGAAAAAATATTACATTTAAATAAATATATACTTATAGGTAAAAGGGGACGTGTGGTATGGGCAATTTCCTGAACTCAGAGGTAATCCATTGATGAATTTCTGAAGCTCATTAATGATCTCAACGTTGGGTTTAGAAATTTGCTCATTGTTGCATCGATGACTTTAGGAACGATCTGGTCGATTTTCTGACGGTCAAATAACTTCAGCGCTGAGTTTAGTAAATTGCCTTAAACATCATATGTACTTGTATCCAGATACATGTTTTCAAAAGCGCTACGCTTCAGGAACAAATCAGTTTTGAATTTAGAATGGAATCAACTATCTGCTGATCCTAGTGCTGCTTTAATTATAATAGCTGTAGACACTAGCGGATCCAGGATTTCATTTTGGGGGGAGGGCTTCAGCCAAATTACTTTGGAAAAAAAGAAAGAAACTAACTACCTGTATGAAATGGTGTTTAAGTAATTCTTAAAGCCCTTTTAAATGTAATTACACAAACAATAATACTTTAAGAGATACTTTTTTAATATTTTTTTCGATAAAACATGGCTATATTTTACCATTTTGGGGGAGGAGGGAGAGGGGCTTCAGCCCGAAAGCCCCCCCCCCCATAGATTCGCCCGTGGCTGTAGATATCAAAAAGTGAAAAATGTGGTGGCAGATTGGGTTTTTATTAAATGAAACAAGCCATGGCTATAACTTGATATCAGAGTTAGTATTAAACCATGTTAACTCGTTCTTAACTGTTAAAATGTTTCACGATTTCATCAGATTAATAAAATCTGTTTTTGAAGAAATACTTTGGTTGGTAGATGTTAAAAATACAAAGTTAATAAGAAATGCAGTGCTCCTATTCCACCAAGATCGCCAATTCAGCGATATTTAGCTACGACTGATTTGTTTACTAGTTTGATTTGTTTAAATTCTTTAACAAAATAAATGAAAATCATTTAAAGAAGTAAGAAAAATAAAGTTAAATAAATATTAGCCGTGTATCATATTTTAAATATATCTCAGACAAAATATTCCAGTAGTTTAAATTGAATGAATGTTTTCTTTTTATTTTTTTAAACAAATATGAAAGGTTTAACAAATAATATACTATTCCCTTCTGATCAATAAAACGAAAAATATATCTTATTGGGATGAACTATAAATGATCAAGGACGACCAAGTTCTTCTATTCTCCTAACTTGGTCATTTAAAAGGAGAATAATAGAGAAAGAAAGGACAAAAGAAGAAATACATTGTTTACTATGGAACAGTTTGTGGATATGCTTCTTTGATCAATAAATATTTTTCACTTATCTATAATCGCCGCTTTTTTCGGCTGGGATAAAGATTATATTATAAAGAACAATTCTGAAACATTTGCTGAACGTCATATTCACATTTAGAGGTCGAACAAACTTTTCCACCGATCGTCAATTGTCCGGTAACAGGTTCGTGAAATAGATGATTTTAAAACATAGTAATAAGTTTTCCCAGTCAAATCTCATATTAAAAGTTGAAAAAATTTATTTACTACAAAAAAAAGTATTCACTTATATCAGAATATGACGATTATATTATAATTTCTGGACTATTTCGCAATCTTTAGAAAAAAAATGGCTATATAACTCTGAAAAAATACATCATATTTGAGAATAATTACTTAATTTATAACTGAGCTCTATATGTTATATGATAATGGAAGTCTTAAAAGTCTTAGAACCACTTATTCATTATGATAATATAAATGGCGAACTCTTAGAATTTTTATATGCCTTTATCTGTGACAATTACAACGATAGAGAAAAAATATAGTATTTTAAAATCGTTATAAGATTACTTGTACCTGGTAAGAATATTTGCATGTATTTTCCATGGAGATATCTTGAACGACTGAACCAATTCTGTTTTTTCTTTTACAGTCCTCAATAGGTGTACTAAACCACGGGCGGATCTACGGGGGGGGAGGGGGAGGGGCTTTCGGGCTGAAGCCTCCCCCAAAATGGTAAAAATATAACCATGTTTTATCAAAAAAAATATTAAAAAATTATCTCTTAAAAT